AATAAAAGTGCAAGGTGCATTTTTTTAAAGATTTTAGCGGGTTCGATCCCCGCGTGTGTCTAGAAATTTTAGAAAATCTTTGAAAGCAGCATTATTTCTATAAAAATAAAAGAATGTTTCCTTTAAGTAAAAATTTCTATCTCCAGTATTTAACGTACTTTCCTTCCAAGTGGCATTACAAATTTCCACCCTGTATATATGAAAAGACTCAAGAGAAAGTATTACTTTTAAAAATAAAAATGAAAAACAAATAGATTACAATTCATACAAAATTTTTATTACTCAGTGCAAAATTGAGACATTCCTTGACGATAACTTATGGCCCGCGGGTTTTTCCTTCTGGTCCATTGTGAATATGAAGGAACGGTTGGATAGCAAATCCAGCCAGAAGCGAGATTACGTTCCTTAAAATCATTGACTTACAATTATATGGACGACGGGTCCGCGCTAAAAAGTGTCCGAACTCATAGGGCGTTAAAATCGTATACAGAGCGTCATTCGCGCTCTAGTCTTCGTTTGTTCGACTGACAGCGAAGCAAGCAAAATTAGACAGTACTGCGATGACATTACAATTTAAATTCAACGTTTTAGCTTTTTCATATTCCTTTACATGTCACTACGTTTAAATAGGTTGACTTGGGACATTTTTTTTCGTGGTTTTTGTATTAGACCCGTCGTCCATTTATTTGTAAGTCAATGCTTAAAATTATATAAATGGCTAATCCAATATTATTAAGCAACACTGTAAGTTTTAATTGCAAGTCACTTAAGAGGTCAACGGAAGGAGTAGGTAAGAACGTTATGTAAGAACGCAGATATAGTGGCACTACAGGAAACATGGCTTCTACCATATGACCTGCCTATATTGAACACTGTGGATGAAGGTTTTGGGTCCACTGGCTCTTCAGCTGTGGATACCTCGGATGGTCTCCTTGTCGGGAGACCCTTTGGCGGCGCTACGATTTTGTGGCGGAAAAGTGCATTGTATCATGTGTCTGTGATAGAATGTGATAATGTGCGTGTGTCCGCAGTGAAGCTTGTAGTTAGCGGTCATTCTATTTTAGTTTTTAGCGTATACATGCCTGTAAATAAAATAGAAAATCTGACAATTTATACTGAATGCCTGGGGACTATCCAGGCGGTTATTGACGAGGTATGTAGTACCGAGGTTATATATATCTTGGGTGATTTTAATGCCCATCCACAGCACTTCATATCGTCAAATTGATTTAACTCTACTGTTCATTCGTAAGGCAGATTCCCCCGAGAAGATTGTTATTAAATATTACTCTTAATATTAGGGGTTAAAGTATGAAATTGCCGTTTTATTGCAATAGGTTCTTTGAATTTTCATAGAATCTTCATGGTTTGAGGTTTTCGAATGAAACTTTTTTCAAATGGTTTCTGTGATTTTTTTTTTTTTAAATTTGAAACATTTGAATATCGACTTTCAATTGTTTTTGTTATTCAATTTAGACAAGAAAGATGGATACTGCGAAAATTCGAGTGATTTTTGAATACGAGTTCCGACGCGGAACTAACGCGGCAGAAACAGCCCGCAATATCAATGCTGTGTTTGGAGAGAGGTCTACAAATGAACGCACCGTGCGATTTTGGTTTAAACGCTTTCGTGATGGAAATTTCGACTTAAAGAACGAGCCACGAGGAAGACCGCCCACACAGGTGAATAACGATGAATTAAGAGAGATAGATCCTAGTCAAACTACCCAGGAATTAGCGGCATGGTTTAACGTTACCTTACCCACAATATTGACTCACTTGCGTCAAATCAATAAAATAAAAAAATACGAAAAATGGGTGCCTCATGATTTGACTGATCTGCAGAAAGAAACGCGTGTTGAAACTTGTGTTGCCTTGTTGAACCGGTACAGAAATGAAGGAATATTGGATCGAATTGTAACATGTGATGAAAAGTGGATTCTTTATGATAACCGGAAAAGAAAAATGCAATGGCTGACCCCAGGTCAAATGCCACAACAGTGTCCTAAAGCAAAACTTACCAATAAAAAGGTAATGGTAACTGTTTGGTGGTCTCAGCATGGTGTTATTCACTATAGTTTTCTCCGATCTGGTCAAGCAATAACGGCAGATGTCTATTGTGCCGAACTCCGAACCATGTTGACAAAACTAGCAGTAAAACAGCCCCGACTCATGAATCGATCTTCACCATTATTGCTCCACGACAACGCGAGACCTCACACAGCACGAGAAACCATTTTGACCCTTCAGGAACTGCAGTTAGAAACCATTCGTCATCCTCCGTTTTCACCAGACCTTGCTCCAACGGACTACCATTTTTTTCGTGATTTGGACAATTATCTACGTGACAAGAAGTTTTCTTCCCAGGAGGCAGTACAAAATGCTTTCACACAGTTTGTGCAGTCTAGATCATCGGAGTTCTATCGCAAAGGCATTAATAACCTTCCCATTAGATGGCAGCAATGTATAGATAATAATGGCAACTATTTTGATTAAATAAATTTGTTAAAAATTTAAAAAATAAACAATTTAGATTTTCAGTACAAATCGGCAATTTCACACTTTAACCCCTATTATTATATCAAACTCAACCAAAGAGATGCAATCGCCTACAAATCCCAAATGTAGCGATGCAATCGCGCGTTTGTATCGCTGTGTTCTTGTTCGTTCCGTCACTTAGTATCATATAAAAAAAACTAAGTTTATCAATTTTTATAAAACGTAACTGACAGTGTTACTTTCGCATTTATAATTATTAGGTACATAGTTTTTAGACAATTATTAGGGTTATTACATTGACTTACAAATAAATGGACGACGGGTCTAATACAAAAACCACGAAAGAAATGTCCCAAGTCAACCTATTTAAACGTAGTGACATGTAAAGGTATATGAAAAAGCTAAAACGTTGAATTTAAATTGTAATGTCATCGCAGTACTGTCTAATTCTGCTTGCTTCGCTGTCAGTCGAACAAACGAAGACTAAAGCGTCAATGACGCTCTGTATACGATTTTAACGCCCTATAAGTTCGGACACTTTTTAGCGCGGACCCGACGTCCTTATACTCGTAATTGTAAGTCAATGGGTTATTAGCTATAATTTTCTGCATGACTTTGCGAGACATGCCCAATTAAGTTCAAACAACTGCGTGAATTGGTAAGTAAATGGTTAATTTATGAAAGATAAAAAAACATTGTTTAATAAACTTAACAATTTTGTAACCTCGTTCTTCTTTGCAATCACTAATTTAAATAAATGGAAGCACATGTTAAACCATTATGCTATAAAAACTAGTACTACCTACTTTTAAGAAGTTGTATATTTATAATATATAATGTAGGTATTTTATAACTACAGTAATGAATACCTATTTCAAATGTGAACTAACATATAAGTTGTATTTCTACAATGAAAAGTTGTTGATAAAATTATTTAAAAGGATTTAATATTGTCTTTTGTGGAACCAAGTGACGCACGCCTGTCCATAACAGTTGCAGTGCCACTCGGAGCTTTAAATCCCAAGGATCTGAGGGTACACTTCCACTGCACCTATCACCCTGAGACCTAAGTTGACAAGTCCCATGTGCCTGTAATTGCACCAGTACTCTTAACTTTCAAAACCGGAATGCTTACATTACTTTACATTACATTGCTTGGCGGCAGAAATAAATAAGTGTAGCAGTACTTCCCTGGATGAATTTTCACAATTTTAATAAAACAAAATGTAGAAAAAAAATATAGAGCCATCAGCTAACAAATTAATAATAAATAATAAATAACGCACACACTCAACATGGCCCCGCACTAGGGAAACCCTGTGTCGCGGGTGCCATGGACACACACATAGACAACCACAAATTACACCCAAACTCATGAGAGAAATAATTGTAGGCCATACAACTATTTCTACCGGCCCGGGAATCGAACCTGGGACCTCTGCGTGGCAGTACGGCATGGTAACCGTTCGGCCACGGAGGCAGTTGTTACGAAAGTCAAAAACTAAAAATTAATTCGTGTGAAAACTGTAACCACAAAACCGCTTCATATTTTTTAAAAATCCATTAAGATGGTTCCGTTTTTTTTACGCGCCAACATACAATGGTTGTTCTTTTAAAGTTTGATCAATATTTTCTACATGTTTTTCGATATCTTTGACATAAAAAACTGCTAAAGTTTTTTATCGCAGCGCTATTTTATACATTTGCAACTTGTTTCCTCCAAAAGTATAGTTTTTTTTGTGAGAATCACGAGTTGGCGGGAGGACAATAATTAATCTCGTGATATCTTGTTGTTTCTATGTTCAATCGACTGGTTTTTTATTGTAAAATAGGTGTATAAGCCATGGTTGCGATGACACCACTCCCAAAAATTCCATTAAATATTGTCAGTACAAAAGGTGCCATAAGAAAAAAAATTACCTTTTTACATAAAAAAAACTGAATAGTTTGATTAATTCTTACATCTTTTTGCCAAGTTTTATTGAAATCGGTTAACGAGAAGTGGGTGAAATTCAATAAACCAAATTCATCCCCTGTGGCATATTTTCTTCAAATTTTTTTTTATAAATCATGTAACGGGACGAGCAAGTCGTGCGCCTGGTGGTAAGCGACACGCCTGTCCATAACACTTGCAGTACCGCTCAGAGCTTTAAATCGCAAAGATCTGTGGGGCATTGCCACTGAACCCGTCACCTTTAGACAAGTTGACACATCCCATATACCTGTAATTGAATGAGATCACTACCGAGGCGCCCTCTTCCCAACAAAAAAGTATCATCGGAATCGATTCACATAGGTATTTAACGCCCGAGTTATCGCGTAACATACTCCCAAAAAATAACACAAACCAATTGAGAACCTCCTCCTTTTATGAAGTGGGTTAAAAAACATCGTTCGCAATTCGCATCAGGCATTTAACAGCTTATTGAACTTTACATACGTCCCACTGCTAGGCACTTGTCTCTTACTTATTGTACGTAGTGTAGATAGAAAATGCTTACCAGATCGTCGGCAATGATTACCACTATATTAGGTTTCTTAGCACTCACGAATATAAAACTCACGAAAAACAAACATATCACAGTCACACGCATCTGCAAAAATAATAATTTAAGTCACATATGATACCTATTTATTTATTGAATTGCATCATGATGATCATCAAAGAAATACTCGTATATCTCGCACAAACATGGACCCTGTTACATTGTTGCAATCTATAAATAAATGTACATTGACAGTCTATTACAAATAAGTTACAACTCAATTTTAATAACTCAAGACAATCAATTAACTATATTATTTTAAATTCGTTACGAGAATTATAAACTAAAATAGATTATTTTGAAGGCTTAACATGTACGTATGCATAGATTCAAATAGTTCCCTTTTTGTTTTATTTTTTTTAACTTATACTGCTGACTTTGCATGCTGTGATGTTCCTTAAAAGCTTAAATGTTCTTTGTTAAATATCCTTAAAGCCTTAAATAAATAAAATAAGAAAGTTATGAGTAGAGAAAAGAATAGGCAGAATATATAGTATCTTAAGTTATCGCTTTATAATTGTTACACAAAATTAATATGATTTTTTTTTCGGATCTAATTCGCGTATTGTAATTGTTTTATTTTTTCATACAAACGTTTCGGGCTCTCTCCAAGTCCTATAGTCCTATGGTCACAGCTATAGGAGAGAACAAAAATTAACGATATAAGTTAAGGGTCGTACAACCTCAAATGACTTCGGTTAATACCGCATAACAATGTCAGCGTTGAATACAGTGATTAGTATAAAGTGTGAAACGACAAAAAAAACACAAACTTATTAAAAAATAAATTCTGGAATAAAACCAGCGTCCCTGCCGCTCGACCCAAGCAAAATGAACCGTATTAGTACGGGAAAAAATTTTATTCGAGATGAGTTAGTATAATATACAGAGTGTGAAGGCAAAAATATTTTATTGCGCATCAGCCATGACCATAAGACCTAAAACAACCGAGCTCAAAAGTTTGCTCACCCGTTTCAGTTATCGGAAAGGGTGAAATTCAATAAACCCGATTCATCCCCTAATTTGGCACCCTTAGAGAAGGAATATTTTCTTCAAATTCGAATGGGAGCACTACTGAGATACCCCCTTTCCAACACATTATAAATCATCGAAATGGGCTCACAAAATGTAGAAGTACTCACGCAACTTATACAAAAACAATACGTCGTTTAATAATTATTTGAAAAAACAAATATACCTACGCAGAGCTTACAACTTTTCTTCTAAACAGTACTGCACCGTACAAACATATAATTGATAGTTACACTTCAAAAATATAGAACAAAACACAATACAATAATTTAATTATGGCCTGTTTTTAAAATGATTATGAATGAAAATGGCCCGACGATCGAAAGAAATTACAAAATAAATTTATTACCCCACTAGTAGTTCCACTATTATCGAATTCCAAATACTTTAAACACGTTGAATACAAGTTTGTTCCTTTATAAATAAAATCTAGTTTGTCGTTAAACAAAATAAAGCAAAATATATACAAACTATTACAAATAATATATAAACGAATTTACCTTGACGACAGCGACACTTATTCCATTTAGGCACAGGACGGGATCAAATGGCATTAGGCCGCCGAATGAGCATCGCTACCGGCTGACGCGGTACTATCAGTGTCAACAGAAGGTTATCGAACGCTCGTGGGAACTCAATGAATTACGTGTGAGTGAACTATTCCTATTGGACATAAGACTTGCGTTCGCGTTCTGTGTACGACGCTGTTTAAATAATAAAAATGTGTTGTGCATTTGTGCTGTTGCGAATGTTTCTTTCCTGCAGGTTTGATAAGAAAATTGCTCTTATAAATAATTGATAAAAGTAATTTTTATAAGGAGCGTCAGAACAAAAACCGATAAAACCATTATGACAATTATTTCAGAAATTGAATAAGATATATAAGTCTATGGTTTACTAAATTAAAGTCGAACAAAGTATGCCAATTTGTTGGCATTAGTAACACTGTCTCGTAACCTAAACATCGCATTCGAGTGTACAGTATCTGTCGAGACTACCGTGATATTCAATGATTTTTTTTGTGAAATTACTCTACGTAATTACTAATACAAAGATCAAACACTAAGAATAATTCCTTGGATTCGAACCAGCGCCTTCAGCATACTGTGCCTGACGCTCTCCCAACTGAGCAACGGAAAAAATCAGACCTTACGAATTTTTCTATGTGCTTGTTGCAGATCTTTGACGTTTTTACGTCTTTTTGCCGTAGCGCCATCTGTGAGAAATCTAAGAAAGTTTCTTACAGAATAAATTTTTCTTTCTAAATCTTTGTATTAATAATTATAAAAAAATTGTTTTGTTTAGAATTTACAACGTGTTTTTGTTTTTTAGTTTCTTGGTATTTTGGCGAATTTATTGCGTGTATATTAATGAATTTGTTGTATGTATACTTTAATAAGTAAATTTTGACAGTTTAAATTTTGGAATTATGTGTACGACTGTAGGTATGTCTTCACCGTCATATTTGGTCGCAGCTTGTTTAGGCATACTATGACACGGTTATTACTTATTGTTTGCATTGTAGCTCATCGATACCTTAAAGTGTTTATATACATATACATTTAAATTGTTATTTACTTATAGAAAGAATTTTAGAACATCATCAAAGTACAAATTACCGTGGACCTGATTAACCACAACCATGTAGGGATCAGTATACAATCATTATTGTAACTTTTTCATTGTTCAATTCAATTCAAAACCGACCCCAAAAGTAAGCTTAACGGCTTTTTTCGATTGCCATGGGATCCCCTCATCAAATTCTGACTTCTTAGTGACAATGGCTGTTTATATTCTGGTGACCTATAATACAGGTCCAAACTAGTTTAGGCACCAGTCTTCCACCTCACAATTTTCACTGTATGATGTTCTTTACGATAAATACCCTGTAATTTGTATTGTTAAGGTGGAAAGAACAATAAATAATAATAATAATTATTATTATATTGAGAAACAGATACCAAAAGAAAAACTTCAATCTAGGCTGCTAACGTTGTAACAAAAACCTTATACTAAAAACTCGCCTTTTATTTCCGGAAAATAAATTATTAATTTATGGTAGCCGAAACGAATCCAGAACTGTATCGTCGGCATCAGGGACCACCTCGAGAGTATACCTTTTCAAACGAAAAAATAATTTTCAAAATCGGTCAAGAATTGACGGCAAAATCGGTAAGTACCGTGTCATGCCTATAAAATTTGAGGTTTTCCTCGATGTCCCCCTCGTCAGAATGTGACTTGGTGACAAAGGATGTTTTAAAAATGGAAAAATAGAAAAGAATCATAAGTATACACTGTTTTTAAAAATAACAACTGAAAAAAGATCAACAATTCACATATTCGGTGAGCAATACTTTAATAATTGTTGCAAGCATAGTCGATTGTGCTGTATAAAGGTTTATTAATGTTCTTGCGTTGTCTTATTAGCAAGGCACTGCCACTTTTTACACGTCAAATACATTTATAACGTTTGTTTTTAGTTCGTCACGGCAAACAGTTTCATTGAACTGCCTCCGTGGCCGAACGGTTACCATGCCGGACTGCCACGCAGAGGTCCCAGGTTCGATTCCCGGGCCGGGAGAAATATTTGTATGACCTACATTTATTTCTCTCGTGAGTTTGGGTGTAATTTGTGGTTGTCTATGTGTGTGTCCATGGCACCCGCGACACAGGGTTTCCCTAGTGCGGGGCTATGTTGAGTGTGTGCGTTATTATTATTATTATTATTATTAAAGTAAACGGCGTCTAATTTCGGTGATTTCGTCCCACAATATCAAATCAAAATAACTGCCTTACGGTTACCTTGCTGGACTGCCACGCAGAGGTCCCGAGTTCAATTCTCGGGCCGGGAGAAATATTTGTATGGTCTACATTTATTTATCTTGTGAATTTGGATGTAATTTGTGGTTGTCTGTGTGTGTCCATGACACTCACGATACAGAGTTACCCCAGTGCGAGGCTACGAGTGTGTGCGTTATTAAAAATTATTAAATTAAATCTTTGAATATAGATATTAAAACTGGTGGACAGAGCATTAAAAATACCAGTGTCTCAAAGCAAAATTTAAGTTTTTGACCAGTGTGTGTGTTGGCAGTGATGACTTATGACACTGGGACGCTTGTCGCTCACTACCTCATAAGGCTAAAGGTCACCCAAAGGTCCATAGAAAGGGCTAAGCTCGGAATTTCACTGCGAGATCGAATCGAGAAATGATACCCGCAAAAGAACCATCCCCATATATTTCCACATTAGTTTTGATTATAGCGATCCTCCCTACCAACCCTTAGGGTACACGAGAAGGGCACTAAATCCTGTGCGTGCACAGGAACCTTCTGAGTTCAGATTCTGACCCCAGATCAGTTGTCACTGACTTCATCCGGTTCTCGAGATGCTAGTGCCTCGGGTGAGCTGCCCCGGGTACACGGACAGTATCATCCCTATTTTCCAGATAAGTGCCGGAGCTGTAGACACGCTCATTTCCCGTAGCGCATTGAACAACTAACGGTTGCCACCGCAAAAGAACTAGAGAAACCGATATAGTATATTACATAACTGAATATTTTTGTTATTTGAAGGGCAGGACACAATGCTCGCAGAACAAATGGCCGACAGGGCCAAAGAGTACCGGAAGTTGCAGTGTGAGCGTGAGGTGAGGGTTGATGTTGAGGATATTTTTTTTATAATATAAAGTGACGGGACTAACAAGTCGTGCGCCTGATGGTAAGCTACACGCCTGTCCATAACAGTTGCAATGCCACTCAGCTCTTTAAATCGCGAAGATCTGTGGCGGCCACTGCGCCCATCACCCTGAGACATAAGTTGACAAGTCCCATGTGCCTGTAATTACATGTACACCAGCACCCCTACCCTTCAAAACCGGAACACAATAATGCTGACTTTACTATTTGGCGACTGAAATAAATAAGGTGACAGTACTTACCTGGACGAACCCTTTCATAAGAAGTTCTACTGCTACGATAACTTTAGGGAAGGCCCCGTGTCCAGCAATGGAAGTCTTTCGGCTGAAATGACGATAATGGTGGGCAGATATATCTCTGATGTATCTAAAACGTGGAATTTAAATTGTAATGTCATCGCAGTACTGTCTAATTGTGCTTGCTTCGCTGTCAGTCGAACAAACGAAGACTAAAGCGTCAATGACGCTCTGTATACGATTTTAACGCCCTATAAGTTCGGACACTTTTTAGCGCGGACCCGACTTCCATATAATTGTAAGTCAATGGTAAAAATATTATTATAAATCGTAAGTGAACTTACTCAGCAGCCAAATTCCGGCGTTCACACGGATCTTCTGTTAAATTAAATAAGCAAAGGCGCTTCTTTTGAAACGCATGGAATATCTGGCAAATTACTGCATTTCACCGTATTTGATTCCCTAAGAGAATAATTTAAAGAAGAGGAATTAGTACACTTCCCTGTGGGACCCTTTTCTTTTCTCACAAGCGGAATAAGATCCTTCAATGTATAGCTAGATGTGCTGCCGTCTGTACATAAGTAAGATATAAAAAAACCGGTTACAGGGGGTTGTAGATCCCGTTTCGCTTTCCAGATATGTTAATAAAACAATTTCGATAAAAATGACGATAACGTTAGTTACGATGACGCGGGCATCATTGTTCACTTGTCACTTGTCTGAGAACTAAGCGTATTATTCTAAAATCCCAGAAACACAAAGTCATATCCATATTAAAGAAAACGTTTGAGGTCATTGACCGAAATAGCTCTTCCAATTCCGATCACTAATTAATTAGCCAATGTATTCTTCTAAAGCAATTTCATAAAACATTGTGCTCTTACCTGAGATTATCAATCGTTGTCATTGAAGCATTGACTTACAATTATATGGACGTCGGGTCCGCGCTAAAAAGTGTCCGCACTTGTAAGGCGCTAAAATCGTATACAGAGCGCCAAACTCCGCTTTAGTTTTCATTTGTTCTACTGACAGCGCGATATTGCGATGACATTACAATTTAAATTTCGAATAGGTTGACTTGGAACATTTTTTTCGTGGTTTTTGTATTAGACCCGTCGTCCATTTATTTGTAAGTCAATGCATTGAAGGCATTAAATTTAGACTGGCAATAGTTTTACCAGCTAAACTATTTAATAGTAACTCTGTATCGTAACTCCCTTCACGGCCGTCGGGTTCATACCAACCGTCTTTCTCTTCACCTTAATTAATGGAAGGTTTATTTTGTACAAATAAAGATGAAACTAGGAAAATATTATTCGTAAACGATAGTATGTGTTTTCACAGAGATGGAAAATGGATTGCTTCGATGTTTGAAAAGTTCGTCCAGACAAGTACTGCCACCTTACCCTTTTCTGCCGCCAAGCAGTAATGTGAGCATTACTGCGTTCCGATTTTGAAGAGTAAGGGTGCTTAAGGCCTTACAGGCACAAGGGACTCGTCAACTTTATGTTTCAACGTGATGGGCACAGTGGCCGTGTCCCGAAGCTCTTTGCGTTTGAAAGCTCTGAATGGCACTGCAACTGAACAAAAAAAAAATTGGTTGGATTATAGTAGAGTAACAAAAGCACAAATTCAGTGTCAATCAAAAGTATACGAGCGTGGGAAAAGGTGACTCAACGTATCTCAACCAGACACGGATATGGAGGATAATAACGATGGTGTACTAAGAAATGAAATACCTGTAATAAGTTTCCAACCATCTACAGCAATCGCAGCTGTTCCTTTCACGTCGTCAATGTTGTACACTACTGTGTTTCGAAGAGATTCACCGTCTTTAGACAGAGTTTCCCATTGATTAATACCGTCTATGCCTTGAAATACACTGTTGACGTTTAAAATTTTACTTTACTACAATGTAATTCAAATAAGCACAATTGACTCTACTGTGAACCGAAGTTATGAACTATGGAGCTGCAATCGAGGGTACATCATCTATATTCTACTTTTCGGTTACATTATTAACAGTAAAGTCTCCTTGCGAAAGATTTCGTCCAAGGAAGCAAGCAGTAATGTGGGTTTTGAAGGGTAATTAAGGGTGCTGGTGAAATTACAGGCAAACAGGACATGTCAACTTATGTGTCAGGATGACGCGCACAGTGGCAGTGGTAATTAGAACTTTGCGATTTAATGCTCTGAGTGACACTGGAACTGCTATGGACAGGCGTGTTCCTTACCAAATGGCGCATGACAACAAAAATTTACATAGCATCCTATGGTAAAGAACTGAAACGTTTACTCCAAGTTCCATATACAGTGACCTCGGCGGCCCATTGGTTTGCACAAAGGTAAAAGAACCTTTTTATATTGATTCCGGTCTGAGTGTTATGGGTAATTTGTCCGAAGTAAATTCCGTTGTTCTAGAATCTGACGATTATCATATTACATTACGAGGTTTATGGGGGTAATTAAATTATTTTTACCTTACATTGCCACCAGCAACGTTGTACAAAGTGGGCAGCCAATCTACAATATGCATCGTTTGGCTTGCCACACGGGACTTTTTCTCTATTAAGGGACTCCATAGTACAGCAGCTCCGCGAGTGCCACCTTCCCAAAGAGTCATTTTACCCTATATATGATTATGAACAAATAAAAAGGTACTCTATGCGTTTTGAGTTAAGTTTTACAGTTCTTTGAATAAGAAGGCACAAGCTACGACCAGAAGACATAAAAACTGTCGGAGATAGGAAGTAAACTTACTTATGTGGTCCGTGAAACTTACGATATCAGAAAATATTGCTTAGACTTATTTTTGTATGTAAATAGTTCCATGTGTATAGACGACCTCCGTGGTCGAATAGCTTGCACACCGGTTTTCATGGTGTCGCTATCTCTGAGGTCCCGGGATCGATCCCCGTTCGGATCGGTGTAGAAAACTAACTTTTCTATATTGTCTCGGGTCTCGGTGTTTGTGGTACCGTTGTTGTTTCCGATTTCCATAACACAAGTGCTTTAGGTACTTACTTTGGGATTAGAGCAACGTATGTGTGTAGTCTAATATTAAAAAAATACATGAATGTTCGTGTTTATGTCTTGTATCTAAACTTCAAAGTAAGAATACGTAAAAATTCAATATTTTATGTGGCTCGCATTGACTTACAATTATATGGACGTCGGGTCCGCGCTAAAAAGTGTCCGAACTAATAGGGCGTTAAAATCGTATACAGAGCGTCATTCACGCTTTAGTCTTCGTTTGTTCGAATGACAGCGAAGCAAGCAAAATTAGACAGTACTGCGATGACATTACAATTTAAATTCAACGTTTTAGCTTTTTCATATTCCTTTACATGTCACTACCGTTAAATAGGTTGACTTGGGACATTTTTTTCGTGGTTTTTGTATTAGACCCGTCGTCCATTTATTTGTAAGTCAATGGTGGCTCGTTTGCCATTCTGACAATTTGATTACTACTTATATAAAATGTAGCGAGATCCACCAAAAGGGTAAAGTCTGAAAACACAGTTCAGGCTGACACTGTTACATTTTTATCTACCTACTAACATGTGTTTTAAAATAAATTTAGATGATATTATTTAAGGTTATAGTGTTATTATTTTACTTTTAATTCGTACAAACAATAAAGTTAAATAAAAATTAACTACCCGCGAAGAACCAAGAAAATGAAACAACAGTAAATGGAATCTTACCCCTCTTAAAGGATAATTGGAGCCAGCATTTTTATTGCCCATACCAGCCGGTAGACCTCCATTGTCAGTGGTGAATACGACCACGGTGTTGTTAAGTAGACCGTGTATGTAAAGCGACGATATTACTTTGCCCACGGATTTCGGACGTCCAATTTTGAGAGGAGACTCCTAGCCGCGTGGAAATAAAATTTGATGAAAACTCAATGATAAAGTTCTATGTAGGTAGGTTTAAACTTTTATGGATGCGATTACACATCCGGCTCGAAGGACCAAAATATCAAAGGATTCAATTGATTGAAATTCGGTACTAATTCTAATATATGTATTTTTAGTTAAAAATCTCTCATGTATCATATTTGAATAGTTCCGTCAACGTATCAACTTGACGCCATGCATCTTCGTTCGTCATGTTATAGGCTTTAAGATTTCAGTAAAAACTACTAATTTGTTAGAATAAAGTTAGACAGCGTACACAGCGTATTTTGTACTGTTAAAGTCCTACTTGAGCTCATCATCAAAACAAATGTTGAGACATGTTATTTCTAATATAACTGCTTGTTCTAAAATATTGTCTCTGCCACTTCTTGTCAGGTTGCCATTGCCACAAAAGTTCGTTAATTTCAGAACGAATTGAGTGTCAGACTGAACTGCTGTCCACTGTTGGAATAGGTTAGTGATATTCCTTTATTCCGAAGTACAAAACAAGAATTTTAGTTACAACGGTATGTTTAAAATATTATATTACAATATTTAGGTACATACATACAACTATTTCATATACTCGTACACGTAGGTTGATATTATACATACAGATATCTATCACACCTACCAAAACATATGAGCACTTACTTTTTTGCAAGCTTACATATTATATACATAATACATAATGTAGATACGTATTAGAGAAGACTTAGAACGAGCTGGCAACGTTCAATCGTGCATCCCACTCGAACTCGTGCTAAAAGCAGTGAAAGATCGCTATTTGTCCCGCTCGCACCCTTCCTACTGAATAAAAGACAGGTGAACTATCAACGCAGGCAGTTCCTAGTTCGTACTGAACTAAAAAGAACGATGAACTATTAAAACCGTACAAGACGAACTAGTTTATGTCGGTCAGTGTCGGGAATATGTTCCTAATAGTTCGTAGTTCATGAACTATACAAGCCTACAGTGTATTGCACAAAATAGGTCACGTTTCATAGTTAGTTATTTCATATATATTTTAAAAATGAGAACGCGACAGCATGTTTTTTTGCGTGGGAAGAAGGAAACCCTCATAGATGCTGTAGGTCCCGACCAGATGATACGCGCGATATAACTATGATGTGCACCCAGTGACCCACAGACTAAAACCTCCCCTGTTAGTTACCTGTTGTTCTATTTAATCTATTCGTTCTTTTCTATAATTATAAGTTATACTTTTATTGTTATTTCAGTTGACGCGTGTACCAGCCATCGCTGTCTTCGACCATATTTGAGCGAAGAGGACGACCCGCCAACACAACAGCCTGGTTTGGAGAATAATGACCTTCCACATGGAATGTCCCAGTTCGTTTCTGAGCTTGTGTTTGCTCTACTGAGTCTTTTCGATTCAAGCGCAATTTAAATAGCTTGCTTTAACGTCGAAGGAAAACATAATGAAGTAGGAAACTACGCATGATGGAGATACTTTTAAAAAACTCATGGAAGACGTGTAATAACACAGTACCTACAATGGGCCTGCCTGTTAAACAATGGTCTAAAATCTTTTTTAAAGCGACCTTTTTACACAACAGTAGTGAATTGGACGTATAGGGGCTGATGCAATGCTACATCATACATAATAGATTAACTTTTACCTTTTCAACTTCTTCTGTATAAATATCAGTGGCGTATTTACCAAAATATTCGTGGCCTACTTGGAAACCTGAAAATTAAATAGTCATTATATCTAATGCTAGTCTATGGTAGACATGGTATAATCGAAAGGCAATGTAACAGTAACCCTACCTATAGGAAATGAAACTACTTTTCCGGATTTAAATCGCGTTTATTAGTTTTTCAAACAAACCGACGTTTCGGGCCCTTTACAGGTCCCATGGTCACGGTTGACTGAGGTGGTACAGTCTTCAACCAGTTATGTCTAATATTGATGTAAACCACCTTGTTAATCATCATCAAATCTCATCAATCATCTGTAAAGGGCCCGAAACGTCGGTTTGTTTGAAAAAACAAATATACGCGATATAAATCCGGAAAAATGGTTTCATTTCCTATGTGTAACAATCGCGAAAACCTAAGAACTCGATAGTAACCTTACCTATTTCTGCCGCCATGCACAAGCAGTAATGCGACCATTATTGCATTCCGGTTTTGAAGAATAGGGGTGCTGGTGGAACTACAGGCATATACTCGTAGAACTTGTCAACTTATATCTCAGGGCGACACGTGCAGTGCCCCTCCGATCTTTGCGGTTTAAAGCTCTGAGTGGCACTGCAACTGTTATGGACAGGCCTACGACTTGTTCGTCCCGTCACTTGGTATTATATAAAAAAATAGATGGTAATGATGATCAATAGCTAGTATATAAAATGTCCATGACATGAGTATTTTTCAAAATATTTTTAATAGACACTTTAGTAGCAGGAAAGAGAAAAGTCCAACTATCGAAGCAGTCCATTTTCTTTCTCTGTGGTTATATGTAAACAGGTTACCTATCAGTAGTTCCAAATGACATTTTCCAGAAATAACGTTTGGTCGAAATTTCATAACCTCAAAAGTATTTTGAGAGGAAAATATTTTTTCTTTCAAACCTAACTTAACCTAACCTTTTTTTTTTAATTATCGTGAGGAAAATGCGTTACGCATTCCCCGCCGCTGGGAGACGGCGGGGATATGTGGGACTCTCTCCTGGGGACTATGTCGATCCCCAAGAGCATACCCACTAAAAACCTCACGATGTTCCTGCGCGCACCTGGCGCCGGAGCCGCGGGGTCCTTTTCAGATGCTACCGCGACTCCGGTGGTGCTGGTCCGCCTTTGGGCGGACCCCTACACCATCGCCCCCTTAATCATGGGGGGTGACCTACACGGAGATGCCCCGGAACATTTGGGGCATCTACCGGCGAACTTAACCTGACCTAATCGAACCTAATCGTGTCTTTGCAATAAACATTCAAGATATCCTTGATCAAGATATTCGTTATAATTAGGTTTTCGGAGTAATGAAAATTCGAACAATTTCGGACAAAAAAATTTTCGACTTTGTAATAGATTACCATCAAAACACTTTTGTCGAATTGTCGAGTCATAAACCTTTTTTACTTTCACCTTTACGTTACAAGTTGACAAAATGTACAGCTACCACAATACAGGTAATAAGAAAGATGGTTGCTATTGACTCGCCGGTCGTAAAGGGACTTAAGCTAGTACAATGCTGGTGAAAGTATGGATATATGGCATGGGATTTGTCAGCTTTATGTCGCAAGGTAACAGGTGTATTGGCAATGCCGTTCAGATTTTTGCAATTAAACCTCTGAGTGGCACTAGAAGTGTTATAAGTACGTGTGTCGCGGCACCATAAAAAGAAAAACTTTATTCCGGGTTAATGATTTAAGTGCCATAGAAAGTTTCATATTTTAATGTATTTTGGACTTAATTAAATTTTTATTGAATTGATATTCAATTATTTTTTGTGAAATTACTCCACTAGTTTGTTATAATTGTTAATACAATGATCGAACACTCAGAAAAAACACTCAGAAAAAATTCCTTCGATCCGGTGGGATTCGAACCGACGTCTTCTTGCATACCGTGGCAGACGCTATACCAACTAAGCCACGGAACGAACCAACGGACCTCACGAATTTTTCTATGTGCTTGCGTCGTGTCTTTGTACTTGGTCTTTCAACGACTTTTTAGTCGTAGCGCCATCTATGAGAAATCTATGACAGATTTATCACCCAGTTAGTACCTTTACAGCTACCAGTCTGTATTAATTAAATTTTTATTGAATTGATATTCAATTACTTTTTGTGAAATTACTCCACTAGTTTGTTATAATTGTTAATACAAAGATCGAACACTCAGAAAAAACACTCAGAAAAAATTCCTTCGATCCGGTCGGATTCGAACCGACGTTAAATCGCTATTATTTTAATGTATGTAATAATTAGGTACCTTGTATTTAAAATTTTAACAGTAAACTCCAACTAGAGATTCGTACAAACAATAAAATTGAATAAATTTTAAAAAAGCACCCCGTATTGCATACCTTGTCTAAAATCATAATCCCAGGTACCATCAAACTCCATCGCAGTGTGATCATACATATCATTATCAATGTGACCTGTCCACGGACCCACGTGGCTGTCAAACCTTAAACAAATACGCACACACGCGCACACGCACACATTTATTATTATTATTACTGACTTGACAGTAACTGTTTCGGACAGATGTCGGACGGTGAAAGAGAATAGACTTCGTAAGCTTAAGCTTTACGTAAACAAATTGTTATCACTAGGTACAGGTTCCTTACCTAAAGCTTAGGTTCTCGAGCGTGTAACCGTAAATATCTGAAAAATTATGAAAGTGTCGTATAAATATGCCAACCGTTCTGAGTGAGCCAATTCTTCGACCGAGCGTCGAACAAACAATAATGCGTGAGGATGCCTCGTAAAGAGGCGGTACACGTGAAGGTATATTTTTGGTGGTGACATTTGTGACTGTAGTTGCGCTTCTGTTATTTATTTTATTAATTTTATGCGGAGGGAGAGTGAAAAAAATTTACCGCATGAAAAAAAGTCCAACATAAGGGCAGCTATTTTGTATCACCCATATTTAACCATCCCTTATTCATCACAATTTAACGTCACCAACGACAACGAAAACCACGTAGATTCACGGGTTGTCTACCGCGAAGCTTGAGGAGACACGTGTCCAGTAGTGGAATGTATAATGTTTTATTTAACTGTTCTTTTCATCAACAAGCAACTGAATGTACCTATCGTAGATCTCATATAACCAAATGTCAAAGATTATTATCTCTTACACTTTATAGGAATGACACCGTTCCGAATAGTGTACAGTGTCGTTGCTAGAACCCGGTCAAGAGAGGAAGTGATAGATAACAAAAATGTTCCAAGAAAACGACGAATTAACTATAGTAATAATAATGGCTATTGATACTTGAAGGGTGAAATGCTGGTAAAATTACAGACACATGCGACTTGTCAACTATGGCTCTGGGTGACGGACACAGTGGTAGTGCCCCTCAGATATTTGTAATTTAAAGCTCTGAGTGGCACTGTAACTGTTATGGACAGGCGTGTAACTAACTATCACGCGCACGACTTGTTCGTCCCGTCACTTGATGTTATAAAAAATAATGTATCAGAGTCCAGACAGCCACAACAATTACCTAGTCTCAAATTAGGATACTTGGTACTTGGTGTAACGGGCTGGTGTCCGCAACTCGACGACAGAGGTCAGAGGTCCCGAGTTCGATTCCCGGTCGGGAGAAATATTTGTATGGCCTACATTCAGTTCTCCCGTGAGTTTGGGTGTAATTTGTGGTTGTCTGCCTTTGTGTGTGTCTATGGCACTCGCGACACAGGGTTTCCCTAATGCGGGACTATGAGGGTGTGCGTTATAATTATTATTATTATTTCCTGCACTATGAGTACCATAACAACGGAATCACTCTAGCGCAGTATCCATTTAGCAGCAGTAGAGCTCCTTGTAAAAGAGTTCGCCCAGGGAAATACTGCTACCTTACTTATTTCTACCGCCAAGCAGTAACGTTAGCATTACTGTGTTTCTGAAATTACAGGCACAAGGTGACAGGCGTAGTGGCAGTGTCTCTCAGATCTTTGCGATTTAAAGGTCTGCGTGGCACTGAAACTGTATGGACAGGCGTATCGGTTAACACCAGGTGCACGACTTGTTCGTGCAGTCACTTGGTATCACAAAAAACCCCAGAACACCCAAATCAAAACCCCTTCTTTGCCCGTGGACCACCTCTCTGGTCCACCTGGGTGGACCACGGGAAATTGTTTCTTCCCGTAGATCACCTATGTCCACTTGGGTGGACCACGGGCATTTTGATCTTCCCATAGCTCACCTCTTAGGTACAAAATAGATAAACACAAAACTTATATTGGTGGTGGTCCACCACAGACGACACGACGACAATGATACTTTGTCCCGACTAGTCAAATTTCAAAAACTCTTTTTTACCTTACCTGTATATTATCGTAATTAAATAAAAATAGTGATTATTCTGTATTAATAGATAATAAATAGTAATTGATATATCTGTTCATTAGTCGTATCTCTCTGCAATTGAAATGTTATGGAGTTTTAATGACAAGGTGACATAGGTGATCTACGGGAAGAAATAATTATCCGTGGTCCACCCAGGTGGACCATGGGAGAGGTGGTCCACGGGCAAGAAGGGACCAAAACCAATTTATAAAAATTAATTTCCCAAATTGGTTCTACCGGGAATCGAACTCGATACCTCCGCATCCAACGCTCTACTATCGATTTTTTTTTCAATACAACAAAATCTTATAAGAAACTGAGTCAGTCTATCGGCATTAAAACAACATTATTAAATTTTATGAAATACGTTTTATCAAATGTTACCAATTTCTGCTGTCTCGATTTTGTTTGTTTGTCCCATACAATGAAATGATCCCTTCACGAAACTGAGTCGACCAGCACTAAAAAAAATGTTTATAAATTTTATACATTTTTATATGGACAAATCACGTTTGACCAAAAAATGTACTATGCCAAAATTATTTTCACAAAAAGACTTAGTGGTTCCTATAATTGAATTCCTATAATTCCTATTCCTTGTATCTCCTATGATTTCTCCATACAGTTCCATTTAAAAAAAATGTATATATTGCACTTTCGGAATTTCTAGATTTTACATGCAAATCATAATAAATAAGTATTAACTATAGTCCATCTGTTTAGGTACTTAAATAAATGTAAACAATCTTGAGATGTCTATTTAATGAAATATACATTTATAAAATGATTTTGCCTTACCTTCAAATACAAAATACAAATGCTTAGCTTCATATAAAATTGCATGCCTATTTTTATACCTATTGATTTGTAAAGCATGTTTCAATAAAAAGATGTATCAAGATTGTTTACATTTAGTTAAGTACCTAAACAAATGGACTATAGGTGTGAATAAAACAAAATATTTTATAAATCGTTTACTTTATTAAATTACAGTCCATTTTACCTTTCACACATTCGCACTTATGAACAAAATAAAATGCATCGAGACATCGACAGTTAGTAAACTATACAAGGATCGAGTCCCCTTACGCCGACTGTGCACCGGCTTTAGGATCGGACATAAATCGGATTTTAAAATACCACATTTGTGACGATTTTGTATATCACACTTCATAACGTGAAGTTATTTATCAAATCTAAAAACATTGTCAAGTGTTTCAAAGGCATAAACAATTATTATGTAAATATTTGCAACAAATCACGATAAAATTGGTAATATAACAATAATTTACCAGTTAAGGAGCATACAATATTAACAGTTACATTTAATTTATTTTTTTATTTAACAATATTTTAAATTTGTTGAATAGTAATCATTACGTTATAATACCTTTGTATTAACTAATTATCGAACACCAATAAAAAATCATCTCGATCACCTGCAATGTACATTGAAAACATTAAGTTTATCATAGTACATTTCATGCTATTTCAATTGAAATAAGGTATACATTGCAATGCTTTAGAGGCCGACCTCGGAGCATCGCAGCGCATTTCTCTTTCTTGCTTGCCGTCTGCCGGTATACACTGGCCTTTAATTCAGTATTCACTATCGGCAGATCTTTTCCACAACATGGCAAAGGTCTTTGTCTACCATTCTAAGTATAGCCAACATGAGAAAAGCCTGTTATAAATTGACGTTGTAAGAGAAAGACAAGAACAACGCGATATCTTTTCTCTCCTCACTAAATATCGTATCTGAGTTAACTCGGTAGAACGAGTTTGACGAGTTTGAGTGTGATGCAAAACTGAAAACACGTCTTAGTCAGTACACGACTGGAGCCTCCCCTGTGCGTCTGGCGCACCTTGGACTACAATCGACGAGTACTTATGATAACTTATGCCGATTGGCAAATATAACCCAGAAGAAGCAAGAACATTGACAGATTATGCACATTAGATATATTTTATCTAACGTAATTCGCGCCAGGGGACTCGATCCTTCCGACCATTAAAACTTAATGAGCACACGGGAATAATGTATTTATCTACATTTTAAATACTACTATTATTTTATCATAATATTATAATATGAATTACATTTATTTTATAGCAGCAATAGTAAAAATTTTCTGGGTACTTGGTGAAAAACGGTGTTCATTTAAATTATTTAAGTTGTTTTGTTCGAACACGATTGGCGTATAAATGCAAATTTTACAAGACGAGTGAATTACAAAAATTTGTAAAGTTTTAGGTACATTATATGTTTTTTTTTTAATTTTAATAACTATAGTTACGTCAAAAATATTGTTTTGGCAAATATCAAAATTTTGTGTACATAGATCGAAAACTGTGAAAATTAAAATAAATTTTTCATGACCCGCGCCTTTTCTTCCCATGTATATCAATATTTTTAAGGGACTCTGATAAGGTGTATTCGGCAGATTTTAAACTAACAAAGAGTAAAAAGTACATTCTTTTCAAACCCGCCCAAGTCGTATGTTTACAAAAGATTTCGATGAAAAGATTTATTCATTACGTAAAATTTACATAAAATCTAGAGATCAAGCGAAATACCGCAAGACACGGGAAATATTATTCATTTAAAAACAACTACAACGTAGTCACTATCGACAAAATTTAAGTGACAGTTTCATATTCGAAATTCACTCTTGCCCCATTTGCCTGTACGCCTTTTCCCACCAAAATACACAGCGTTAAACGTTAACAAAACAAAATTGGACGAAAAGAAATATCTTACAACCGCTATAGAAGTATTCGTATGTCTACAAAATTAAAAAACGAATCAACAATTTTAGTTCCTCAATGTTCTGTATTGTCGATAAAAGAAGACAGTGGCGTAAACTCTCATGAGAGAGGTACTTAAAAAATTATAACCTTTATTTTTCAAATTGACGTCTAAATTGAAGGTGCGCAATAAAATCTTAAAACGTCTGTAAGTTAATGACGTAACTAACGGAAAAAACGCGTCTGATTTACGTGCGCTCAAACATTTTCATTTAGTGCTACATTGACGCATTGACTTCTTGTAAATGGTTTTAAATTGATTTTTTTAATTTTATTTCAAATTTATGACGTGTGCAATTTAAACTGTGCATTTTTACAATATACATGAATTTAATTTTTCTTCAAACATTATTATATTTTTTTTATATTTTATTGCACGACCTGGATACAAAGTCCTTCAGTCGAGAACTTTATAACTAACAACAACAAAAAAGGCAAAGGCGTAGAACAGATTCAAATTAAGTAGTGCAAATACAGATGTGTAATTTTTATTTTGCCAAAACTACAATTACGTCAACGTAGCACCAAAATGAGCAATATGTTACTTGCAATGCAATTTCAACAAAGCACACTCGAGCGAATATTTAAATCGGTAGTTTAGATGCGTTTTTTTTTCAGCTCCGTTTACCCGCAATTCAACAGCATAATTTCGGCACTTCCAATCTCCTCCAATCAGAGATTGCAGTCCTTCCAGAGTTCAACTCTATAGGAAAAATAGTTGGAAGGTACAAATTAAGCGGCTGAATTTCAGCGTCGTGTAAATGTATCGTATCTTAGAGATATTTTTAATGCCTGGCACTGCCGTTTGCGACGTCTTGCCTATAGTGACATAGGTAACTAATATGATATGGTATATGGTTATTACGGCCACAGAATGTACAGTCTTTGGTAGTAAAGAAATTCGAAATTTTAAATCCAAACTAAGGCCAAAATACAAATAAGGTTGAATTTTACTAAAATTTTGTAAGAGGGTAGGAACAGACACGCTAGAAGGAGTTATATATAATTCTACATCCCTGTTTTTATATAAAACGTCAAAGGCAAAGAATTATATTACATTTTGTATACAGCTTCTTCTGGATGATTTGTTTGGTTACTAATTATTCTTAACACAAGTTTGTGTTGGCTTCTCTTTTATGAATGTTAAAACGTATCCCTAACACTTCTACCTAAGATTTATCTTTGTGAAATAAATAAAATTAAAACTTAACCCAACCTCACTTATCGATGTACCAAACATACCATCCTTCTGAAGTCTGTCTTTATACAAGATTATTTTCTAATAACCCAAAAATCTTGAACCCGACATTCCTATTGATATAACAAACAATTTTGGTTCATCAACTATCACTTATACAAAGCTGTGTCAACAGGACCATGTATTACAAATGTTGAAATTTACATTAAACAAGTTACAATACTACTAATTACAGTTTAATAAAAGAAAAAATACTTTACATATTCGTAAGTTTGTATTGTAGTATACTGAAAACTTTGTATACCGACTTTATAAGCTGTTTAACACAAAGAAATAAATTAATTTGTACTGATAGAAGACTTTCTATTAAAGTATAACGGGGTTATTGAATGCGAGTTGTAGTTACTAGGTCACATCTTTGTAAAATTGTAACACAATTTTGACAAGTGGCTTCAGGTTGTGTCAAAACCATTTTGAATTGTGATGGCGAAAATCGACCAAATTACACATTTTTCGTGTAACAAATTTAGTATAATACAGAAATTTTGTTATTGTTCTCCAATGTAATAATTATCAAACAACAAAGTTATTCAAAAATTCAATCACAGCAGAATATCAACGTCAAGCTGTTTTTCATGTACAACATCCAAGACAAATGCCGAGTGAACACCATTTTGGATCTCAATGTTTAGTATTAAGATTTACTTTTTCATTAGTCATAAGAAAATGAAACCAAATAAATAATATTTTCACTAGCTCGGAAAGGCTTTCTTCTCATAAGAAATCTGCGCGCAAAAGCGTTGTTACCACGTTAGCGTGGAAAAGGGTTTTGAAATTCAAACTTGACGATAGACTGTGGTGCACCTAACTCTTTCTTTCGATGAAAAAAAATCATAATGACACGTTCAACTACGCGATTTGTTGTGATTTTATTCTTATTATTGTTGACATTCAATTGACAATAATAACTAAATTTGTTTATTAAATTATTATAATTCGTCGAAAAACTAAACTGACTTGTTATAGTGCAACCATTGACTTACAATTATAGTGCAACTGTTTATCTTTCATCTACCATTGTCCTCGCTATAGTGAGGTGAAAAGTTGTGTGTTTCGCTCGGCAGCAAAGTTGTTTTGCGTCTCGTGTCTTGAAACCCTCGCTGGTTTCAATACTAGCATTAGCGTCAAACAACAACTTTACAGCCTTGCATAACAAAAAAAATGTTGTATACATTTCCATAAGTCGTTATGCAAAAGCTAATTAATTCTAATAATAGGAATGCCAAGTTATGAGGTATTGGGTCATGGAAAAATATCCCCATAAATATTATGCATTCGTGATGCAAAAGAATTGCTTATATAATAAGATCCCTATGAACCTAAGCAGCAATCCGAATGCACAGGTTACATACATTGCGTCTACGTTGTATTATATAAAAGGAAATATGTAGATAAAAAGCAATTAACGAGATTGCTACCGTCTACCCTCTAAGACTAACTTGCCGCTTACTCCTTGCGCGGCTTCCGTTTCCGCTGCCCGTCGCCAGCGCCCTCTGTGTCGACAAGTGGAGTTGTCTGTAATTGACAAATGTACGTAACTTAGAAATGGCATGTATTTAAATGATGATTTGAAATTTTCAAATGCAGCAGGCAAAAAAATGTTTTATTAGATAGTTTGGATAAACGGCCATCTTTTTTAATGATTGATCGTGTCTCTGAGAAATAAAATAATAAAATCTGATGTTATTTTTAAAACTTAGTAAATGCTGATTATATTTGTATACTAATATTGTATTAATTATAATACAATTTGACCTGAAAACATGTTCGGAAACGCAAGCAAATTGGCTTCCGGCACTCGCCGGCCGCTGCCGCGGCACGCTCGTTTCATATACCTAATATATACCTAACTTACTGAATGGAGGGCGAAACCAAGATGTATTAGGTCAATACCAAAAGATATACTGGTTAAAAACGTCATCAATCGCTAAAAGAAAAACCAATAGTAGAAAAAGATGATCAAATATTATTTTTTAATACCAAATATTAATTTACTATGCTTAAACATAATGATAGTAGATCAGCCAATATATAGGTCCAACAATTAATGTATTTGCAACAGATCAATTATAAATTACACTTACATCAGTGGAATCGGGTTCCACTTCCGGTCCTTCCAGGTCCGCTTTGCTGAGTCGTTCCGGCACCTCTTCAGGCTCCGCCTCGCCTTCCGCTTCCGCCTCTCCCTCCGAGATGTGTTGATCGTCCTCAACGAAAGCGTCAGTCTTTTTAATGTCAGCGTCCGAGTCCTGCACCACGTAAATCACTGTTAAACGACTATGTGCAACATTTTAAATTTCCATTGGCGTATGTTGTCCGAAATAATTAATGTCAAATAAGAGTACAGCCTAAGCGAGTTTTGCGCATTGCATCCGTTCCATATTTGTTTCGAATCCGAGTAATAAAAGGTCCGAAATATCACAGGGATCATTTTATCTCTAGGGGTCGTATTCTAGAACTCTACTCAATGCTCAAGTCGGGATTGCACTGGAAACACAACTACTGGAAATACGACCCTAATGGCAGGGACTTGAGTATGATTTCGAGTGCTTTAAACCATACTCAAATCCTGACTTGAGCATTGAGTAGAGTTCTAGAATACGACCTTAGGTGTACAAACGACGTTCATATTTTCTCGAATTTGTATTGGACTTAGTGCACAAGCGACATCTGAAGTGGGTTCGAGTTTTCTAGATTTATATGATCTCGGATTCGGAACAAGTATGAATCGGATGAAGAGCGCAAACGCGCTTACAATACCTACCTCCTGCCTGAACGTTGGCGTTCTTGATCAATATTAACTGACGATGATGACGTTGGGGTTTCCTTCATGTGATAAGCACCATTATTTACTATCTCTCACTAATTGCCCCATTAAACATAGAACAGACTAAGGAAATTGTAAGGAATCGTCAAGTATGTGCGAAAAGAAACATGGCTACGGCAAGATCTAAATCCAGTGAGACTATGGGAAGAAAGTTTATACCTACAAAATTTTAATATTTAAACAAAAAGTTCGTGAGGTGTGCTAGATCTTACGTATTATTAAAGCCCGTAATGAGCTGTATTTTTTATTAGCCGCTATTAAGGAAATAACAACAACGTCACCATTCAGCGAATTTTGAATAGAACTGAAGCAGAGCAGTGAGTGTACACTTCTTTGACTCATAGTGAGACTTACAACTGCGGTTGTATTTTATGTAGTATGTTAGTTAAATTGGACACACAATAGTTCTTTGTTATATATCTATTTGCGAGTGTATGTAATTGGCGTTCAGTTGTTAATGTTATTCAATTCAGTGTTAAGCTGTTGGTCTTTCTATTTAGATAAGTAAAATAAAACATCTAAATAAGATAATGTACAGAGCGCGAGAGCGATACAAAGCGCGATATACTGCTATTCTCGCATAGAGATCTCGCGGTTTATGTCGCTCTCCCGCAAGTCGCGCGTTATCATGCTAGCCCTACAGGATAGAAAAGGGAAAGCTTAGATGGTTTAGTCATATAGAAAAGATGTATTTTGATAGATTGACAACACAAAATAGAACGAATGTAGATTGATTCGGGATGTGGATAATGGAAGAGGTAAAAAGGGCGTATTTGTAATTACCTGCCCAATGTTGTCATGACATTATTTGACCAATAGAAAAATTTAGCACATTCTGTATACAGTTGTGTGATGTGCAAAAAAATTACAATTTTGGTTTGGGTCTACTCACCAGATATTTATTTCTCTCGTGAGCAGGGCGTACAAAATATACAAATACTTGGGTGAAATTTGTAATTGTCTATGTGTGTGTCCATGGCACCCGACATATAGGACTTCCCTAGTGCGGAGCTATGGGTGTATACTTTATATTTATTATTTCTAAATTTTGTGGAGAAATGAATGTTTTTTATTTCATTCATTCTTAAAGTGTATATAACCTTATGAAGTGTTCGGTTAAAAAATAAATAAACTTACTGATTTAGGTCCGCAGCAGATGTATACAATGAGGCCAATGAACGCAAATCCGATGAGAATGACAACGGCATAGATCCACGGGTTGTCTCCCGCAAACTTCACCGCGCGGTCCACGAACGAGTCCTGAGGATTTAGCGCTACTGTACTAGCAACTACTGCACACAAATTAGCTACTAATTACACATAATTATCTACAACAGTCACAAATTAAACGGGCATTGTATACGCTTCTGTAATAAGTACGGGGTTTCAAATTTCCGTTTGTTTCTTGAAATAAATATTAAGCAAGTGATAAATGCGGCAAATTTCTATTTACAAAGAGCGACTCCTAGAGTATCAATCATTCTATTCGAGGGAATCTGCCTTACAAATGAGTAGTAATTAACGATTACAATATCTTATGAAAGGGCATTGCTTATCTATGAAATGAAGATATTTCTGAATTTAAATCAAGAACTCAAGTCGGATCGTCCACATTTATTAAGGAGATGTCAAAACAAGAAAACCTATTCTCAATTGTCTTTGTTGGGGTTTCCTCCATGTGATAAGCACTATTTTTACTTGCTCTCACTTATTGCCCCAATAACATTCACAGAATAACGAAATTGTAAGTCAAGTATGTGCGAAAAGAAACATGGCTACGGCAAGATCTAAATCTAACTTTATACCTTTTTTTTTAACTTTATACCTACCAAATTTTAATAAAACAAAAAGTTAGAGGTGTGCTAGCTCTTACGTACTATTAAGGCCCATAATGAGCTGTAATTTAGTAACAAATAGCTTTTCTTTATTTGGTCTAAATAGTGTGAATTGACAAAATAACAAATGGCAATGGTTGTTGAAACACAGCGCTTCTACGATCCGTTTTGGCAAATAATCGGCCTTATTGTCATCTAGCAAAATTATAGTGACTTTTTAAGCTACCCTGTGGTGTTCTGGGGTGTGCCCCAGAGTAAATTCAATTGCACTGGTACTTGTAGTACAGGGAGTTCCCTAGTTTGAGACCAGGCAATTCGTGATATATACGCTATTTAACTGAAGACGAATTCAATTTAAAATGAAAAGGTTTATCGTTTAAACTGTATGTAAACGAAATGGTATGTCTATTCATTTCAATTATCAATGAAATAGTTTTTTTATTATCACTTCACATAACAACAATTGACGAATTTAGAAGGCACTTTTTTCAATTTACTTGCGATTGAACAATATTCAGTACAGCCTTGTGAAAGAGTTCGTCCAGGGAAGTACTGCCGCCTTACCTATTTCTACCGTCAAGCAGTAATATGAATATTATTGCGTTCCGACTTCGAAGGGCAAGGCTACTGGTGAAATTACAGGCACATGGGACTTGTGCCCCTTTTTGCTTTGCATAAGCATTTAAAAAAAGGAATATCATCAGAAAAATATAGTTGAAATTATTACGTGTGTAGTACGATATAGCTGTTACGTAAACTGTCACTCCTGCACCGCGCAGCTACTGGGTCAGGAATAGACTCAGTTAAGCGGTAGGCCTGTAGTTATATTTTTCATTACTATTTGTTTAATTTGTCAGTTTGTCAAAAATGTCACTTATTGAATCTAGTGTTATTATTAAAGAGGATACGCTAATGACTAATTATTTTTTATTTCCTTGTTCTCTAAGTTAAAATATACAGAAAGTGAAAGCTCTAAGTGTAGTAAATCTGGGCGAAAACGATATTTTGTTGTAAAAGTCCAAAAATAATTGGTGTAAAAAAAAAAGCTTCTTTGGTCCCAAAATGTACTCCACTGGCATATTTATATTCTAGCCTAGGTTTTTGCAATTCCAAACTTTTAGCGGTATACTTGGATACCTCTCGTGCGCGTTTGACGAGGTAGGCGACGTAGATAGAGATCGGAATGGCGCAGTAAATGCCGTAGGCGGCCCAGTAGCCTGGTTTGTAGTTCATTGCGCGCAACATGCGACCCCATAGCGTTCGCTACGTCAAATGTCACGTTAAACAACGGTCTGACGAGGACAATCGTAAGTCGGTTGAAGCGACGTTCAAAAGATTACCCAGTGAAGGCACTGCGTAACCGTATCTAGCTGTTACCGGTGTGAGAGGCGAGGAGGCTCTTTCGTAATTACAACTTTTTTATAAAGAAGACCTCAAAAGTTCGTAGAATTACATCCATTTGCCATGGTTTATTGAAATCGGTGACCGGAAAGTGCACGAAACCGGATTCAAGAGCAGGCCAGCTCCTTGTGAAAGTGTTGTTCAAGGAAATACTGCCACCTTACCTACTTCTGTCGCCAAGCAGTAATATGAACATTACTGCGTTCCGGTTTTGAAAGGTACGGGTGCTGGTGAAATTACAAGCACATGGGACTTATCAACTTATGTATCAGGGTGTCGAGCGCAGTGGCAGGGCCCCTCAGATCTTTGTGCTTAAAGCCCTGAGTGGCACTGCAATTGTCAGCGACAGGTGAGTCGCTTACCACCAGGCACACGACATCTTCGTCCCGTCATTTCACACACAATCACGTAACATACATACAAAAAAAAAGTCGAATTGAGTACATCCTCCTTCTTTAAGTCGGTTAAAAAGTTTCATATTGTGGAGATTAAACTTATTATCAAAGTTAATCTATTATATGTTTCACTACACAGCACGTGACACCTCTGAGGAGACGGTTTAGACATATAATGCGCCAACATCAATACCATCAACACATTTATGCGTCCCAATGCTGTGCACGAGTCCCCTCTCAAGTGAGGGAACAGGGACTAAACCGCCTATACGGAATAAAGTCCCTTCGAGACCACTGACGTTGCAGTACGTCCGAAACGTCGAGGTAAATGAAATATATTTTTATACACAATTCTTACCCATCATGGAAGAATGGCATAAGTTACGTCAAAAATGTTTATTGCTCTATTAGATACAGAAAAACTCAACTAATATAGTATATAGAGTTGCAAGAATTGGAGAAGTTGTGAATTATATTTTTCTCTTATCTAATGGAGCAATAAACATGTTTGGCGTAACTCCACTTCTGCCATTCTTCCACTAGGGGTGCGAAATATGTCCCGATTACAAAATCAAATGATATAGAAAATCTGTTCTTAAGCTGTAATATAAAGGAAATAAGCACGAAGAAGATGACTTAGTTTTACTTAGTTTAGGCATCGCAACTACACTATTAAGGTGGTTTTCCACCGGCGAGGCGAGGAGAGAAGAGGCGAGACGAGAATAGCAATTTGTATGGCAAAATTTCAATTCTCTCCTCGCGCATCTTCTGTGGAAAAAAATCTGAATTGACGAGGATGGGCGAGGCTAGAATTTAAATGTTTGTTTATGTAAGTAATATTGAACCGTATTGCTGCCTACATAGAGCATTATACCGTTTAACGAAAATACGATTTCTCGCGCGATCTCGCAAGTGTCCAGGGCATTATACTGTTTAACGGAAATACGATTTCTCGCGCGATCTCGCGAGTGCCCGCGCGGTCTCGCGATGGCTATTAATATCAATCGCGAGATTGTGGGGTACGTACGATTTGCGATTTAATAAACGATGGTTTCATCTGATTCTTCTTCTGTTAACATTATATAATAATAATTTACGGGACATGTTTCGTTAGCCGCGAATTTAGCGCTAGATGAACTAACAGCCCTGAATCTTCATCATTCACAGCGCGAGCTCGCGCTATTAATGGCAATTTTTGGTGTAAATGGGCCGGCGATATTTCAATTCTGGTCTCTTCACGCCTCGCCGGTGGAAAACCACCTTTACGCTATAACAGCCCATGCACATGACGTATTTTACACGCAACATCCGCGCGCCGCAGATGTGCTGTAGTGCAAGCAAGAAGCTTATATTCTCCACTGGAGTTTACACTTACAATTTAATGTAGTTGCTTCATTTCAAAATCTAACTGAAATTGTACTCCGTCCAACCATTTATTTAACTTTTGACATATGCATGCCTCCGAAGTTCCTTAATTATTGACATACAACCATTAACCATAGACAAAAAAATGCAATACTTCTTGGAATCTTTTATTTTTTAATTTTAGTGAAGCGACGTGTGCTTAAGCTACGATATTTATAGAGCCAACAGATTATGTAACAAAAATTATTCAAGTTGATAAATTTTGGTACCTGTCTAATGAATTATAATGAAAAGAAATAAATTATAAAATAATAATTATAAATAATGCATCGTCGGATTCTGCTCCATATTAATGGGTTGAATCCTCATTGACATTAGTAATTAATTCTTGAGTGCACGAATTGTCAAACGCAACATCACGATCCCAATAAGACAGTTATCTTTTTTGAACCCGCACATTCACTATTTAAACTTTTTCATAAATAAAATCGAATGTTATAAAAAAATCGAATCGAAAACGCATAAGGACATCACTAATTGATTAGAATTCGAGCTGTCAAAAGTTAAAATAAATGGTTGCACGGAGAATAACAGACCAAAAGTAAAATTAAAACGTCGTCGTATAAAATACGCCGTGTACTTTGGCTCTAAGATTAAAATGTATAGCTTTACTACGAACATTGTATAACAATTAAAATTCCTTTAAGGAAATGAAACTATTTTTAACAAACCAACGTTTCGGGCCCTTTACAGGTCCCAGTCAACCGTGACTATGGGACCTGTAAAGGACACGAAACATTGGTTTGTTTGAAAAAACAAATATACGCGATTTAAATCCGGAAAAATAGTTCAAATCATTTCCTATGTGCTACAATCGCGAAAACCTAAGAACTCGATATCGTTCCTTTTCTTATTGTTCATTTTAAATAGCTTCATTTACATTTGTTTACTTGTATTGTATTATATTAAGTTATAAAGTCATAATGAAATAAATTTATATTATCTTTCTCCCACTGGGCTATCACGGGTCGTCAATCAAAGCCATTGCAGTGGTAGTTACTTACTTTGGGATCAGTGCAACGTATATGATTTTGACTAATATTTATTATTATTACAAAGTATATGAATCAGACTTACGGAGTCACGAGACATCTTGGCGCGTTTCAAAGCAAAGGTCTGGTGGGCCCAGTCGGATGCGACGGCTTCGTCGTCGGTGATCACCAGGTTGTCGAAAAGCAGCCGTGGCGACATGGACCACAGCTCGAAGCCCACAGCGTGCTAAAGGTGAACGCTAATTAGAATTTCTTCCAATATGGTGACGAAAAGTTGTCAGTGAAAGTTAAATAAACTATAGTCTGTCTTTTTTAAAGATGGAGTAAAATGAAATTTCATTGCGCAAGTGTCGCCCGCTTGCAAGAGCTAGTGTATGCAATAGATAAATATTCTATCGATTATCGACTGAAAGTTAATAATAATAATAAATCGTTCATTGTCTCAACACATAAACAAATAATATAGATTATTGAAGTTCCATTCATTAGTTATAATGATTAATACAAAGATCGAACACTTAGAAAAAACTCCTTCGATCCAGTCGGATTCGAACCGACGTCTTCTAGCAAACCGTGTCAGACGCTATGCCAACTAAGCCACGGAAAACCAAATACAAAGACCCGATAACAAGCACATGGAAAAATTCGTGAGGTCCGCTGGTTCGCTCCGTGGCTTAGTTGGCAGAGCATCTGGCACGGTTTGTTAGAAGACGTCGGTACGAATTCGGCAGGATCGAAGTAATTTTTTCTAAGTGTTCGTAACGCACTTTGTATTAATAATTATAACAAACTACTGGAGCAATTTCACAAAAAAACAATTGAATATCCATTCAATACAACTTTTATTCATTGTCTCGCATTGTTACTTGCAGCTTTTGCACAAAGCACAGGCTTGCGTCGCAGAGACCTGTTGATTACGCTCATACAATAAAAGCTGGAATTGTTTCATTTAAACCATCATCGGTCTGTTATTCGTCCAACTGCAGAGCACAGGTTCATTAGAATTGTCACTTTTTCTAATTTCATACATAGGTACACTACATTTAGAACTAAGTATAATAAAAATACAAAGAGGAGACATGTTTGAAAGTTTTTCATTTTAACATAATCAAATTCGCCTGTCGTTGTTAAAACGTATTGTGAATAAAAATTTATCGATTTATAAAGAAGACAATAACGCAATTAGTAATTATTAGAACGTCGTAACATGCACAATTCAGACATTTTTGTCAAAATGTTGCCTTCTTTCAAAATCCATCGATAAAACAACTATCGACAACTATAATCTAATAAGACGGTCACTAAAATGAAAACTAATGTAGCTTTCTACATTAGTTTCGATTATGGTGGTATATGGGGCTGTCCCGGTGTGAAGTAACGCCTCACCTTGGAAAGGATACCAAGCTTCCTGGCACCATTTATCCCGAGAATCGAACCCAGGACCTCTGCGTGGTTGAGCAGCAATGTAACCGTTCGGTCACAAAGGTAGTTATAAGTGGTAAACTTAGTTAAAATAGGTAGTTACATATAGTTATAATACAACAATAGAGTGAGTACTCACGATAGGGGTCATGCGGAATGGCTTATCGTCCTTGAAGTAGTTCGGGTTGGGGATACGACGCGGGGTCCACTTGCCTTTGTAGTTGGGGTTGGCGATCAACGGCGCGCGCCAGAGACCCTGCAAATTAGTTAGGTACAAAGTCAAACGAAGTCACTATGCGTATGGACGATATTTGCTGTTAATCACTTTTAATAGAATAGCCTTCGGCTGTATACTAGGACAAGCTCCAACACTCCAAGCAGCTATTTTTGTTGTTGTGTTTTTATTGAAAGGCAAACACTTCAACGTGGAAATCTGTGTCCTTTAATTATTGCCTGGTGCCGTACAACTTTACGTAATGCGAAACAAAATAAAAGATACTACATTTTATATTGAGAGGGGGCGTAAAGTTAGTCTGAAAACATTACAAAGTGCACCTTGTAGTTTCATTGCAGATTAAGCTCCGCTGCATACGCAGTCCGCAGAATACGTGAGCTTACCGATGTTAGTACTGCTAGACTAGTTTACTTTAGTTACTTCCATAGTATAATGTCCTACGGGATTCTCATGTGGGGTAAAGCGGCAGATATTCAAACCATATTTGTGTTGTAAAAACGAGCGATTCGTTCTGTGTACCGTTTAGGTTCCCGGGTTTCTCTCAGAGAAAAGTTTAAGGAGACTGGTATCATGACTGTGGCATCACAGTACATTTACTCAAATATTTTATATGCCCGTAAAAATATACATAATTTCAATAAGAAAGAAGATATCCATAATATTAACCTTAGAACTAAGTCCAAACTCATGGTACCACGATTTCGTTTAACCAAAGTAAACAACTCTTTTATGGGGAACTGCATACGTTTTTACAATAAGATTCCGGAGCATATATTAAGTTTATCATTTCCTAAGTTTAAAAACTATATTAAAAATATTTTGATCGAAAAATCATATTACAAAATTGAACACTACGTGTTAGATAAAGATGTATGGAAAGACGACACGGCTCCAGAATCCACACAAATTTGATTCAAAGTGTATTCCGTAGCATTTAAGTTTATTTTAAAAGAGCAATCCCTAGAGTTTCTTGCTCGTTCTTCTCAGGGAGGTCAGCTTAGTGAACAAGCAGTAGCTTAAATATGACGTTTTCAAGTGTAAATTTATTTTACCTATGGAATATCTTTGACTTTGACTTTTGATATCATCAACCTATTTATATTACGGCCCACTACTGGGCACAGGTCTCCTCTCAGGCGAGGGTAGAAGACTACGTCTTCCGAGGGCTGTGAACCTTCTTCAACATTCAGTTTTCATCACGTTTTTCTTCCCCGAAAAGCTCATGGTAAATTTGAAATCAAATTTCGCGCATAAATTTCGAGAAACTCACGAGGTACCCGGATTCGAACCCACGGCTGTCACGGCTTATTATTTGTTTTTTCTTTTATATAATATCAAAGAGAGGAAGACCGAGAATGGCATTCTGTGACCAAATAAAAAGAAAGGTTAATGTGAGCAGTTACAGGGAGGTCAAGGAGTTGGCTATGGACCGTGAGGAGTGGAGGAGGCTACACCGACAAGAGCATGGCTCTTAAATAAAATGAATGAATGAATAATATCAAGTGACGGGACGAACAAGTCGTGGGCGTGGTTGTAAGCGATACGCGTTTTTAACACGATTGTAGTTTAAAGTAGATCATTTGACGTGGGTACCTTGTAAGCGGGATTGGCGATCTTGGGAGGCATCCAGACGCCGCAGCCGGCCGCGGCCTTGCAGGCGGGATTGTCGATGAGCGGAGGCTCCCACTCGCCATCCATATCCTCGTCCCAGTCTTCTGGTTTCTTCGCCTCCGGGTCTGAAATATACCGGCTTATTTTTGTATTGGACTCTTTTACTGTACTTTGTCCAAGCGTTTATTTTACTTTCAACACAAACATGCCTATGAAATTCAATAATTATGGATAGACCAACATAGACAAAAAAAAATACAATACTTTTTCTACTTTCATTTACTGCAGGTTACAATTAGTCAATTTTTTATTTTTCAAACTGTGTCTTCCCAATTCCACCATTTTGTTTACCATAATATTTGGTTTCGGTTTCACGTGCGATCTGTTCTTATTATTAGGTAAGCCATGAGGAACTAAAATGAGCACAAATTGAGAGAAATTACCCGGAATCATTTCCGGCTCGTCGTCAAGCCACCCGTCAGGCTTGACCGCATTGGAGTCAATTATCTGCGCCGGCGCATCCTCGTCCCAGTCGTCTGGTTTTGTCGCTGACGGGTCCACAATCTGTGGATATTTGATAAATTTCGATATAATTAAAACAACCGAATGGGAAATCTAATTTCACGGAGGTAAACAAAACGCCGTACAATCATTTTTAATGAAATACGTACACTTCAGGTTATTGAGGATATCTAATTTAGAATATCTTCAAGATATCTAATTTATTGATGAAAGTTTAATTGAGTGTAAATAACATTGACTTACAAATAAATGGACGACGGGTCTAATACACAAACCACGAAAAAAATGTCCCAAGTCAACCTATTTAAACGTAGTGACATGTAAAGGAATATGAAAAAGCTAAAACGTTGAATTTAATATGCAATGTCATCGCAGTACTGTCTAATTTTGCTTGCTTCGCTGTCAGTCGAACAAACGAAAACTAAAGCGTGAATGACGCTCTGTATACGATTTTAACGCCCTATAAGTTCGGACACTTTTTAGCGCGGACCCGACGTCCATATAATTGTAAGTCAATGGTAAATAATTAAAAAATACCTTCTCTCTCTCATCCCAATCGTCAGGCTTCTTGTCTTCAGGGTCATCGATTTCCTCGGGAGGGTTAACGGGGGGAGTGAAGTCCTCTAGCAGCGAGCCAGAGTTCACTTCCTTGTTGTCCACGAGTATGGTAAATGTGTTGTCCGGACGCACGATAAGGGTGTATAGATGGGGTTCCTTGTCCGTGTAGAATTCGTCTATGCGTTTGCTGGGGAATTTAGATGACCATTAAAAAAATATATATATACGTACACTTCACGCTCTTTTCCCATCGAAATAGGCAGAGACCACAGCCATCCACGTGCTAGGATCTGACACACGTTTCCTTTTTTAAACACTCGATTAACGGTAGTCTTGGCCTGTTATATACAGATACTTCTATTCATTTTACTTAAACACAAACCCAATAATCTTTATAGGTAAGCAGTTTAGTTCCTTGTGAAAGAGTTCGTCCAGGGAACTTCTGGCACCTTATCTATTTCTGTCGCCAAGCAGTAATGTCATCATTACTGTGTTCCGGTTTTGAAGGGTAAGTGTGCTGGTAAAATAACAGGCACATGTAACTTATCAACCTATGTCTCAGGGTGACGGGGGCAGTGACAGAGCCATAGGGTAAAATAGGAATATATTCAGTACTAACCCTTATTGACCCTTATACCACCTATAAAATTCTGTTTACATAAGGTTATCTCGAAATTGGCTTACCTGGGTTTCTTGCTGTGCTTCTCCTCAAACGTACCGTTTATCGGATTCTGGTGACGAAAGATGAAATGCAACTTATTGTCATTGCCGCATTTGTCTGGCCCAAACATGATCGTGTACGGTGTTTGGTCGTAGAATTTGCGGAGGTCGGCCTTCGTGTCGGTGCCTTTTGAGAGTAGCTTTATGTACGCTCCGCCACAGTTTTGACCTTCCTGTAAATAATAAATTAGAACTTATTTACAAAAAAAAACCCGGCCTCAAAAATTCGTGGAATTACATCTATTTCTTAAGTTTTATTGAAATCGGTTGGCGGAAAGTGCGCGAAAGCGTATTCATCCCCTAGTTTGCCACCCTTAGAGGTGGAATATTTCCTTCGAATTTAAGTGGGACCAATGCTGAGGTACTGTAGTCTAGGCTCTACTCTATGAGTAGAATCACTGGCTGAGTGAATATAGTTTTGTATTTAGAATGTGTTTGAAAAAATGAAATAGAAAGAATAGACCATCTTGAGAGTTCGTAATGTAACCCAACGCTGAAAATATGTAAAAAAGTATAATAAAGCAAGTTTTGAAGATTATCCCAGTTTATATTCATAAAAGTGCCTCTCGCTATGCATCCTAAGCTACGCCTTAGCTTACAAATGGTGGAATTCGCCGACTTACAAATGAGGGAAGTACGAATCCCGTTGTGAAAATTTTTTATATTTTTATTTTGAAAAATCTGTCAATGGAAGAGACATAATATAACTCAAGGTCCCCTCTTTAACCCTCTTCCAACAAAAAAATACATACATACAAAAAAAAAACACAGTCGAATTAAGAACCTCATCCTTTTTTGAAGTCGGTTAAAACGTGTAAAACTACATAAGAATAAAATATGTAACTTTGCACATACATTAGTAGTAAGAGCTCTATTAATATTATTGTGAAAAAGTTCGTACAGGAAAGTACTGCCACCTTACCTATTTCTGTCGCGAAGTCGTAATGTGAGCATTACTGCGTTCAGGTTTTGATGGGTAAGGGTGCTGGTGAAATTACATGCACATGGGACTTGTCAACTTATGTCCCAGGGTATCGGGCGCAGTAACATTGCCTCTCAGGTCTTTGTGATTAAAAGCTCTGAGTGGCACTGCATCTGCTAGGGACAGGCGTGTCGCTTACCGCCAGGCACTCGACTTGTTCGTCCTGTTGCTTAGTAGTATAAAAAAAAAACACTTTGTATAATATGGAGATATTTTTCTTTAAGTACTACAGAGAACGTGCTGGATGTTGAGTGTGTGTTATTATTATTATCTCAAAATGTTTGCTCCATGTTAAAAATGTAACTCACATTTTGACTAAAAAAAGTCATATATCAATTTTAGAACAAAAACAGAGAGGATGAAATGATGTAAACAACGCAACTGCCGCGATCATGGTATTTATAGCAGATTGGATCGTAAATTTATGATGCAGCACTTCCGAAACTTTTTGGATGCCAGCCAGACTCCAGTTTCTTTGTTTGTTGTATACAGTTTTAAGAAGCTACTGTAATTTTAATTAAAACTAAAGAAAGACATTTTACTGTAACGACAAATTTGGAATTGGATAAATTTAAAGGTTTTAAAATTAACTACAAAGAAGATATGTATACAGCCAAGAAAAATATTATTTCATTTAAATAACATTTCTTTTCCATTGAAACTGCGTATAAATATAATTTAAAAATAATTGCCGCGCAAAAGGCACATGTCAACTCAGACCGCGTGACGTCATTGGTAGGTTAACAAACGGACAATGTGCACTTGCTGCTTGCGAGAATTGTACATATTGATTGACTATTTTCCTCAATGCAATATTTAAAGTTTTTAGTTAAAAAGAGATTAAACTATGTTATTTTGCTTACCTACGTATGATGTCGCGTGATGTGTTCGGTGTGTTTCTCACTCTTTTTTTTATTTTCAAAACTTATAATGTCATGTAACTCCAGAGATATTTATTTATTTATTTATTTATTAAAACTTTATTGACCACAAGACATGATGGTACAAAAGGCGGACTTAATGCTAAAACCTCATCATCTTCATCATCATCATTTATGTTTATATGTTGGATTTTTTTGCTGATCTAAGAGGTTCAACTTTAGGAACCGTTTGGTATATATAACTCATTTTTTGACAATTTTGTGGATTGGATCCTTTTTGTTTAACTACGTCCAATTCTGTTTATTGAAAGATACAAATTATTATTTTTTTCACAAACATACTGATTGAATTATTATTTCTTAACCAACTTAAAAAAAGGAGGAGGTTCTCAATTCGACTGTATGTTCTTTTTTTTGTATATGTGTTACGCGATAACTACGGTATTTGTGAATCGATTTTCATGATTCTTTTTTTGTTGGAAAGGGGGTACTTCCATAGTGGTCCCATTTTATTTTGAAGAAAATCATCCACCTCTAAGGGTGGCTGTTCAAGTATGAAGATTCATTTTTATAAATAGCGCCTAAACTTTAATTTAGGAGCAATTATTTTAATGGTTGATTTTGCTATTTCTCCAATTCAAGGCGTTTTTCTCTCAATATACTTTGAGTAGTGAGAACCGATTTTTATTATCTCCAGTGTCAAGTCCTGTATAGTGGCGAACTAGGGGATATTTCAATAAAACTTAGCAAATAGATGTAGTTCCACGTACTTTTGAGGTCGGTTTTTTTAGTACTCTGTACTGAGATTATACTTAACAAACATAATTTCTAACTACGTTTAAATTTGTTCTGATTGTAGTCCAATTGCCTATTGCGAGGTTATTTGCAAAACGCAATGTTACCATTGCACATCACAGTTAGAAGTTCTGATAATAATTTCTAATATTCGAGTAAAAGATTTTATTTTCAACACCACGCCACGTGACGAGACGACCAAGTCGTGCATCTGGCAGTAAGCGACACGCCTGTCCATAAAAATGTCAATTACACTGATTTTACTTAACATCATTGCCTTTTGCCACTGCTGGGCATGGGTTTCCCAGGCGAGGGCCACAGTACGCCACTCTGGCCCAATGCGGGTGGGGGATTTCACACTTTTTCCGACAGTGAAAAACACCTTCTTTGACTTTCAGGAAACTCATGGTACGGTCAAATTCAATTTCGCACGTAAATACCGAGAAACTCGGATGTGCGAGCCCGAATTCGAACCCCATGGCCACCAATATAGGCTGTTACGGCTTTTTTATAATATTAAGTAACTGAGCAACCAAGTTGTACTCCTGGTGGTAACCGACACGTCTGTCCATGACAGTTGCATTGCCACTCAAAGTTTTAATCGCAAAGATCTAAGAGGCACTGCCACTGCACCCGTCACCTTGAGCTATAAGTGGACAAGTCCCATGTGCTCAAGTCCCATGTCTATTTAAAATGTAGATATCTAATACGATTATCGAGCAAAGTGACTCAACATAGGAAACGGCGATATTCTCGCATGAGCTTATTCAATTACTGATAGTTAAATCCAATAAAGTGACGAAACCAAGTTTCTACTGACATCAGGTACGTTGAGCCACAGCCGGAGTCATACAATCGTCAACGATCTTTATACAAAATTATACCTTACGATATTTGCAGAGGGTTCAAAGTTCTTTGGTAAAATATGATTTGGTATGTGATTAGGTACACAAACGTATGGGTGTGATAATACAATTAGTTCAGCGTTATGACTGCGATACAAATCTATAGTAGACAAAGTGCGCGTTATGAATATTAACGATACGGGTGAAACGCACCCTCAATAATAAAGTCACGTAATCGAAAAGTAACATTTTTGGAAAATTAGTAATGTATCGTATGCTGTCGGCCTTCGCTCTGAACTGTATTTAATGGTCACAGGGCTCCGTTACTCGCTCGCATTCGGTTCCGCACGACTGCACACGGCGGGCAACGTTATTTTCACTTTTCTATGCGCGTGTTTAGATTCCTTTTCCTCGTGAGCGCCTGCTTTCAGTAGACAGTTTTTTTTTGTTTAGTGGGCTATTATAGCGTATGTATTTTCGATTTTGGTTTGTTGGTTAGTCACAAAATTGGTTTACAAATGCCAGAGAAATCACGTAACATGCATCCAAAAAAATACAGTCTAATTGGGAACCTCCTCCTTTTTTGATGTCGGTTAAAAAGACCAGGTGCTTTGCAGTATAAAGTAATATGTTATTGCTTACTAATAAATTAATAGTATTAACTATTTAGTTGCCTACTCCAGTCTCTGACAATTTTACAATCTAAAGAGTCTGTGTACAAGAGTTAGCTATATATGTAACATTTGCATTGTTTTTTAAATACATTACCTGCATAGTAACTTCATATTGCACAACCAAAGGTTTATCCTTGAACTCAAACGGTTTGTCCAGTAGGGTAGAAATGGCAGCATGCTTAGCTTCTGTTGTGAGCACTAAGCCTAGATCATCCTTCAGGATCTTTCGGGATGGGGCTTGGATCTGGAATAGGCACATTATTGTTCAACTATTCAAATAAAATTATCCTAAATCTGGGGTATGCTTAGGCGCCAGCAGGAGAAAGTAATAAAAAATGAAGCTAAAAATATATTCAATTAGTGTTAGCTAAAATAGATCAAAGTAATGCTGGTCGCAGAGATAAAGGGCCGCACAGTATAAGCCGCCCTGATAAAATAACGACACAAATATCAGCGGCCATTGAGTCGAAATACTTGAAAATGAAATTCATGGGACAACAGGTGCTTTCCAAAAGGATATTTTAAGTCAAACAGAAGGCAATTGGTTGAAAATAGATCTCATTGCTTTACAACTAAATTGCTACTACTCTATTAATTGACTCAGGTCATCAAAATGTTCATCAATCACCAATAATAGAACAAAAGTAGATATATACCCACCTCCCATTTTCCATCATACTTAGCAATGTTCTCATCAACACCCTGTTTCTTGGCTTCAGACTTGATCCATTTCTTCTTGAACGCCTCTTCATTGTCAAAATGCTCCGCCAGGTACACTTTCTTTGGGTCTATAGTAGGCGTTTTATACAAGTATTGGTCCTCTTCTACAGTCTGTACCAAACATTAAACCAGATGTAACAAATAAATAAAAAATGCAGATGGTGAACGAACACATGATAGTTATATTCCTAAAAATAGGTCTATTTCACTAAATTCAACTATAGCTTCAATCCGTTGAACTAATCGGACACAAATATTCCAATAAGTTCAACTAGGTGTACCTAATGTTGTTGTAAAAAGTTGTAACTTTTCAAAAAGTTATCATTCCATTTCGGAATTCATTATAGGTACCACTACCAGGCATGGGTTTCCCTTTAAATATCGCTGCTAAAAGTGGCCGCGGGTATCCGCTCTAAAGGCCGGGTTTGTATACATATTTGCATGAATGGATGTTTCTTTCTCATTCGGTGTTTATAATCACTAACATAAACCAACAATTACACGAGAATCCATGTCTGACTTTAAGAATAGTACACAAATTCTAATCCTTATTTAATAGCCTTAGATAAGAATCTAAGAAAAGCAATGCCCTAAATACTTTGTTGAGATAATGACATTCGAAAACTGTACTGTACGAAAAGATTGACGAATATGAGGTAAAAGAGCCAGGCGACGCGCGTTTCACGAACGTGCGTTTGCGGCGCCGTCAACGCGCGTCATGTGCGCTTAAACGCGCCGCAGACGCATTGAACTAAATCTATTAAAACGCGCGCCAATATCGCGTTGCAAGCAAGAAGCTTACATATACTTCACTTAGAATTTACAATTTTGGAGTTTACACTTAGAATTTAATGTACTTTTTTAATTTAAAAAGCTAACTGCAATTTACAAACGAACTAAAATTAATACTATCTCCTATCAAAATGCGCGACACGTAAGTATCGCGCACTGGTCAAATTAATTAGCCATTTGAGTAGTTATTTTCCTAATTTTCATATTTTAATTTTCGTAGTTTAATATTTTAAATGTCAAGCAATATTTCAAAATTCATTGCAACTGTACTGACATATAGATTTTAATTTAAACTTATTTTAATTTAAACTTATTGAAATTTTAATTTTTATAGATTTTTTGTACTTTTGTAACCAACACTAATATCGTACGGGTTATGGCCTGAAATAAATTATTTTATTATTATGTTATTATTACTCATCATCATCATCAACCCATTTATACGTCCCACTGCTGGACACGGGTCTCCTTTCAGACAAGGGTTCAGGCCATGGTCCGCCACACTGGCCCAATGCGGGTTGGGAACTTCACAAGTTTTCTGAGGGTTGTGAACCTTCTTCAACATGCAGGTTTCATTTCAGATTTCAGCGTGCCCGGATTCGAATCCACAACCCTCTGCTTAAGAGGCAGTAGGACAAACCATTAGGCTACCACGACTTCTTGTATTTTTATTATTATTACTCGCAATTTAGGTAAATATTGTCATCATATTCAGATTTTTTACTATAAGGGATCTTAAATCCTGCATTCTAATAGTAACTGATAATAACTAATGGCCATTAGATCTGTAACTGTGCTCTTGATATGTGTTTGTTTTCTAAGATTAAATAAAATAAAGGTGTACATATCTGCACAGAAAACTATAATTAGTATAAGTGGTTAACACTTCTAATTTCAAAAATACTTCGTATTATTTATTGAATAAAAATACTGTATTGTCTAGTCTCCGAGTACTCTGATCTGATAACTATGCTACACATAGACAGATCCAGGTACACAGGTAGAAAAACAATCCACAATTTTATTGTTAGTCAATTATCTGGTTTGAAAGTAAATCCCCTGTGTTGTGTTCATAAGTAACAAGGTTGACTTCTGAAAGCACCAAACTAGCAATTTGAAATTATGTAAAAATTTGTATTTAACTAGTAACAATTGTCATAAATATAAAACTGACCGACTGTTGCCAAGCTTACTTCAATTTCTTACCACTAGCCGAGGCCATCGCGAGCGATTAACACTGCATTCCCCTAGTCCCTTTTTTATGTCAATTAAAATTCATAAAGAATTACCAAAAATAATAAAACAGAAACAAGTAAATCAAAATTTATAGAAGCGTAAAAACATATGAAATGGCTAAAAGTTACTATGAACTATAGAATACTTAGATAGGAATAAGTCCAATTATTAATATACATAACATAATATTTAATAATACAGAGCCTACATTGTGCGAGTAAAGTGCATCATTTAATCTTTAGGGTGTAACAAGTACCTACTTTTTAAATTTATTCAAGTGACCAAGACAAACTCAAACAGCCAGTACTTGTTCCAGTTTGTGCCAAAAAATAAAAGTTCAATAAGTGAAACAATAATGATGGTGTTTTGTTGGCTTTGTTTTATCTGTGTCTGGTTAGAAAAAAAACACAAAAATTACAGAATTTTTTTTTTCTCGCAATACAAGTGAAAAGTAGCTTTCCAAAGCCAATATAAACTCTTGGAGTAACTAATAAATTATCAAATATACTATGTTGGCTTATTTTAGTCCCTCAATAAAAAATATACTATATTGTAAAAGAGAATTAATATAAATGATCATAATGTTATTAAAATATTTTCTCAACAAATACACAATGAGCAATATGTACCTGTAATAATCGTAAGGCTTTGTAGTATATACAAGAGGGTTCAAATTAGTTTAATTTATTCAGATTTTTGACATTTGATGTACCATTCCGGGTTCATAATGAACTTATGTTACCTACCACCTTGTATATAACATCATAGTATGAAATAAAGCATTGAGTATTGAGAAAAGTTATTTATCTGAATTTAGTTTTTCTTGAACTATCCATATTTATTTTGTAAAATACTTAAGATTATTGAATGAATGGCGAGTTTTTACTGGTTTCATTCACAGTCCAATGCATGATTTAGTATAACATCCTACTTAGCTCTAACTATAACATCATACATTTGCGTTAACAATGCACTAATAAAAAGCTTTTGAGACCTTGAATGCCGAACAATAAGGTAGACACTACAGTTAATGAAAGTGATTGCAAAAAACTAACCTCAACAGTGACTCCGTCGGCGGAGTCATCTTCCTCGGCATGCCCCCACGTCGCCGTGCCAACTAGCAGCACTAAGGCACTCAATAAGTATATTCTATAACTAAAGTGAGCCATCTGAAATAAAATTACGAAAATCTATCAATGACAACCGCATACGCTAATCTGCCAACAATGAGTGAAAATTAACCATCAACATGCTCCAAATCAATCAGACACGACTACACAGCCTAATTTAATTAAAAACATCCTAAGCCCAAGCGTGAAAGCCCTAAATAAGAGCACCGGAAAGCGGACATCCTCAATCATTGAAAAGGGGAATCTGTTAATATTTTACACATAGATTCACGATAACCGGCAAAAACTATTACCTTGCTCTGTCTTCACACACTCAATGTTCAGGACTTATCATAAATATTGTTCAAATAAAAATGTGCACTGAAAACCCGAACCAAACCTCAATGATTCGGACTTTTGTACAGGAAAATTTCAGCCAATCAAAAACAAACAGTTGTCAGGACGGTAATCGGCTGCATTCAAAGAAATTTTCGCTGCAATCTTTAAAAAAATATCACACATAATTATTTCTAAACATGTCTGTAAAAATTCTATTACCTACTATATTGCATAAATACTATAATAGAAAGTAAAAAATTGGATCTCAGTGGCAAGGTGCCCAAGATTCTGACAGTGTTCTCCCTTTATATGGCTATGCCTTGCTTTGGGCAAGGTAGCTGCTGGCCCTTCAGTATTCCAGACAGCCTATTAATTTTTTGGATAAAATTTTATACCTACAAGTGAAGGGCACCGGGACCCCACGGGCCAAGGGTTTCGACTCCAAAGACTGTAAATAGGTAGGTGGTCGGAGCAGGTATTTATTGTCACTCTTTATTCTTTCCCCAGCTCAGCTGCGGAGCTAGCTTTCTTGTTGATCTGTTGGAAATGGGTGTGTCGGTACAAGTAGCGAGTTTCAAGTAATTTAAGCTTGTATTGCATACCTTACCTATTTTAACTTATTGTAATAGAAACTTTATTATATTGCCAGATCGTTCAAAATATTGGAATCTATAAAACCATCTCTCGGGAGGATCTTTCATGTTTTCTTTAATACATTTTCACTTTCTTGCGAACGTGTTGGCCGACACAACCAACACAGCTAAAATTTTGCTGGTGGCACTTTATTATGGTTAAATAATACAAAATCCAAGAAACCCATAGCAAATATATCTGTAATAAATTAATATGAATTAACTACCTAAATATTATCAATTGTATTTTTTACGATTTTTTATGTTTGAGGGTCGTATTCCAGAATTCTATTCAATGATATGATTTAAAGCACTAGAAATCATACTCAAATCCTTGCCATTAGGGTCGTATTTCCAGTGCTTGAAATCATACTTAAATCCTGACTTGAGCATTGATTAGAGTTCTGGAATACGACCCGCAAACCACTAATACTAAAATATTTATTCTTGATAGAATTTCAGGTTGAGCATTACATTTATCTGTGCCTAAACGTAATTTTTTTATCACAGTATAATCCGACTTCTATGGTAGGTTACGTGTGTACGTGAAATTTTTTCTTATCTCTTTCTTTTGCACTATGTTTTGGATATACCTTGCTCATACTTCGTGAAACGTCATTTAGAGTTCGAAAATCAGTGTAATTGCCGGCAGGCAGCACCTTCGTACGTTGATGTCGTGTTTTCTGATTGAGGAAATACTTGGTATTTATTCTCGAAATCAATGTACAGAAACATATTAACAGTATTAATTTAAAACACGAGATTAATTGAGCAAATATTGTAAACAACTTTTCGTATTTTATACAGAGCGCAGGTGAGTACACTTGGACGAATTAGATGTTTGCTTGTCGTAAATAGTTTCAAAATTTTATGCAGATTAACCGCTTATCAATGATATCCTTAAATGAATTTAATTAAACAGGTTTACATATTCTCTTCCTTGCTTTGGCCAATGTTGCTTTGAAACCTTGTTGTAAGTTTATGTAAATGTTGGTAAAAAATATTTTGGCACGTTAGCGTTTTATGAAAATCTAAAAACAAAATTTATTATAATATTGTAAATCAAAAAAGGAATATCTAATAACATTCTAAAATAAGTGCAAAGCAAACTCAATCTTAAGCCTAAGGATATTTCCGAACTTATGTAGAATTTTTCAAGCTGAAATTGTAAACAATTTTTTTTGTTTGTTTCTTGTAGCAAACAATGATTGTGTTACGGCGTCAGCTGCTCAGATTATTGCGTCTGCGAAACCTTATAGCGTGTACAGTTCTCCTCATATTACTGTATATATTGAGAACTAGGCAGGAACTTGATTTTCCTAAATTACAATATGGACAGGAACATGCCCTGGCACATAGTAAATCTGATCATTTTGTACCAAGGAGCACAAAGGTAAGCTTATTACTGATATTACTTTATTACTTGAGCAAGTTTTTTTTTTACATCAGGATATAAAAAACTCCCAGTGTCAACATTAGTGTATTCATACATTGAAAAAATGTTCATTTTCATGTTCATCAAATTATGTTCATTCAAACGCAAGCAAATCCATACGTAACAACAGAGTAAAACCAAACTCAAGAAAAAAATAACACAAAGCGAAAACTCGACAATTAAAAACAAGAAACCAGACCAGAAAAGCCAGAAACCAAATGAAAAAAGAAAATCACGGTGGTTTTCGAAATTCAGCCCTTAAGTGGCCACCTGGATCATGTGATTTATTATTTTTTATTTCTTTTTTATGGGGTTTTGTTAAAGACAGAGTCTATACTGAGCCATTTGAATCGATTGCAGCCTTAAAACTCAAAATTTGTAAAGTGATTAACGATATAGACCCACTATTTTGTCAAAAAGTGATTAAAACATTTGAAATAATCGACATCTGTAACTGTGGTTGAGGTGGACTTTTATCAGATATCATTTTTCATTCATAGTCGCCGAACCTTACTTTTTTTAACACAATAAAAATTTGAATCGTTGTCATGTAAATTTATTGTTATATTTTCATTTACAAAACAAAGTTCATGTTAAAAAACACTTTATATGTATAAAAAAAAGGTTCCTTATTGTGGAATGTTCAGCCATAGTTTAGAATGATCAGATTATTTTTATGCTATCATACTTACAATTTAAAAAGATAATTATGAATTATACTGCACTCAAGAAAATTACTAAGTATCTAGGTCACCAGATCATGAAATATTTAATGGATGATGCTGAACTGGAGCGGGGACATAGGGAACTGTCGGTATGGTGTACTATATTGGACCCAAGGATTGTACAATGCTCAACTGAGTTTAAAATCATCCTCTGTAACATACTGCCAAACTTTATACACAATACAACCTGTGGAGCAATTAAATCAGAAAAAAATCTGTCAGAGCCAGGAAAGTCCTTCAGTTCTTCAATGCTGTCGGCCTTGGCTCTACACTGTAATTAGTGGTGATCACAATAGATCAGTCAATGGCCACAGTGGTGAGGGGGTGCATAGGTCCTGAATTAAGCCACCCTAATAATAATAATAAAATTCAAAATTAATTTTTTAGGCCTTGGGAGAGGCGAGAGTTTAAAATAAATACGAAAATAATAATAATAAACGATTTGTTAATGCCTCTCTTTCAAATCTTGGAATTATTAAAAATACAAAACAAAGTACAAAACATTATAGTTTTGTTTACAACTACAAATTTTTTTATCTTAATACGCTACAGTAGTAAAATAATATTACTAGTTACACATGAAAGATTATGTTTATGTTATGTTTAATTATGTTACACGAATATATCTGTACCACATGTCTTCAAAAGAAAGGCTGTAAAATAAATGAAAGTAATATAGGAAATGAAACTATTTTTCCGGATTTAAATCGCGTATATTTGTTTTTTCAAACAAACCGATGTTTCGGGCCCTTTACAGGTCCCATGGTCACGGTTGACTGAGGTGGTACAGTCTTCAACCAGTTATGTCTAATATTAATGCAAACCACCCTATTTTTTCACTATAGTTACAATAGTTATTAATTAAATACCTTATTTTTAATTTTACAAAGAAAACATTCCAATTTACGCTACATTAAGTTTTACAAATTATTTTATTGAATGAATTTTTATTAAGTTTAATTTATTATTAATTATTAATAGAAATTAGAATAAACTAAAACATATTAATTAGTACTGCAGTCTTATGTCTGTTTGGGATTTTTCATTAGAGGAAATACCGGATCCCAAACTGGTGGTACGGAGAAACCATCTTCCCTGTTGAAATTAGGATGTTTTTTAATTTCAATGGCCTCTCGCAGCATCCTGGGCAGATAACTAAAAAAAAAAATCCGGAAATAGTTTCATTTCCTATGTGTAACAATCGCGAAAACCTAAGAACTCGATATGAAAGTAATATCTTGAAATTTTTCTATTTATATTTTCTTCGCGAAAATGAGTTCTAGAAATACAGTAATGGAGTGTACTCTGCCTAAATTAAAACAAAATGCAAAATTTGTCACGTAAAACTTGTTTACTTTTTCTATTATAGCCTTTCCTTAATTAATTTTTTTATTATTACTTAAAAGTATTTAGTATGTTACAGTTTCACTTCACTGTGCTATTTAGGGTCGTCATTATAATAATGAATGAACTTCGTTAAGAAGATTTCACGCTAAGGATCTAATTTAAGGGTGTAAAGAACATGTAGCTTGTTTGACTAATGAGAAAAATAAATACTCTGGTCTGATTTGTTCAGTTGTCTTCTAGCTCACACATTTAGATTGTAGAACAAAGAAATAGTAAGAGCTAGTCATGAAAATTTAATTTAACACGTTCATCGCCATGGTGGATCAAAATGACTGGCATCTCATCTACCTATTGGGGCCGTGGGGGGTTAAAATGACCGGCACGAAGCGCTTAACTTTACGATGCTCGTTCATGCCGCATGTGGCAAACGCTACGTATTTAGCCATATAACATGACCAGGGCGTGGCCCTGACGAACTGCTATTGCCACTTGGTTTTGATGGCATACACACTTTTCTAGACTAAGAGGAAAAAATATATATATTTCGAATAATTTTTTTTTTCATATGTGATAACTTGAATGTTAAAGTTATATTTTATATATACACTTCATTAATAACTTTAATAAATTTTAAGGAAATTAATATGTTAAGTTGTGACGGGTGGGACACGATTTTGTGACGAGTGGGACGAGCTACAATTGAATACACAGAATTAATAAAATTACACTGTTTAATATAAGATCCATCGTTAGTAAGCAAATATTTTATAATTTTTCTCGTATTAAGACATTTTAACTCTGAAACACTATCTATGACGACATGAAATCAAAGTCACGCATGTAAAATGCGTTAATAAACTTGACAAATACTGCCGCATCCTTGATACAAAAGTATTATATCAAAATATGTTAAATTTTAGAAATTTTGCTCGAATATATAGTTAAAACATGTGGAGACCGACTTTTCATGAATTTCCTGATACTAAAAATCAGGAAAACGGGGAATTTTTTTTAAATGTGTTAAAATGTTTTAATTATGACAAAAATTATAAAATATTTGCTTACAAATGATGGATCTATATATAAACAGTGTATTTTTTAGAATTCTATGTACTCAAATATAACCTGTCCCACCTGTCACAAAATGGTGTCCCAATTGTCACAATTTAACACATCAAATGTTTAAATCCAAAATTAAAGCAACTGTTACACCTAGTAAACATCGTAAAAACTCGAACCCATGAAAATACAAACATTTAGTCAAAGTAAAAACGTTTAGAAGTGTGTTCCACCCATCCATTTCCAAATCTTAATATTTACATTCCTTTTTACGTACACAATGCCCAACCAAGCCAAAAAGATGACCATTAGCATCATTGTTACTTTTATTGGTTAAAATAAAAATATATATGTTTCATTGTGACGGGTGGGATTTGAAATTAGTATTTATTGAAACTTTAATAACTCTTCACCATATATACTTCCATGCAATCACTTATCACTGTTTTAAAATTCGTAAATTGTATTTTCTTCGACAGTCATAACTTATTTAGCAAGACGCACAAATAACCGCGAAAATTGTTGCTAACATTATAGGAAAAAATGCTTCACCATAGACGATTGCACTATGGCTGCGTTAATGAAGAGGAAAAAATATAATAATTGTACAAAATCCGAAAAATCTCATTGTAATGATTTGATTTATTGGGCGTATTCTAGTCATATAATTAAAACCAAATAGTGTAATTTATTCTTTTGAACCGCGGTGTCATTTTGGCTGGAATGATCCTAATGTGAAATATCAATCTCAAATGAAAGACGTACGTCAATTTTATTTAAACATCGATCGAATATTACGTGTACATACTCTGCCCGGCATTGCGACCGGAACGTAATAATTATCGTGTTTAGGCCGCGCCGGGTTGAAATGCCCGGCACTAAATATAATCCCAAACTAGAGCCAAATAATGAAATATCGCGAAAAAAATCATATATGTATAGCAAGTGAGACCAATAACAATTATATACGCGAATGTCATATTTTGAACATTTTTGAAAATTCCAAACGAAAAGTGGTCAAATGATGTGACACATTGGTATCCAAGAGATGAAAAGATGTATAAAGGAAGGCCAACAAGAAGGTGGGAAGACGGTCTGACCCGAGAATGGCGCCGGTCGACACAAGACCGTTGCTTATGGAGAAATATGGAGGAGGCCTATGTCAGAGGACAACCTGATTAGAACCAGAATCGATGCTGATGTTAGAATTACGAATTATTACCGTTAGAAGTAAGCATTAGGTTAAACTTACAATTATTTAGAAATCAGCGAATAAAGGCTATTTTTATTTATATATTTATTAATTGTAAAACAGCTATATTTAGATAATTTAAATTTTTTCCATAATGCATTTCATCATCAACTAGACTACAGTTTTCATTGTTTCTAAGCTGACTTTTTCCTGATGGAAATATATTGCAAATTTTAGTGTTATTATCGTTCTGTCTGTGTGTTTCAGAAAATTGACTGGCATGATCATGTACTGATCCAGCATGAAAGTGAGCGAGTGGGTATGTAAATTAATCTATTAAATTTGTAATATTGATAATGAATATTATCGATAGGTACATTCCATGATCACTACGCCATCTTAAGTTTTGGACCTGTTTCTATTTTTATTTTGCTTTTTTGTTTATTTTTTTGCACAAAATTTGTTTTTTTTTTCAAATTTCGTTTTTCGTATCTTTATTTTTTCCACAAAATTCGGAGTGCATAATATTAATTAATAAATAAATATGGCTGTTTACAAAAATAACAGAAAATGACCAAAAAATAAAGTGGGCGTAAATTTCATTGGAAGTGTCGTTATGATGTTAATTTATATTTGCGAAATTACATCACTAGTTTGTTATAATTATTATTACAAAGATCGAACACAAAGAAAAATTCCTTCGATCTGATATAACTCGAACCTGTGTCTGTTTTGCGTATCTAGGGTAACTCTATTAAAATTTTATTTTTAAAGGTTTCTAAGGGTTCTATTTTACCACTTGCTTAGGGAAGTTGGGCGCAGATAAACTCTCTACTCCACTAATGACTGAATTTTTTAATAGCAGTAGTACTGCCACCTTACCTATTTCTGCCGCCAAACAGCAATGTGAGTACTGTAACTCTTATATATGGGCGTGTCGCTTGCCACCAGTCAGACGACTTGTTCGTCCCGTCACTTGTTAGTACTTACAAAAAAAATCGAATAAGACAAGTTTGATAACTCCATACAAACTTAGCAGTGCGAGTTATATGTGTGCACGTGTGCCGTGTATTAACACACACATTCGCATAATCTCGCAGTGCACTCGCGTTACGTAGCGCGGGTCAATAAAGATGCAGTCGCTCGGTTTCTAAAAAAAGACATCAAATAGTAAACGTGTTTATCGTTGTGTTTGTGGTACTTTGAACAAGAGTGCTTTCTGAATTCTGAATTTGAAATTGTTCAGCATTTAATTTTTATTTCACAACCATACTCCCATTATCAAGATCCACCAATCCGCGATTCTGATATAAAAATATCGATACTTTAAGTATTAGGTAGTAAGTATTCCCGAATACTGCGATGAACACCTTAATTTTACAACCTGTAGATACAACTAAAATAATAACACACACATATGACGAACCCAAGGCCCAACTCACACTGGCGCAGAGTCGAAGAGTCGCGTCGAGTCGCGTCCTGTTTTTCGACTACAACGTATGACGACACTCGCATTAGCGCAACCGGATCACAGTGTAGTCGGCGTATGACGCGTCACTGCGCGCAAGTAACGCACGGCGACACACGATTCCATATTTGCGTAACACAAATTTGTACCTTAATAATGGGAAAATAGGCATGAATATGCTATAAGCGAAGCCAGTATGAGTTGAGCCTATGAGTGGTTACACACGGAGACTTTTAGTAGCGATGCAAACGTGCGTTTTACTGACTGCATCTCTACATTTGCTATTTATAGGCGACTGCATCGATGCAATTACGCGGTTGTATCACCACAATCACCTATTAAATCCAAAGTGTAGCGATGCAATCGCGCGTTTGTATCGATGCAGTCGCGCGTTTGCAGCGCTGCTTATTCGCCGTGTGTAACCATTTACTTACTTTATTTAGTTTTAAGCATTTACGCGTCGAACAGACGGGAGTTGACCTACTTGCCCTTCTCAAATACTTTGGGTTATGAATTTCCCCCTTAAAGGAAAGAGAAGCAAGAGGAGGTAGACATGTTTTGCCAATGTTAAACTACATATTACCTCTAGTCTATTACATCCTACCATACCCATTACAAAGCATGTAGGATAACATTATAGATACAGGATAAACTTTCGCACTAAAAATCTCGTGAAGTCCCCTGTGCCTGTAATTTCACCAGCATTCTTACCCTTCAAAACTAGAACGCTGTAATGCTCACATTACCGCTTAGCGGCCGAAATAGGTAAGGTGGCAGTACTTTCCTAGATGAATTTTTTTTCACATGGAGCTCCTTTTAAAAAAAATTAACAAGGGCGCGCTGTTTTCTTATTTATCGAGAGTTTTCTCATTAGAAAGGTACTAAATTAAATTTCATTCATAAGCCCTGAAAGCAAACATTATTAGTGGACTACAGATAAGAGTTAATCGCGACCGACTTCCCATATGCAGTTGATAAAATAGAAACATTTAATTGTACTTTCGTACAGTTGTCGTTAAATATTCTATTATAATAGCTAGCATCTGTTGGCTGCAACATCGCCTGCTTAAAATTTTTACATGCAACACAAATGAAAAATACAAATAATAGCTTTTATTTGATGTTTGTACTTAAAAAAGTTTATACGTATAGTACGTATCCTACTAATTTAGTTTTATGAGGTACTTTTATTATTCTTTGGTACGCCTTTCAATAAAATATGACGTAAATCAGAATACAGGTTAAAAATAATACAAACTTTGATTCTTAGGGGTTGTTTTGAAAAATGTTGTGTCAGTTTTTTACCATTTGCATTATAGAATGTTTATACTAAATACATTTTTAAGACTTTCGTGGTTATTCACTAAATGATTATCACTAGTATCAGGTTTCTTACATCAAATAAAGTGAAGGGGAATATCGGGAAAATAAAAAGAAGTCATACCGTGGTAAGAAACCTGATACTAGTGATAATCATTATGTTTATACTAAGTTTCGTCCTCGCAAGTTAAAGGAATATGTTTTTTCATATAAATACTTTCATAGTATTTTTTTAAGAGGTTGTTTTGAAAAATCCAGAAACACGTGCTTATTTATTTTGTATTTGAAGTATCCAGATGAACTTTAAAGCAAATTGCACCATGTTTTAAAAAGTTCCCAAAGAAACTTTATGACACCATTTCATCCCTGTTTATAGGAAGTTATGAAAACATCTTATACCAGTCTGTTATCATTGTATTATACAATATTTATACTGAGTATCATCTTTGTAAGTTCAAGGAATACGATTTTTCATACAAATATGTTTACCCTTTTTCACCCTCTTGGGGGTTGAATTTCTATGAATCCGTTCTTAGTACGCCAACACTACATAAACGTAACAAACCCTCAAGCTTTAATTTTTCTACGGCTTTTGCTGTATACACACCAGTGAGCTCTACTCTTTTAATACATTATATCTGTAGATGAGAGGCAAAGTTAATAATGTCTTTTACTACAGAGCGTTTTAAATCAATCTTAATGTCAAATAAAAAACAAACGACGATACGACTTACTCTCTTTTACCATTGCGTAGTTTGTAGAATTCTTGAGATTTTAGAAGCAATATTTGTAAAAAGATCTAAATTCCAAAATATGGACTTAAGGTCCTTTACGTCACACCTAGAGATATATTGATTTGCATTTGACTTCGTAGCAAATATTAAAGGTCAAATACATATCACAGATCTTTGACCTGGGAATTGGTTCATACCCAAAACCGATTGCACCCAAACAGCCAGTGTACCTCGCATGTGAATTTATAATATGTGTAACCTACAATTTTAGCTGTTTGCCGTTTGTGACAATAAGAACTTTTAATGCAATTACTTCTTTTTTTTTGTAATATCAAGTGACGGCACGAACAAGCCTTGTACCTGATGGTAAGTTGCCAGGAAAAGACTGACATTACTATTTTTCAAAATTACCCCTAAATGGAGGTGAAAGGGTTCAAAGTTTGTACGGTTACGCATGGTGGAATTTACTTCAAACTTGATTTGGATATTTTAAATATACATAAACTCGTTTTTCAAGACAAACCGAACAAAGTTAGTGTATTGGAGTATTTTTATAAAACCCTTCCTATAGATTTTCGTATTCCTCACATTTGGAAACTTGAATAATTTTCATTTGTGTTTTGGTAATATTTAATGCGTGTAAAAACTTTATACCTAGTTATTTGGATGCTATTTTCATGTATAAAAAATGTATGCTTCATAACATGTATTACCACGGCTAGACGCATCCACGTGGCACACTGTTGGTCAGTCCGCCATTTTCGTTTTATACGTTTGATCGTGTCAATTATCTTAAAAAAAACCTAAAACCTCGATAATCGTAGAAAAATGCCTTATTTTGCTACTTTGGAGTGAAGAGATGATAGTCGCACTTGTAATATTATCTAAGGTGGTGTTTGATATCATCTTTAAGTCTTATTTTATTTAATTTTAATAAAACTTAAATTTATATTTATCGTAATAATTTTTCTGTTACAAGAAATGAAAATAAACCTTATCCCGTTGCAATATGGTCGCTTATTTTTTGGAGAACTAAGTAAACATCACGATTTTTCGATGCTGCTCCTTTTCTTCTTCGTTCAGCTATTGACTGCTATATGTCACCAGATTTATTGAAATTTCAGTATAAAATCAAAACGTCGTAACCTCATAGAAACACCATCACGGATAATATTACAGATGCGACAGTAGTTTTTGCATTCCAAAGTAGCAAAAGAAAATGGCGAATGACTGAGCTCAAATATGTGGAACTCCACGTACTTGGCACGAGTGCCACGCTCACTAAGCATTTCTACTGTATTTATTGTTCTGTAGACACATCTGTCCTCATCGCTATTTAATAAAAGCTTATCTCTATATTTTGCGTTTTAAGGTATTGGTGAACAAGGCAAACCTGCCTTTTTGCTATCAAAAGATAAAGCCCTGGAAGAAGAGCTATATTCTGTCAACGGTTTTAACGGTGCGCTGAGTGACAAGATAGCATTGAACCGTTCCTTACCCGATATCCGGCATCGTGGATGCAAACACCGGAAGTACTTAGAAGACTTGCCTACGGTCAGCGTAATTGTACCGTTCCATAATGAACATTGGAGTACGCTACTAAGGACCGCGTTCACCGTCCTATACAGATCGCCAAAGAAATTAATCAAAGAAATATTTCTAGTCGATGATGCTAGCACTAAAGGTTTGTTATTACAAAATGTTATTATCAAGTCAACTGTACCATATCACTGATAAGAATCTCTTGAACGTTAATCAAGTAATTGGCGAATTGTGTTCAAACTATCATGATAGGAACGGTTGAAAATTATACAACGTTACACCGAAATTAATTTAAAAAGTTACATAATCCAACCCATATAACCTTCTATTCATATCGAAATTACAATCATATAATCCCACTTTGATTTGATTATAACATTGCACCCAATAAACATTTATCAATTTGGATTTATTATTTATGTGCATAATTTAATTCAATTTCAATAAGTCGCACATGAAACAAATTACTGTCGTAACTAAAAAATGGTGGTATTGTGAAAACGCGATATGAATTTTCAAAAAAATGATCTATAATTATTTATATTATTTTTTTGAAATTTGACTTAGTATAACTTGACTGTTCAACGTTCAACCGTGACCATGGGACCTGTAAAGGGCCCGAAACGTCGATTTGTTTGAAAAAACAAATATACGCGATTTAAACCCGGAAAAATAGTTTCATTTCCTATGTGTAACAATCGCGAAAACCTAAGAACTCGACAACTTTATATACATTTTATTGCAAACGATTCTGGCGGTAATTCCAATAACAATTCGAAGAAACAATTCGAAAGCGTAGTAAATCTGTTTTTTTTTTAAATAAAATGTACGATTTAACTACCACAATAGCGCCAATACTTGAAATGGAAACCCGTGCTCTGTGACGTATATATTAGAGAGAACAGAAAAATGTATGTTGACATTAGCTCGTTTGTGCATTGTTACGTTCCGCGTTATGCACTACAAGCGAAGCAAGGTATCGTATTCGCAACCATTTCCCATTCTTTGTGAACGCGCCATGGAGCTATAAACTCTTTATCATAAACAACACTTGCTTTATAGTAAGCTAAGCCCCATTTTATTATTAACTGAGCCTCAGAATGTCGTAGCTTGTAATTCTGACTGGAATAGAGGAAGTTAATTTAGCTAACCTAAATAATAATGTGAACATACCCTTCTACAAAATTATCTGAACTGATTATATTTCAATAAGTCGCACCCTTAGTAATATAAGGGCACAATCCAAAAAAAGTAGATTTTTGGGAAATCGCGTATTAAGATTCTGGATTCCTACATTACACCTATTTTTTCAAATAACATGCTTATTATTTAAGTTATAAATATGAAATTTGGCAGATTTGTTCTTTGATAAATGTATTATATATAGCAATAAAAAAAAAAATAATATAAATAAATTCTATAAGTTTCAAGCAAGTTAAAAAAACACTTTCAAGTTAGACCCATATAGTACAAAAAATATAACAGAAATATGGAGCTATTTAAGTTTGATCCCATTTATTATTTAAGTCCCTATCAATTCCCAAATTTCCCAAAAATCTACTTTTTTTGGATTGTGCCCTTATATTACTAAGGGTGCGATGTGTATTATTTATTGAAATTTGAGTACATGGGCAACACATTATTATTTCCTGCTAAATTGTCGCTGCAAATTATTGTCTGCAATTTTTTTTTATTGTAATCTGAGCAAGCGAAGGAGGTTAAGATAAGTGAAGAAGAAAAATAGATTCCTGAGCGTAGCGAAGGTTTCAAAGCACGAGACACAAAACAACTTTGCTGCCGAGCGAAACACAACTTTTCACCTCACTATAGCGACGAAAATGTAAGGGTCGTATTTTAGAACTCTACTCAATGCTCAAGTCAGGACTTGAGTATGATTCAAAGCACTAGAAATCATACTCAAGTCCTTGCCATTCGTTTCGTATTTCCAGTACTGTCTGCTCAAATCCTGACTTATGAGTTGACTTGAGTATGATTTCAAGCACTGGAAATACGACCCTAATGGCAAGGACTTGAGTATGATTTTCAGTGCTCACTGCAATACTCATGTCCTGGCTTGAGTATTGAGTAGAGTTCTGGAATACGACCCTCAGATTGCTAAATACCGTTTTAACGTTCCGTAATAAAACTGGAAATCCATGCAGCTTCCTCGTGTCTGTTTGTAGGTCATAGCATTATATGATAGTATTATATGAATGACTCGCAGAACAGAAATTGTAATAAGTGACATATGGTTTTAAACCTTATTGCAGTAAAGATAACACAAAAATAGTGTATTGTTGTATTAGGGTTGAAAGTAGTTTATTACTAAATTAACTATTTAATAGAATTTTAAAATTTGTATTATATTATATACTACAAGGCTTGAAACTTGACACTGAAATGTTATCGCTGTGCTGCGTTGTCCAGAAACTCCGCAAAGTTTGAGAATCAATCATACACCTCACTATGAGCATTTCATAAACTTTAATAATCTAATTTCGCCTTCTTTCCAGACTTTTTAAAAGAAAAACTAGATTCATACCTAGAACAAAACATTCCTAAGGCAAGAGTAATCAGAGTGCACAACAGAAGTGGCTTAATTACGGCGCGTCTGGCCGGAGCAAAGGAAGCAACGGGGGATGTTCTCATTTTCTTGGATTCGCACACAGAGGCCAATGTTAACTGGTTACCACCTCTGTTAGGTCTGTGTATGTATTGCTGTTATTAGATAGATAATTTAGATGTGATAATTATGATAATTTTATTTACGATAATTTTATGTTTTGATAATTTTGCTAATACATTTAGTTATGATAGTTTGGAGTAGATTTCTAAATAAGTCATCGATTCCCGTCAAGACCAATTCGGGAAACGAGCTCTTCTGTATTGTTTCTGTTTTGGATAGTGCTCCAGAGAATAGTGAGACGTACAATAGTGATACTATTTAATATAAACACTGTTTAATATCAATGTCATAACTAAAAAATTTCAAATTCACAGAACCAATTGCGCTGAATTACAGAACGGTGGTATGTCCGTTTATTGACGTCATAGCGTATGATACTTTCGAGTACAGGCCTCAGGATGAAGGTGCGAGAGGTGCCTTTGACTGGGAATTCTTTTACAAACGACTACCAGTACTTCCCAAAGACAAAAAGAACATGCCCGAGCCGTTTGAGTGAGTGTTTTGAAACTAGATTTTATTTCACTGGTGGTAGGGTTCTATGTGCAATACCCACCTGAATAGGTACCACAATTTCAACTTCAAAGTAGATTTTTCTTATGGCAAGATTGGTAGCCAGCACAACCTCAGAAACAGACCCCCAAAAGTGACCAAAATGAAAAAAGTAACATATAATGGACTGATATTATTGTATGTTTGCAATTTTTAGAACCGACTGTTTATTGTTTATACTGCGGGGCGCTGGATGGCGAAGAGAGCCTGGGTTCGATTCTCGGTAGGACCAAATTGGGAAATGAACTTTTCCAAATTGTATTATTTTAGTACTATATCGGACGACCTCCGTGGTCGAGTGACTTGTACACCGGTTTTTATGGTGTCGCCATCTCTGAGGGTTCGATCCCCGACCGGATCAATGTAGAAAAATTAACTTTTTATATTGTCTTTGGTCTGTTTCCGATTTCCATAATACAAGTGCTTTCGTTACTTACTTTGGGATCAGAGCAACGTATGTGATATAAATATATCTTTTTTATAAAAAAATTGCCAAGTTTTATTAAAATCGGTTACCGGAAAGTGCGCGAAACCCGATTCATCATCTAGTTTGCCACCCTTGAGGAATATTTTTTTCAAATTTAAATGGTACCAATACTGAGGTACCCTTTTTCCAACGAAAAAAGAACCATTAAAATCGGATCACAAATGAATAATCGCGCAACATACAATAAAACATAATCTCAGTACAGAGTACTAAAAAACCGACCTCAAAAGTACGTGGAATTACGTCTATTTGCTAAGTTTCATTGAAATATCCCCTAGTTCGCCACTATACAGGACTTCATACTGGAGATAATAAAAATAGGTTCTCACTACGACACTACTCAAAGTATATCGAGAGAAAAACGCCTTGAATTGGACAAATAGCAAAATCGACTAAATAATTGCTAAAAGTAATTGCTCCTAAATTAAAGTTAGGCGCTATTTATAAAAATGAATTTTCATGCGTGAACAGCCAACCTTTGAGGTGGATGATTTTCTTCAAAATGAAATGGGACCACTATGGAAGTACCCCCTTTCCAATAAAAAAAGAATCATGAAAATCGGTCCACAAATACCGGAGTTATCGCGTAACATACATACAAAAAAAAAACATACAGTCGAATTGAGAACCTCCTCCTATTTTAAAGTCGGTTAAAAATACTGTTACGAAAAAAGGCTTTTATAGTGTTTTGCTTGGCATTCCATAGAAGTCATTTGCGGTCAAATAAACATGAAATGATTAAGTAGAAATCAGTTTTAGTAACAAATGCAACACGTTCAATAATATGTCGAATATTACAGGAGCCCGGTAATGGCGGGCGGTCTGTTCGCAATATCGCGCAAATTCTTTTGGGAGCTTGGCGGATATGACCCCGGCCTCGATATTTGGGGCGGAGAGCAGTATGAACTTAGTTTTAAGGTTGGTTTTTCTTTCATTTGTACTCATTGACTTACAATTATATGGACGTCGGGTCTGCGCTAAAAAGTGTCCGAACTTATAGATATATGGCGTTAAAATCGTATACAGAGCGTCATTCACGCTTTAGTCTTCGTTTGTTCGACTGACAGCGAAGCAAGCAAAATTAGACAGTACTGCGATGACGTTATAATTTAAATTCAACGTTTTAGCTTTTTCAAATTCCTTTACATGTCACTACGTTTAAATAGGTTGTTGACTTGGGACAGTTTTTTCGTGGTTTGTGTATTAGACCCGTCGTCCATTCATTTGTAAGTCAATGTTTGTACTTTATTATCTTATTAAATTTTCACGTCTCATGGAAAAACATTTGACACTATACAGGGCGTCTCATGGCTATGGGCCATGGAGGGAATATGTTATTCCCTCTGCTGCTGCATGTTGGTGAAATTACAGGCACATGGGAGTTGTCAACTTATGTCCCAGGGTGACGGGCGCAGAGGCAGTATTCCTCAGATCTGCGATTTAAGCACAAAAAAAAGATAGGATATTTTACTTATTGGAGACATTTTACTTTTAAAAGTAAGTAATAAAGTGTAAGTATTGCATTCAAAGACTTAAAAGGTTTGTTGCCTCATCTGGGAATCAAACAGACCAAACGTGAAAAAAAAACACAAGCAACATGTCGTCCTCAAAGCCAAATACTATCGTAACTCACAAATGGTGAAATTGAGATAACACGATTTGAAAATTAAAAAACAAAACTGAATGAGTTTTATTGCGAATAATGTGATTATTTTTATTTATATGTACATGTTTAGTTATCTATTTATAAACGAGAAAGCAAAAATTTATTTCTTTCATTCAGTTTTATTTTTAACTTTTGAATCGTTCCCAATTCCACAATTTTGAGTTAAGACAGTACTTGGTTTTCATAATAATAATAACGCACACACTCAACATAGCCCCGCACTAGGGAAACCCTGTGTCGCGGGTGCCATGGACACACACATAGACAACCACAAATTACACCCAAACTTACGACAGAAATAAATGTAGGCCATACAAATATTTCTCCCGACCCGGGAATCGAACCTGGGACTTCTGCGTGGCAGTCCGGCATGGTAACCGTTCGGCCACGGAAGCAGTTCAAGTTCAAGTTTTGTGTGCGAAGTACTTTTATGATGACGATCAAAAGGATCAATTATAAGGATTAATTTCTTTTAAGTATCTTAAATTAACTTAGACCGTTAAATTATAAAATATATTAAAAAAAGAAGCAAACTTCAAACTGCTAATGTATCTACAATTTCAAATTTCAATTTGGCCTCCTGTTTTTTATCTTGCACTTATAAATCAAATTCCTTATGTGGATACTTATTCGTAAATAATCAAAATTATCTATGAATTGATAATGGCGATATTTTTAGAAATAGTAATATCGACAATAAAACACATAATAATGCATTTTCCTAAACTAAATTTCATGGTGTTTATTTAATTTTAGATACTATGTTACTGAAAAGGAATTAATTCTTGATGACCCTTTCCATCGGTATCATAAAAAATGTGATCTTTTTCACATTTCGTAGGTTCCCTTTTCGAAATGAGGTATGCAATTTTTTTAAAAGTCTTTGAATGCAGTATTACTTACTTTTAAAAATCATATAATGTATCTATGGGGCATAATGCCCTATCTGCAATATTAAAGTACTTTCTCTGGGCGTCCTGTATACGGAGTAATAGAACGAACATGACGTCACTTGATCAGAAATATAAGTTTCTTAGTCTGCCGTGTACGTTTTTCGAAGTACTTTTCGTTATTACGTTACGTACACTTAAGGTTTACGGTAAAGTCACTGACAAGCTAATACTTGACGATTTAATTCTGCCTACACTGCCATCTGCCCCTATGTTGTAGACATTCGAAAAATTCGCACTATGCCTTAGCTTCCACATTTGTATGGCATGACATTATTTAGGTGTGCATGGTCCATCGTAGACCTCATCGTCACTTTCCATCAAATGAGTTGGAGGTCAAATGCGCACTTATTTTTTCATTACAATAGGTTTAATAACTATAATTCCAAATTCTTTCATTAGATGGCGTTGATAGTTTTATAAAACGATCAATAGATAAATTAAAATGTTTTCAGATATGGCAGTGCGGAGGGCGCATGGTGGACGCGCCGTGTTCCCGCGTTGGCCATATTTACCGCAAATTCGCGCCCTTCCCCAACCCAGGACACGGAGATTTTGTTGGCAAGGTAACATTGCACATTACTTATTCAACAGTTTCGAAATGGTGCAAGGATTTTTTTTGCTTTATAATGTACCACCGGATAAGTGCCTTTTATCCGCAGTAAAACCAACCGCAGACAGATCTGTTCATGACTGCTTTAAGAACTTCACAAAATATCATCCATACCATGCATTGACACAAGATACCTGACCCCTTTTTGGCTGACTTTGTTGACCTTTTGGTTCGGAGCACATAAATTTGGAGCGTTAAACAAACCCAATTTTTACCCTTTGAGCCGTAAAAGTAATTTTGGTTTATTTCCTGATCTTGTCATTAGTGAAATGACATGTGACAAAGTTTTTAAGCCAATTTGATTTTTAACGTATAGTTTTTACTGCAGGATAAACATTTCCACCTGCAATAGTAAGGTCGTCGTGATCTAGCGGTTTAAGAATTGCTTTGCAAGTTGAGGCGAAGAATGGTTCGAGTCACATAAAAATAAAATATTATTTAGCTATGGCTGTATATAATTTTTTTTTTTATATCTTTAGAATGCTAGATTGTCACAAACTTAACGTTAACTTCATGGTAATTCAACAAATACTTTATTTTATTTTTCTAAATTAATAGTAAACAATTTAAAATTACTTACAAATAAAAACTGCAAATTGTGATTTGTCAACGTTAACATTTTAAAGTGAAAATTATTTCAATTATTAAATTACTAAATATTTTTAACGGAACTGTCCGTTAAAAAAATTATATTAAAATAAAAATGTACTCGTGGAATCGAACCACGGGTATTAGTAATGTGCAGTCTATACAGCAAGCCGCTCGCCCAATTTACATGGATGTTGGGTGACGAAAATTAGTATTGGCTTTAAATATAAGTTAATAATCTTTAAGTAACACTCCAACCTATTGCCTACAGAATAAGATGGCTCCCAGAACCAAATGGTCCGTTCGTGCGTATTTTGGGGGGTCAGGTACAAGAGTGTACTGCGTCCGCAGTTATCAACCAAGCATCCATACTGCATTTCGACCCCTCCTCCGTAAAGTATCGTATGTCGAATTGCCAAGTTTACAGGGAGCGTTTTAAACTCCTGAATTCACTAAAATGAGCTTGACACGTGACTTTAAAATTTCTCAGTTTTATTCGGCAAAGCTTTATTTTAAAATCCTAGATATCGGTTAGATGATCTATGAAGATCTATTAGATGATCACTCTATGTGAGTAAAGAGCTTTGCCGAATAAAACTGAGAAATGTCACGTGTTACGCTCATTTCAATTAATTCAAAAGTTTAAAACGCTCCCGTGTAAACTTGGCAATTTCGACATACGATACTTTACGCAGGAGGGGTCGATTTATCACTCAAAGTTTTTTTAATATTAATCGTAAGTCCTTAAGTACACATCAAAATAGTTCCTTTCGCCGTATAATACGTTAACAATGATATGAACCAAATAAAATATAACAGTCAAACAAAGTAATAAGTATTTGTACACCTACTTATTATAACGACGTTTTGCCCAGGTTACATTGGTTTTCGTCTCTTCGTCTTCGTCATCTTCAAAAGATAGGAATTGCACTTACCAACCAATCATTTTTAATATAGCGAAGTTCCATATTATACCACAGATTACTTAATAATTACTAACTATAACATCCGGCATTCAAAGTAGCTTCCTACTTTTAAAATTGGATTGATTAAGTATCCTCTGGCACGGTCTTAGTCTGAAATTTTATTAGTAAGTATTAGTTTATTTAATTGTATATGGTTGTTGTATAAATATATACAGTATGGTTATTTATTATTTGATAATAAAATGTGTTTTTAATAAAGTATTTCAATTTTTACCACTATACACCTTATGTCTCCTTCTCTGGTTATGATCGCTTGCTACTGACGGGACGAACAGGTCGTGCGCTTATCAGATTTCCATTGCCAGAAATTGCCAGTCAGAGCTTTAAATCGCAAAGATGTCAGGGACGCTGTCGCTACGCCCGTTACCCTGAGACATAAGTTGACAAGTCCCGTGTGACTGTAATTGCACCAGTACCCTTACTCGTCAAAACTGGAACGCAGGAATAGTCATATAGACGTCAATAGACGAACTCTTTCACAAGGAGTACTACTTTTGTTTTTGTGTATGAACTATAAAGTGTATATCTATCCATCCTTATTCATCGAATTTCGCTTACATTATACATTATTAATTTTAATTTTAATCTAATCGTTTCAATATAATTTTAATTTTAATTTCTTAGAATGTATGCAACTTTATATTTTAATATTTTATTTTATTTTATTTATTTTAATTAATAGAGTCAATTTCAATATGTATAATTAACAAAATAATAATAATAATAATGTAATTAAAGGTGTAATGTTGTGGACTGTGTTGTCTGAAGGGAATAAATGAATATGAATATGAATATACCGAAGTTCCATTCTGGGCCTACTATGATATGAACCAAGTTTCGCCTCAAATATCAGCAAGTTTTAGTAACCGCTGTTTATTAATTCTTCTTTCAGAATTATCGCCGCGTAGCCGAAGTGTGGATGGACGAGTACAGCCAGTACCTATACAAGCGAAGACCGCACTACTTGAAGATCGACCCTGGCGACTTGACCGCCCAGAAGGCCATTCGGACAAAACTCAAATGCAAACCTTTCAAGTGGTTCATTACACAGGTATTATATAACGTTTGGTATTTTTTTTTATGTATTTATTTTCATGACCTTGAGTAGGTGCGATTTTTTAAATATTTTTCATGATTTTGGATTTAAATTCTTCAGTAAAAATTTAGAAATAATAAACGTAGAAAGCTAATATAAAAAAGTATGAGTTTCCAAAATGGCGTCTTTTTTCTTGAATTGATTTTGTGTGCAACAATATATAATTCTCTTAAGATAACGGTTTCCCGGTAAATGACATGATTGAAGAAATGTTAAAATCCTAGGTCTGGCAGTATATAAGTATATATTTCCACACACATAAAATACGGAATAAGAGAAAACAAGATTATACAATATATATATAAAAAACCAAATGATTTGTGGACAGTCTCAGCATTCACTGAGCGATATAAGTCGCTCAGCACAGGTTTTCAGCCTGCCCCTGACGTTAGTAAACACATATTGGCATTTTGGGCTTGTTCCGTAAACTTAGGGTCGTATTCTAGAACTCTACTCAATGCTCAAGTCAGGATTGCACTGGAAACACAAGCACTGGAAATACGACCCTAATGGCAGGGACTTGAGTATGATTTCGAGTGCTTTAAACCATACTCAAATCCTGACTTGAGCATTGAGTAGAGTTCTAGAATACGATCCTTAGAAGACTAGGTAATCTGTTACAATAGTAAACAATTAAAATAAAAAAAATAAACATCTCAAAAACCAACCATTGCATAATAATAAAATCTGAATTATTAAAAATTAAAATTAACATTTTACTCGTACCAAACTGAACCAATAATTTTCTGTGTAATTGCACATCTGAATAATTGATTTAAAAATGGTATATTGCCCCGAAAAGCAAATCTAGTTTACAAGAATAAAGGTAAAATAAAAAAAGTATAAGTAATAATAATAATAGCATAGTAGTAGAACAAAATTGATTGAGCAAAAAGTGAATGAGACACCGAGCTTTTCATTGGTCAAAATAATCACATGACAATGATATGTCTGCGATATGTCAATTGTGTGTGGCAGATACAAATACAAAAAAACATCTTCCAGATGAATTAGATGCTAGACCAGTAACATTTCCAATGTAAGAAAATCTAAGAACTTTGTTGATTATGTTCTTTGTTTACAGATCGCCTTCGATCTGCCTGTGAAATACCCGATGATAGAACCCGAACCATTTGGATCAGGACAGGTACCATGCAATCTAATTTAATTGTCAAGGGACATTGAGTCCAAGTAACGTTCTATGAACTTAGTATATTTGTATTGTCTTAAGCGTCAATGAGGCTAGTATACTGCGGGTCGAGTTAGCACGTGGCAAATTTATACTCATGAAACATGTTACAATAATGTCAGTACCCTCTTTCAAACAAAAAAAGAATAACCAAAATCGTTTCACAAAAGAGTTATCGAGGAACATACATAATAATAATAATAATAATAACGCTCACACTCAACATAGCCCCGCACTAGGGAAACCCTGTGTCGCGGGTGCCATGGACACACACATAGACAACCACAAATTACACCCAAACTCACGAGAGAAATAAATGTAGGCCATACAAATATTTCTCCCGGCCCGGGAATCGAACCTGGGACCTCTGCGTGGCAGTCCGGCATGGTAACCGTTCGGCCACGGAGGCAGTTGAACATAAAAAGAACGCACAGTCGAATTGAACGTCTTGATTTCTCGCACGCTCCATATAATAATGTTCCAGATAAAAACATCAAGTGGCAATCGCTGCGTAGACGCGAAGGATACTCAGAAGAAGGATAAGATAACGCTGTCGCCATGTGACAGCAATGCTGGGCGTCAGAAGTTCATTCTCTCTTGGCATAAGGATATCAGGTAATCGTTTTAGAAGACAATCGAAGCGAAGTTAAAGGGCGGCGCGCCCGCGCTAAGAAAAGTCGCCATCTCTATGCAAGAATTCGTGTCGTTTCTACACACAACTGTGTACACTGTCTCGGCGCCGGACAAGAAAAAAATCTTGTCTACCCCCCGACACGCGCGTGTTTATGTGCGTGGCCGGGTGTTGCTTAGTAATCAACATGTACAACAACATATTTTTTCCCATAGTCGATTGTAAAACGACAGCTACCTGGAAGACTCGTAATGTACTGACACACTTTACCCTCCACATGTTTGTCCGAAAGCATTCGCATCGTGTACATAATCATTATATCTCGTCTACAACAGACACTACTTGTTTTCGTGGCTAGATCCGACAAAATTCGTGTCGTGTACAAGACCATTCTCATCTGTAGCAGACACGTCGAATTTCTGAGCGTGGGTGTACACGCCCTAATCCTGTTTTGAATAATTGATTCAGCATACCGTGTCTGACGCTTCCCCAACTGAGCTACTCAACAAATCAGTAGATATACGAATTTTTCTGTGCTTTTGCAGATATTTGTTTTTTGGTTTTTAACGACTTTTCGTTTACAGCCACCGGCTGACTAGAGATGTCGCTTTGAATATCACGATGTCTGGATCGAAAGAATTTTTCTAAGTGTTTGATCTTTGTATTAATAATTATAACAAACTAGTGGCGTAATTTCACATAAAAATAATTGAATATCAATTTAATAAAAATTTAATTATATCCATTTGCCAACTTATATTGAAATCTGTTACCGGAAAGTGCGCGAAACCGGATTCATCCCCAAGTTTGCTACCCTTAGAGGTGGAATATTTACTTCAAATTTAAATGGAACCAATACTGAGGTACTTACTCTCTTTCCAACAAAAAAAGAATCATCAAAATCGGTTCAAAAATTGAGTAATCGTGTAACATACATACAAAAAAAAATACAGCCGAAATGAGATTCTCCCTGTTTGAAATCTGTTAATAATGTAATTTAAAAAGACTAAAAAGTCGTTGAAAGACCAAGTACAAAGACACGACGCAAGCACATAGAAAAATTCGTGAGGTCCGTTGGTTCGTTCCGTGGCTTAGTTGGTATAGCGTCTGGCACGGTATGCAAGAAGACGTCGGTTCGAATCCGACCGGATCGAAGGAATTTTTTCTGAGTGTTTTTTCCGAGTGTTCGATCTTTGTATTAATAATTAATGTAATTTATGATTGGTTCCAGGATGAGTTCGCAACCTATGTGCTGGGACGTGCCGGAGTCGAAGCCTAGGAGCCCTGTCTTACTCTACAGCTGCCATCTTGGCGGCGGAAACCAACTCTGGAGATACCTACCAGTGAGTTTCTGTTCTTTTTACCTAACTACTGTGAACGTAAGGCTTTTTGTTTTTTAATAATGTCGGGTGACGGGACGAACAAGTCGTGATAGTGTGTGTGAGTGAGGTGAGTGTCACTCAGAGCTTAAAATCGCTAAGATCTGAGGGGAACTGCCCGTCCGTCACCCTGATACATAAGTTGACAAGTCCCATGTGCCTGTAATTTCGCCAGCACCCTTAAAACCGTAACGCAGTAAAGCTCACATTACTGTTTGGCGGGCCCTACACAATTTATTTACAATCGTCTCTTGTCTGCCTGCGAGCTTTTCGTTCTCCTTTTTTAGTAGTTTCTTTTTTATCGTGAAGGAGTTCGTCCAGGGAAGTACTGCCACCTTACCTATTTCTGCCGCCAAGCAGTAATGCGAGCATTACTGCGTTCCGGTTTGAAAGGGTAAGGCTGCTGGTGAAATTACAGGCACGTGACGGGCGCAGTGGAAGTGCCCCTCAAATCTTTGTGATTTAAAGCTCTGAGTGGTACTGGAATTGTTATGGACAGGCCTGTTGCTTACCATCAGGCGCACGACTGGTTCGTCCCGTCAAATGTTATAAAAAACCTAAATATTGTATTTGACCGGTGAATCCGACGCCCCGTCGTTACTAACAACGTTTGCTTTGCTTGCAAGTGACGGCTGAATTTCTTTACTTTTATGTAATCACCTAAAAGTTTATACTACATGGAGTGCTTTCACAAAAAACACATAAATATCATGATATTCAATAAAATAAATATTAAACTTTTTTGTTTTAGGATACAAAACAGTTTCGTCACAGCAGTGGCACCTGCTTGGACCACGACGAACAGACGTTTGAGCTATTCGTGAACAGGTGCGACAGTCAGCGCAGCACCCAGCAATGGCAGGTCGCGTACAACAAACAAGCCTTAGATAAGTGGGACGACATACAGACGGTGGTCACTGGGCCATTGCCTTATGAGGACGACATGTGAGTCCTTTTGTAAATCGCAATTTTGTTATTTTATCTATACAGGCTGCAACAAAAATGGTGTAGTCGTGTTTTGTGATATTACATGTTTAGATGCTTTGCAGGAATTCATCAAAATAATACACTTGGCCATTCAGCTTTATTATCACACGTTAAATGTTGGCTGTTATAAATAAGACTGCTTAAAAATTGTATTCTTACCAAACTTTAAGGTTTTCCGATATATTTCCTTTAGTAGGAATAACTTACAATGTTACACAGATTTCATGTTGTATCTAAATAACTGTGACTTCGTGTGGCGAGTCACGATGTATCTCTATGAAGCGGCGCCATCTATCGGAGCCCGTTTGATACTTACAAGTGACTGTCAATAAATCTAAAAGACAAACGCAAAAAAGACAAAAGACGCAACAGATAAATTTATAATGTAATAAATAATAATATTAGAATATATTATAAAAGTTACCACTTAACACGGAGCAACCAGATATAAAAATAATATTAGAAAAAATATTTCTATGTACATTTCGACGACAGGCTTATTTAGTATGTTGATTTGTTTTTGTTTTCAGATATACATAATATATTTAGTTTGTGAAATTGTCATGGAAATTTTCATATCTCAATATGATATGACCTTTTTGTATCAACCTGTATTATGCCCAGTAACGTTAACTACTTGGGCAAGATTGGTACATGAAACCAATTAACGTATACAATGGGAAGTTCTCGCGACTAATTAAAAAAGTTGCATACAAAGATATTAACGACCCAACAGTATGGAACAGAAAATTATTATTTTGCTATTTGAAGATACAGGTGAGATAATCCTCTTTGTAAAAGTTTCATGTATCGAACTTTATACTTTAGGGTTTTTAGTACTTAACTAAAAAACTTTGAAGTTTTTGTCTGGTGTCGCAAACAAGAAAATATTTTTACATTATGCAAAAACATTAGAAAAAACATTTTTATACAGAATTGCTTTGTGGAAAGTAGTGGAAAAATTTTATTTTCATTTTTTAATTTCTAATTCTAACCTGTTAGCAACACCAAACAACTTCTTTAGAGAGTCTGCAGTTCTGCAGTCAATTACCTAGCACACTGTATAAGACATATCTTACATAAATTACATAAGACTAGAAAAAAAAAATATTTTGTCAATATGGTTTCACCCGTATTACTAGTTGTAGGAGATTAGTCGTGAAAACGGGTAAAGTGTTTGCGCAGTCCTTACCTAAAGTCAATCAATGGTGGCTTGCTTAAGAAATGTATTCTCCAACAAAGATAATGAGCTGAAAATCTTATTTTACATCAGTTTCGGCTTACCCCTTTAAAATTCTCCCTATTAATGCCTATATAATAGTTGCATCCAACCAATAGCATTTCTTTTCTTTTATGATACCACGTGACGTGACGAACAAGTCATGCGCCTGCTGGTACGACACGCCTACCCATATCAGTTCCAATGCCACTCAGACCAGTCCTATGTGCCCGTGGTTTCACCATTTAAGGGTATCACAACCGGAACGCAGTGATGCTCGCATTACTGCTTGCCTGCACAAATGTAAAATCAAAAAGGTAACGTGGCAGTATCTCCTTGGACGAACTCTTTCACAAGCTCTTCTAATATTAAAATCTTTTATCATTAACCGCTTTTCAAGAATAGAACAATGGCAAAATCATAGTTAAAAGACTTCGTTAGGGTCTTCAAATGTCTTAAAATAATCATGTGATAACTTTATCCGTCGGCTTTACGCGCCAGACACGCCTTAGTTTTTTGACCCGTCTTCATGATGGATTAGGTTTAAGATAGACGGTTGGTTATTCTAGAAAGTCATCGTATCAATTACAATAAACAATACTTTTATTTATTATTCATTTAGACACAGGGTTTCCTTTTTCCAAAGTTGCATTTAATTTTAGATTACTTATAACTTGCGTGTTATGTTTAAATCTATTTTTTTATGTGTTATTCATATTCCTTATAAACTTACTTATTTTTAGTTTATTAATTTGTTTTTCAGTCATCTGAGGTATTTCAATGTCAAATAATTAATTTACCGTGTTCCTGCACCCTTGTATTTTTTATTTTTTTTTCACGAAAATGAGGTTTAGTAATGCTTAACTTAAAACAAGAATGAACGCTTAATTTAAAACAAGAATAAACGCTTAATTTAAAACAAGAAGCAAAATTTGCCGTGGAATTAATTATTTTTTACTTTTTCTGTTATGCTTCTCCTTTATTCTATAGTTTTTTATTGTTTGTTGAGAAAAGCACTATATCTACCTCGGCGGGAATAGGGATTGCCTGACTGTTATTATAAGCACTAATAATCATACTGTTCTATAGCGTTTGTTATGTTAGCTTTTTAAATTAAAATTGTATATTTATGTATTAAATTAGATTATTGGCGTTTTCAGGGTTATAGATTTTCCTGTCGATGTTTTGAATTGTTGTGTAGTGCTTATAATTGTTAATTTTATTATTTAACACCGTGGTGTGCCATTATTATGCATACTGGAGGATTTCAGGCGCAGATTATGTTATATATTCAAAAGTTTAAATTTTGGGGTTAAAGCCGGGTGAAGCCCTGAAATTTTGTGCCATGGTACTAACACCAAGTGAGTGGTACAAGTGGTTGCTTTTTTAAAGTGATAATTTTGTAAATGACGTAATGTTGAATTGTCAACAAATAATTTTAGCTTTAATAGTTTTTTTATGGGTACTTATAAATGTATACCCCGATTTTCATTATTTTGTTTCGCGCTACGTGAACAGTTTCTGTTCACGTAGTTTAATAATAAGACGATGCGTTTTTTGTATACGATAGGTACGCTTATGGCACCATAAATATGCCTTTTTTTTTACAATCCTGGAGTCTTCTGCTCACAAACCTCAAAGTGCCACTTGGTACTACGGGGTACAGGTATTCAACTGTGAAAAATAAGGTATAAAAGGCTGAAATCTTGGGTGCAGCCATGCTATGATACGTAATTTTAATAGAACATTGTATATTAAGGTCGGTAAATAAGGAATTGCGAACTAGACTATTAGAAGCCCGAAGTCGAAGACTGAGGGCTTTCAGAGTCGAGGTTCGTAGTTCCCATACCGCCCGTGAAACATGATGATGCTGTTAATTTACTGTAATAGGAAAGGTGGCAGTACTTTCCTGGACGAACTCTTGCACAAGGAGCTCTAATGTTACTAAAAGCTTTGTATATAGAGCTCTAAATTTGAGTAGCCTTTACTGCATCCTTTTTCTTTTAATGCTCAACCCTACGTCACTGCAGGGCACATTATTGGTATTCAGCCTTTATTATTTTCTTTAGTAAATTCATTCCCTTGTTATTTTAAAACGGGGCTAGGCTGGTTTTTATTGATAATAATATTGTATTAGTCAAAAATGTGTTTTAGGTAATTGTATTTGGGTCGATTTAAATATTGTTCCTTAGTATTATACGGGTTCTATTGTATGAGGTCAAGAGCACATCAAGGCATGGGATCTATTCTCGTTCTCCGGCTGACATCTGTCCGAAACAATTACTGTCAAATAAGTAATATCTGACTTAATTAAAAGAAAATATTAAGTGTGAAGTTTCATTCGCGTCATGCATATTTCGACCCCTCCTACGTAAAGTGTCGTATGTCGAAATTGCCAAGTTTACAGGGGCGCGTTTTAAAGTTTTGAATTGACTGATGGGCATAACACGTGACTTTTTTTTCTCAGTGATATTCGGCAAATGATTACTACTCATATAGAGTATTATAAAATCCTAGATATCGGTTAGATGATCTATTAGATGATCATTCTTTCTGTGAATTCAGAACTTTAAAACGCTCCCCTGTAAACTTGGCAATTTCGACATACGATACTTTACGTAGGAGGTGTCGATTTGATCGAGTATTACTTATTTGATACTAATTGTTTCAGACGGACGGAGAACAAACTCTGCAATAGGAACTGTATTAGTTCAAAGTGACCAAGGGGCCTACCATAACCTTTCAAAAAACAATCTTATTTCAATGTAAGCTTCTAGTAAGCTTATTATAATATAACTCATATTCGTACCATGACAAACCTATCAACCAAGTAATGTATTATTGCTAAAGTGACTGAAAGAACGAATGATTTCCCAATATTGTCTATTCCTTACTTAAAATAGGAAAGAAATAACGCTATATGAACTGTATAATGTCATCTCTTTCTTTTTTGATGTTCCGAATCGTCCTATCGTAGTATAATGTTGAAGTACGTAATATTATTTACTTTCAGAGAATTTCAACTGCCAAAAAAAAAGAAAAGCATGTAATAATGAAATCCATTAAAATTACTTTGCTTTCGATTTTTTTTCCATATTTTCATGAAGAAAAATAAATAAACCAAGCCGAGTCTTGATTTTCACATTGTGAATTCGGAATTATAGTCTAGTGTCAACTGTTAGTGTCGCCAAGGAGCATATAGATGTCGCTGTCATAATTTTATGAAATAAACTAGCATATTTTTATTAAACGAGTAATTATTTCTTATTTACTATTAAATAAAAAATAATCAGAATATTGAAGAGATATATGTAAGTAAGTAAGTTCTACTTAATTTGTAATCATTACAAATCAATATTTGGACAAAAAATTCGAAAATATAATTGTTTCCATTGCGTCAGAGAAAGTATTTTAAGATTGCTAAATTTGACATAAGAACAATATTACTTTAATATTAAAGTCGCGTCATAGTACGAACTGACTGAATGAATATCACAAAGCTGCCAATATAACATCATAGTTTTAACATTATAATAAGCTTACTTTAAGCGTGTCATGGTACGAAAAATCAATGTAAGGTTAAAGTAATATTGTTTTAAGAGGTCGTGGTAGGCTCCCAGCTTCACGTTCTCTTCACTTACGCGCCTAAAAAGATTTTATCATTTTCATGGAATTTCCTTTTGTACAACTTTTATTTAAGTTTACTTCCATAGTCTCGTATTTATTTTAATCTATAATCTAATAAATCTATAATGGCAGGTTTACACGTATTAAATGACGAAGCAATTAACTAAATTTTAATTTAATTTATGCACGTAAACAGTCACTTAACGGCTGTAAAGTAATCGTCGATTTAGTGAATAAACAGGTAGGAATCAAACCCATCTTTAAACGATTTCAAAAAAAAAGGAGTAGGTTTTCTATTCGTCTGTATGTTTTTTTTTGTATGTATGTTACGCGATAACTCGGCATTTGTGAACCGATTTTGATGATTGTTTTTGTTGCAAAGAGGGTACCTCGGCATTGGTCCCATTTTAATTTCAAGAAAGTATTCCACCTCTAACGGTGGCAAACTAGGGGATGAATTCGGATCCGCGCACTCTCAAGTACAGAATACTAAGGGTCGTATTCTAGAACTCTATTCAATGCTCAAGTCAGGATTGCACTGGATACACAAGCACTGGAAATACGACCCTAATGGCAGGGACTTGAGTATGATATCAAGTGCTTTAAACCATACTCAAACACTGATTTGAGCATTGAGTAGAGTTCTAGAATACGACCCTGAGATTATTTGAGGAAGTACCGGAACCTCTAGCACACCGCGTAGTTCCCGGTAGGTGTAGTTCGAAGTTTGAAGCATTTGGTGCGCTAACGCTTGTTTGCAAAATGTCAAAGTACTTACCTCTTCATTAAAATATGTGTAAACGTTAGAGCTTGAAATTAGACGTCTGTAGAAGCGCTGCAGTAGCGCGAGTGTGGCGCAGCATTTATGCTTCTAAATATTGTATGAAAATTAATTATTGCCCGCGTAATGTCGCCACAGTGGTGCCAATGCAGAGCTAGTCTAAGCTCTGCTTAAGAGAAATTATTGCCGTACTAATACGGTTCATTTTGCGTGGGCTTTATTTCAAAATTAATTTTATAACAAACAAAATTAAAGCCGTTTGAAAAATGAATATCGTATAGTACACATGTTCTATTTAGTTCAGTTGATATTAAAAAAATAATCCAATGAATCATATGTCTCGTATATCTGTTGAATACAGCGGTTTTCTTGTAAAATTTCAAAGTAAGTTTGTGTTTTTTTTCTATTGTGAAAATTTTTAGGAGTCGTGTTCACACCGTATAGTAATCAGTGTATATCCGCCATTTTACTATATATTTTTTTCAAAGTGATTGATTCAACGCTTTCGTTGTTATACGGTATCAACCAAAGCCATTTGATATAGTATAGACTCTTAGGATGAGGTTAAAATTTAGTTAAAACTTAGTTAATGACTTCGTTCCTTAGTACGTGTGAACCAGCCATAACTCTCTATTTTCTTTTAGTAAAAATTTTAATATTTTCCTTGTGATGACTTGTCTAAATTTCCCAGTGAGATTTATTAAAAAAACATATCACTAGTTGTGTAATTAAGCAATTATGTATTGAAAATAAATTATTTTTATAGTTTGACATGGGATTTTTATTACTTCTACTCAATCGTTTCTTCACAGCTGAGGATCGTGACTCCATTTCATCCTGTCATCATCCAATCGTCTTTTTCCGTCGATAGCGCTTAGTAGCGTCAGTGACCATGGACCAGTCCGATTTGCGTTAATACATGTATACGTATTCCGGTTAATTGGAACAAAAAACGTGATTTAAATTCAGAAAGAAATATTTCCAAAGTGTTGTTTGTCAATTAATTGAAAGGAAATGATAAATAACCTTCAGTCATTGACTTACAATTATATGGACGTCGGGTCCGCGCTAAAAAGTGTCCGAACTTATAGGGCGTTAAAATCGTATACAGAGCGTCATTCACGCTCTAGTCTTCGTTTGTTCGACTGACAGCGAAGCAAGCAAAATTAGACAGTACTGCGATGACATTACAATTTAAATTCAACGTTTTAGCTTTTTCATATTCCTTGACATGTCACTACGTTTAAATAGGTTGACTTGGGAATTTTTTTTTTGTGGTTTTTGTATTAGACCTGTCGTCCATTTATTTGTAAGTCAGTGCCTTCAGTGTACACAATAATGGTTATAAGATTGCCAGTTGATGAATTCAAATTCCAAATTCGAATTCGAATTTCGAATTTAATGTTCATATACTTAACTGTCGTCCGCCAACTAAAATGGGGCTAAGTGTCAAAATATTTTTTTTTGAGTTATCATAAAAAACTAGAACCCAGTTTTAGCATACTGAAATTGTTTAATGATATTTTTTAAGTTCCGACGAGTCGAACACGTTAACTAATTTTAACTGTTACTAAAAGAAAATTTTGTGTTCTATCTTTTGCTATTTAAAACGGTTATTTGATAATTTGTCACTTAGCTACGTTTTTGTTAGTGGACGGCGCTTTATTGATCATAATGTGCTATAGCAGTGCCATTTTTAAATAAATTATACAGTGGTGGGGCACAGTGGCTGAATGAATTAAAACAAGATTATATTTTAATAATTTTATTACATATTCCATTAGAATACTCTCTATATTTATTATCGTACATGCTTACATCGGCTTAGCACGCACGTCCCGACTATGGATATCACTGCTATACATTCAGAGTACTTTAAGGGTCTCTACACACGTTCCAACTTTTCTTAAAACTGAGAGACTTGAACTCGACTGCTTGTACTTTTTAGGCTTTTGTACTTAAGTTGAGTGTTACTTGCAGGTGTTTAAGAGGGAAGGAAAGTGTAGACGAACCTTAAACGAGGTCTACACATCGTTATCTATAATTAGTACAAAGTAAATGCAGCTCGAGGAAATCAGTTCTACGTAAATGCTGACCACGGATCAGAAAAGCATTCTAAATAAATCTAGAAGCTATGGTAGGGCTCTATGGCGAGTTACGCTATGGTCGCTTATACAGCCAAACTAGAAAAAAAAGTTAAAATGTTACCAGTATTCGCTGTTAACTAATTAACTTAAATTTTGTCCGATAATCGATCATAAAACGCACATCAGGTGTTTATTACTATAGCCTCAATGTTGCCGCCTTTTTTCTGATATATTACATACTTTATTTCACCGTAATTCTATCTTACCGGTTTACATTATAATTAATTCAAGCGTAAAGATATGTACAATATTTTTACAGATTACATTCTTCAATTTTTAAGTACCTATTTACAAATTAGTAATCTTTATACATTATAAAAAGTTAACTATACTGCTCTAGTAAATATCACCGCGAAAATCAATAACTACATTCACAATAGAATAATATATTATAAATAAAAATACACCTTACAGTACTAAATAAGGGATAAGACGTATTACATTACAGTATTGCTTTGTTTAGTCACATTTTGCAAAAATATCACCACGTTAGGGCCGCTGCCCGGGGAGCCGTTCCAATAATATTTTTTTTTTGTAAAAAATTATTCACATATCACTCAGTCACTCAGTCATCTAGCTTTAAATTAGTACCTCTAACACAGTAGACACCACAATTTAAATGAGACACAAATGGACATACACTATAATTCTACTTTTTTTATTTAATTATAGTTTTTTACTTCTCGCTGACTTATACAAGATATTGTAAAGGCGTGAAATAATTTTTTGGGGTGCAGATTACGTCCATTTTTTGATCTTGATCTTTATGAATTTGTCGTAAAAACTCCAAGAAACTTCTGACAAGTGGAAAATTATTTATGCAATTTCCAAAAATCGTGCAACAAAAACTGTCCGTGGTTACGCCCCAAAATTTAGAATTCAATCCTTTGAAATAACACCTGTATGTACATAAATACAACACATTAGTTTTTCTACTATATGTATATCATAAATAGCTGTTTTTTTTTGCATGAGATACAAAAGACCTAAATCTCACTATGGACAAAACCGGTCACTAAATGCAAAATATATACACTTATAGCAACTAACTTCAAACATTCTTTTTTTACTTTATTATAAGCAAACACTCAAATAATTTATTATTTAACACAGATCTTTGAAGGGTATTCATCTCAGATTTATTGCTGACCCCACGTGAAATTCACATGTGTACACTAAATATATGTTCAGTCTAAAAAGATAAAACTTAAGTCAGCGAGAAGGCCTATCCCAAATATTAAATGTCTGAATTTAAAAGACTTTATGGTTTAGGAAAAAGTCGTTCAAATCAGACACTTTACATTTAGAATTTTGATAAAGCGAGTCATTTATTATCTTACTTGTTGTACGACGGTTAAAGACAGGTATGTAAAGGAACGAGGCTATTGTGAGATTGAAATTCTCTCTTCCATTATCACATAACTTTCTCTTTTTCTGTTGTCCAACATGCAGAATAGTAAAGATACGGCTTTATAGAACTACAGCTTGATTTATTACACAACACATGCAGAAGTACGTATTATCGTTCAATTTTAAATTAGGGACATCATCTGTACCTACAACACTTTGAAACGGAATTCTAATAAGTTAAAACGAGGTAGGTCCAGTGGACTTAGATTCCTTTTTCTATAGCTTTAAGGTTGCTAAAACTAAGAATTAATAATAGTATTGTTAGTACACATGACGATCAGTTTATTTGTCTATTTTAAGCTTGAGGCCTTTCTACATTACGGGGTTACTGCTATTTAGAACTCTGTCGCTCCGAAAGAATAATGAGAAACGATACGGGGAAATATGCCCTCTACAAATTTTATATTTATTGCGAAATGGTTACATCTACTGCTCCTGCCAGTTGAATTTGAAGAGTCAGATGCGCTAAGATATAAAAAATATAAAATTATTATTGCTTATATAGTTACAGTATTGCGAAGTAAAAAAGACCTTAGGCCTAACATTAAAAGGAAATACTACAAGAATAAAATATTATTTACAAGTACCTAAAGGTATGTATAGAACGAAATATTTGGCTAAGATACGTGTTAGGAATACATGATTGGTGAAATAAATCTACGTGATGTGGTACGTACAAATTATTAAAAGTAGAGAGGTAAAAGATAGTAAAAATAATATCAAAAATTCATATAACTGTGATCGCTCTTGAGTATTTTTGGTTTCAATATTATGCTCAGTTTAATATTATTTTGTTAACATTTAACTTTATTTTATTTATGACTCGGTACCCTGCTATGTTATTCCAGATTCTTTTTCAGTTCATAATGTATAATTATATAAGCTAAAACAGGGATACGGAGTTTATTATTGCTAAGTACGCAAAACACAAATTGAATCTTGCTGTTAGCCAACATCGTAAAGTGTTCATCAGAAGTGTTTCTCATTCCTTTCCATTATAATCTGTCCATTTATACAGAACTTTTTCAATAACATGATTGAACCGTTCATGACGACTTGCGAAAATACTTTCAGTCCTATAATTTTTTTAAGAACTAAAACCCTATTGAGTTTCAGAATTCACAATCCGCCATTTAGTTGACGGATTTTAAATTTGGAATTCAATACGGTGGTGTTATGGCACGATTAGAGAAGTCACGAGCGGTGACGCGCGCGGCCGCTCTTTCTCCTTTTCCGTCTTCCATCGCGTACAAACATGATGTTAGCTGGATCGTCAGCTAATTGCGGATATTTAGACAGGGAGTGGACGTCCTTTGCAGCCCATCCGTCCACTATTCCATGGGATATGAGTTCTTCCTTTTCTTCCTCTGTCCAGGAACCTCTGCCTTCCCATCCGGCTGCGACAAGCGCCTTCTCACGCTCCCACGCTCTGGCGGCAGCTCGTTTATGGGCATGTTTAAGAAGCTTGATTCTCTCTTGCGCTGGATCGACACCATAACGCAGGACGATAACGGCTTGTGCTGAACCTTTACCGACTGCATGGACTCGCACCTGGAACAGAGGTAGAGATATTTTGTTAGTAGTGGACTAACGAATAAGAACCATGGTTCACACTGTGGTCAACGAAACTTACCTCCAATCCTTGATCGTTAGTTTCATCTTGCGAAACATTGAACTTGCCGGATAACCTTCTAAGTTCCTCCATATCATCTCTGATCTTCAGCGAGTTGTCTTTCACGAAGTAGAATACATCTTGATCGTGAATACTGAAGTGAACGTCCAGGAAATATGAATTATTAAACACAGTTGTAATGACATCTTCTACAACGCTATTAGCACCATCGGCAACGCTTATGAAAGCTTTCCCATCTACTCGAGATATGAGGACTCCTTCTCCGAAGACTCCACGTTTGTACGAAACTCTTGGTAGAAGATTGCGGGTAATCGGTTCCATTTTGAGCAGAGGTGTAGGCACGAAGTCAATGTCGGACAGTTTGTCGTTCACCTGTAAATATTAACAAGATTGTATTATAATAGATATATTTAATTCGTATTGTGGAATAAAGTAGTTGTGACAGTAAAAATATTTATAATATTTTACCTTCTCAATGATGCATTGGAGACCAGACATCACACCGAAGTCAGGAGCTAATTGTGGAGCCGTAACCGACGTCATGGGTTGGAAGATCATGTCTGTAATGTACTTCGATCCCATCATCTTATTAAGATCATATCCATACAATTGTAGCCAACTTGCTAAGTTAGTCATGTATGGAACGTACTGGTTCTTATTTATTGGGTCGTTGTTCTTAAATCTGTAGATAAAGATGTCTGTTGGCAGACTTAGTTTAGTCGCCAAATGTTCCCAGCTAGGTGTCATCCATTGTCCGACGACAGGATCGTATAGGCGATTTTCCAGATAGATCAAATTGGTGTTGAAGTCAAATATGCCTCCGTGGAAGTCCACAGGAACATAGAAACTTGGATTAGTGTCTTTGATGATCTTACCGAACGGACTGCGTTTTATTTCCTTTATGATTTCACCATTCACATCGAATACTACAAGCGGTGAGCCGTTGTGATCTGTAGCGACATAAAACCGCTGGTCTTCAGTCTCGATGCAAGTTAAGAAGTCTCGCTGGTCGTATAAGAATCTAACAGTTTTCTCTGTTTTTGGATAATGCATGTGGGTAATCAAATTCGGTGTCTGCGGATTCGTGTAGAAGAACTGAGTGACGTTATTCTTATCATCTTTCCAAGCAACAAGTCGGTTCCTATCATCGTAATAATACCACATTTGGAACTTCTCTCTTTCGAAGGCATGCACGAATTGCCCGCGACAGTTGTACCTATACTTTTGTTCTCCACGTCGAATTACGAATCCGCGACCATCATAACTGCTGAATTCAATATCACCGTATTGGACAACTCGGTCACCGCTGTCGTATCCAAGGTAACGTTTTTCCCCGCGTTCTATTACCCCAATAACGTTGCCATTTTCGTCGTAGACGTACTTCCAATCGTCTTCAGACCCTACAACTTCCATTAGATGACCGTCGTAGTTATAACTGATCCGTTCGTTTGATGAAGTATCGCCAATCATCATCTTCTTTGTCTTGATTCGATTCCTTACGTCGTATTCCAGTTCCAAGCGGAAGACATCAAAGGATTTAATGTTCATGAGAACTGTTTTTATTCTGCCGTGGTCATCATAGTCTGTGACAGTGAAATATTGCTTGCTGGTGTCCTGCATTACAGAACGGTTAAAAGTATTTCTGTAAATTCTCAAGTCACTGACTCCTTCAAGAATACCCAAATTTTGATTGTACTTCAGTCTCAGTTGTGGCATTTCCTTGCTATTGATATTTACGTCAATAGTTGAAAGTCTTGCGTTACCGTCGTACTGATATTTGCAGTGGGCGTTGTTCAAACCGCTCTTTGAATTGTATTTCATTTTTACATCTTTGAGTATACCAGCATGGTACTTGTAGTCTTGCTTGAGTTCATACTCAAGATCCACAATATCTACGTTCTTTACCAGTTGTGTATTTTCGTGGTAAACGTAACGTATGGAAGACGCTCCAGCCAATATCATTTCCAGTTTCCCTGTGCTATCATATACGTATAGGATCTTACCAGATTGATGAGGGAATATTTTTGCCAGTATATGACCATCGTCGTTGTAAAGGATTTCGTAGGGATGTCTGTTCATTGGAGAAAAGTATTGGTACTTGAAGTATCCAAGTGAAGTCATAAGAGCAAAGGTATGAATGTGACCTCGAGGTGTCGTCAAGTTCTGCAGGGCTCCTGAATCATCGTAGTCTAGCAGATAGTCACTTCCTCTAGGTGTGGTTACTTTCAGTGGAAGACTGGTGAACATGTCACGGAATGAATACGCCAAAGAAGAGCCATCACCGTAACGAATTTCATGTAGTCTTCCAGCTCTATCGAAGCCGTAAGTCTCATTGAGATCGCCCCAACTCCATCTTGTCAATCGGTTAAATCGGTCATATTCCAATTCTACTTCGGCGAAGATTCCGTTTCTAGGTCCCCACTTGACTGGTCTAGCTGTCCTATCGTACGTGACATTTAATAGCTCCACCTTGTCGTCCATAAAAACAGCAACTGTGGATGAATCTCTGTCATATTCGAGAGTTAGAAGATTTTCGCCATTTACTCGAAGTTTGCGGCCAATTTGTGCAACGGCCTTGCTACTCTTTCCTTTATTTGATAGTCTGCGCAAGAAGTACCGCCATTCAAATCTGTTTGCAAGATCTCCACCAACTTCAGTTCTTTGTTTCGCAGGTACAGGGTAGCTCTCGCCAAGGATAGGGTCGATTTCAGATAAGATTGTATATGGAACAGTGTCAGTAGAAATAACATGACCCCAAGGCATGCTTGAAGAAATGCTTCCATCTGTAGAGATGATGGTCTTCTTTTCAGCTTCTCCGACTTTAGTATTGACAGAAGATCCTTTGATAAGAATCGATACTGGTTTTCTATTGTTTTCGCTGACGAGGACTGTTGCGCCTTTCACACTCAAATCGAAAGTGAGGTTGATGATACGCCCAGTTGGAGTGACAGCCGATGTAAGTCTTCCAAATTCATCGTACTTGTAAATGTAGCTTCGGCCTGTACTGTCATATTTAGCTTTGAGCAATCCTGTGGTGCCGTAGTAATCGAATGTCATATTAAAGTTGTCAGGTGTTCGTAGTTCTTGGAGCATTCTCATTCTTGACATCTTTAGTCTGCATTTCTGGCCCTTGGTGTTTTCTATTGAATTTACCAAGCTGGAGTAATCTCTTAGTAAGAACACTTTGTTACCCGCTGCATCGGTAACAGTACTGAGTTTTCCATTGCTTGTATTCACTGTGTAAGTAAAGACATAGTTGTTTTCTCCTGTCAGAATGTTCTTTGTCATAATGTGTTGTCCAAATCTGTTAAAAATGTAGATTTCCTGAGTGTCTGGTGAATATATTTCGTATTCTCTAGCTCCACTTGCATCCGGAATACTTGCCATAACAGATCGTATTCTATAGTTGGCTTGATCAGCAATGTGAACAATGCCATCTGGACTTACGATAACTGCTGAAATTGTATTAAATTTGGAGTTAGAAGCTAGGAAGTGATCAGCTTCGAAACAGTCACAACCTCTTTCCAAACAGTTGCATTTTGATTCAGCGCCAGCATACAAAGAGATTTTTCCATCTGTAGTGATGAGACGTACTCTATTGATTCTTTGGGAGTCACTTTCAGCGACGTACAAATCTCCTGCAGCTCCGAAAGCGATGCTTTGTGGCATGACTAAAGTGGCATAAGTGGCCAATTCAGTATCATAGCCAGACATAGGTGACGGGCAATGTAGAGGTCTTCCAGCAATAACTTTAACTCTGCCATCTGGAGCCATTTGTAGAATCATGTGGTCATCTATAATGTGGAGGCTGTTATCTAGAGGATTGATTGCTAGTTCAGTCGGCCATCTCAAGTGAACCTCTTCTACGCTGAGTGTTCCTTCACAAGGTATCGGCTTCCAATGAGCTCTATGCATGTGATTACCGATAACTGTTGTGATGATGCCATCCCTATCAACCATTCGAATATTAGTGCCATCAGCAAAGTACAAAACATTGTCGATTGAAACGGCAACGCCTTTGGGGTAGGCAAGCTTTGCGTCTCTGGCCAAAGCTCCATCCCCACAGTGCGCTTCATCTCCTGGTAGACATCTTTCGCCAGAACCAACAACGGTTTCCCAATTATGTTCGGGGTCGTCGTAGTCTTCAGTATTGCGTACTTTTATGATCTGGTGGGATTCCGGATCGGAGATGTAGAGAGTTCCATCCAATGGTGAGAGGGCCATATGGTAGCGGTAGGAGACTCGAGTGGCGCTGAAATAGAAATCAATTTGTTTTAAATCAATCGTGAAATGATGAGCGCTCGTAAGGGAATCTTATTTGAATTGAAACTTGATGAATGATAGTGAACACTTACTTCAATTTAACCACCGTGCGCACAGTTCCATCTGTGTTGATTTTTCTAACGAGATTGAAGTCTCCGACGAAAATAGAGCCATCAGGAGCAGCTGCTAAAGCCACTGGTGCCAATAGCCTCGCCTTGTTAGCAGCGCCGGTACATTCAGTGCCACATTCGAGGGCCCTCTGCCTTCCGTCTCCCATAGTTGTGATAATAAGCCGAGGTTTGTGTTTCAAATAGATGTTTGTTCCGTCACCCTTTTGTAGGATGCCTGAAATTGCGAATAATAAATTTATAATTTTATAACATGAAAACTCCAACAAATAAAAATTATAAAGTTTATTAGCAGTTAACAGAGTATATGTACCTTCATGGAAGTTGTAGCGATGATGAATATCCAAATTCCATCCACCAACATCAGAAATACTCATATCGTGGCCGCTTAATTTCGTTGTCTGTACATTCCAAATGATATCTTTGCAATCAGTGTATTGATATCCCACTTTCACTAACGCGGTTGTTACTCCGTACACTCTCTGTCTGTAGACGTTTAATCTATTCCAAGGGTATGTAAATTTAATAACAGGGTCAGCTTCAAAAGTCTTTTCGAACAAAATGCCCTCAATGGTGATTCTCAAATGAATTAAAGCCAGTGTTGGGGGTACTTTCTCAGGAGTCAATTGCAGTTGAATGGTCGAAAGATAGCCAGCTGCCCTTGAACTGTGATAAACAAGATTCAGGCCCGTTCCAGGAATTTGCAGACTCTCCTGTACAACTTGTGATTCAGCTAATATAGCGCTCTTGTCAGGACAGGCGCCCTGGAAGCCATGTTTCCACGTAGCTAATACTACAGGTTTCATTGCGTCATAATCGTGGGCTAAGCAAGCCTGCGGAGGACCCATACCACTCTTTTCATCTGATGTTGTCATTACTAAAGCGTCGATAATCACAACCTGGAAGAAATCATTGACTGATTGGATTGTCTTCTTATCCAAAGCTTGTACTTAATTCAGGTTTTTATTATACGCATCTGGAATCTTAATTTAAGGACTGGTACGCCCATTAATACCGAATTCGCCACTGAATTACTCAAGAATGTCGACTTATTAATACAACGGCGGAGTTAAAATAATGCAATTTTAATCGTAAGTTTGCATGTTTGGCGAAAAAAATTTAAATCGCCCAGTATTAAGTGGAAGTCGTTTGTGTTATAAACGACTACATCAAATCTTCAGACTGTAATGTCGGCCCGTAATGTTCACGTGTTGTGAGCTAAGTGATTTGGGTTATGTGGCCATTATTCTTGTAATGTGACTCAGAAAATTGAATTCATAGCTTAGTTTACAATAATCGTCAACCGTTTTAATATTTCTTTAAGCGCGGTGAAATAATAGGCAAAATGCCAATAAAATTAATATCTGACTATTAAACCTTATACTTTTTTTAAAGTAATAAATTTCTGACTTGTTAAAACTGAAGTGATTTATTTTGACCCTATGTTGCACGCTATACAAACCTCATTCCAAGGCACGAAAACAACTTGCGAAGATCTCTTGAAAGGCGCTCTTCCGAAATGTAAAGTAACTGCACCCCCACCATTCACCAATAGATCGAACCAACCGTCGTCTCTGGTCAGTGTGAACCCTTCAAGAGGAGTTGATGTGGAAACTCTGACTCCGACGAGGCCTGATCCGAGGGAAGTCACTACACGACCTCTAATCACGGCAGAACGACTGAAAATTGAAGGTGCTTAATGTAGGATTAGAAACGGATGATGTTAAAAATATTTAAGATTTCCGTGGTCATGCTGTATATTAACGACAAAACTAGTTAGGTCACTAGGCGTGGACTTCTTAGACGAGACTTTTAAGATAGGATTGCTACTGATTGATGTAGTTAAGAATTTTTCTATGGTAATCTAATGCTACTATTATAATAACTATGGTTTTCGTTGTAAATATATGTGGTTTTCATTGAATGACTTTTAAAGGCGGTCTACACCTAATCAAAAGATACTTAAATACAAGTTCTGATGTTAAATCGTAATTAACATTAAAATAAAAAGCGACACAAAACGCACAGGACACAATAATGTTCAACTAAATATAATGACAAATCACATAGCATGCAAAATTACTAAACACGCGGATGATAAATACTTATATTTGCCAATCAAGAATATATAAATGTAAATACAGGATCTAAAACACACACTCCTACTTTGGTTGTGTCTTACCTCGTATTGAAGTGATTCCAAAACATACTGCGCAGCGTTAGAGAGGCGAGAGAAATAAAGAATAAGTAAGTACGAACGTACAATACATTTTTATAATTTAGAAGAAGAAAATTCAGATTCTTTTTAGTAATACTAACGTAGATAAAGAAGTTATCAACAGTTGAAAAGTTAATGAGCATGCAAGTGCCAACATAAATGTTATTCTGTATTTGAATTTCCTTCAAATTTTAAATGAACATAAAAATATAATTAGTTTTTCGTACATAAGGTGTTAGGAAAAGAAAGGAACACATTGTGGAACAATTCGCATAAATAAACATTGGGATCGACTGGGGCACAACATTGCGTATTTTAAAACAATAACAGATAATATATCGTTCTTAATACATTAAGTAGGTTAGTTACCTAGCTTGTTTTGGGCAAAGACCAGTTGGTATTGTCATTTCAATGGCAACTGCTCCCTGCAACTTTATCCTTAAAACTAACAATTAACACCAAACATTCAAGTTCTCACCTCTCGTTGAACGTTTCCTGTTTAGCGTAGTTTTGGAGACTACCTTCATCGATGAGGAACTTCATTCTCTCGAAGAAGGAAGCGGTGATTGCAGGCGGTTGTTTCCTGAGCAGGATGTCCGTTGGTTTGGGAGAAGACACACAGAGTTGGCTTCCTTTGCATGCTGGACTTTGGCAACACTCCGGGTCTTCACAGTCGACTAAACCATCTAGATATAAAGCAAATTTTTTGTGTGAATTCTTAGAATTTGAATTTTTGATCCCAATTAAGCTTTGTAAACTTTGAAATTTTACCTTTGTCGTTATCTTTAGAGTCATCACAAATTTTCTCTTTCAGCGTGGTACAGTCAGGTCCATCCCATCCATCGAAGCATTTGCACTCCCAGTGACCGTCATTGGCCACTCTGCATTGACCATGTCCAGCGCAACCTCGAGGACAACCTTCTAGCGTGCAGTGTCTTCCATTCCAGCCAGAAACACAAAGGCAGGTTCCATTCTTGCATTGTCCATGGTCACTGCAGCGGGCGTCACATAGTTTGGATGTGCAAAATTCTCCAGACCAACCAGGATCGCAAACGCAAGACTCTCCTACGCATCTCCCATGTACACCACAATCCAAATCGCATACCTCTGCAAAATTATGTGAATTTCAGAAAAATTATAACAGCTTGTCTTGTTTAAAAATGAAAAATTAAAAACAATTGTACCTTTAGAGCAGTCATCACCAGACCATTTAGCGTGACAGGTGCACGTCTGAGTATCAACATCGAACGTTCCATGACCTGAGCAATCTGGCAAGCACTGAAGAGCGTCTTTGTCCATGGTTGCACAGTCTGCTCCCTTCCACCCCTTCTTGCAGATACAAGAGCCTTCAATACAAAAGCCGTGTCCTGAACAAGTTGGGTGTGGACAGTCAACCTCTCCGCAAAATTTGCCTTTGTAACCTCTGACACATGAACACTTTCCGTTGACGCAGTGTCCGTGGCCATTGCAATCAGGGACTTCGCATTCATCATGACGTAGAGAACATTCTTTGCCTTTCCATCCAGGGTTGCATTGGCATTCTCCGTTGATGTATTCACCGCGTTGACTGCACAGCACAGGACACACACCTACACGCATTTTAAATATTAGTTTATGTGTAATAACGCTATATAATCTTTTACTAAAATAAGACTTACTTTCGCTGCAATCTTCCCCACCAAAACCAGGCTGGCACTGACAATGACCCATCAAACATTCCCCTTTGCCAGAGCATCCATTTGGACAGTTATGGGTCATATCTTCGGCTACCATTGCTACGAATGTGATTTCCTGAGGATCGCCATTGTCGTTGTAAAGAGATAGGAACCAGTGTCCTTGTTCCATGTAGTGCGTTACTTCCTTCTTCACTGATGGCTGCAATATGAGAAACAAGCTAATTTGGAATATGTTCTTGCAAATATTAAAAAGTAAATTCTGTTGAACTTACATGTGAAGCCCGCGTAGTCCTCGCCTTGAAACCACTCAAAACTTCCAAGAAATGATACTGAGTTAAGGTCGGCAAAGCATTTCGTCTCGCGTAAACTCCTATTGACGCTCCTCTCGGAATCATATAATCAAATTTCACATAAGAAGCTTCTGATTGAAAGAACTGTACGTTCCAATAACTATATGGAGGGATTTCATTTGATAATTTGTCACCTAAACTGATTTCTTTGAAGGTTGTCCCATCTGGAGGGAACGTCTGTGCTGGGAACGTCCGCGCACCTATAAAATTGGTTTTAGTTAACACAATGATCGATTTGTGTGGTAACTCTGAAGCTCAAATCAACACAGCACAGTTTTCATGCGAAAATGTAATGAATTCTAAACAGACTTAACATCAACAATTGTACTATACTATATACGATTGAACTACACACTTATATTCTGTTAGCTACTTTATTACAAAAGATAAAGTACGATTAGTACTAGTAAATACTACATCTAAAAAGCTCATGCAATTGAAATGAAACTCATCGGACCCCACACCTTTCACCCGCATGCAGGTTAGTTATTAGAAACAAAAGTGTTTGTACAGAAGTCCTATCCAATGGGTTTGGTGAGAGTTAGTAAGTTATTGTCGGTATCATATTCAGTGACCTCACCTTCCAGTATTAGAATAGGTGGAGGCTTAACTTTTGGGCATATGAGTTTTACTGTTTCAGTAGTTGAATAAGACTCCGTTTCTATTTCTGTTGTTGATTTTATATCAGTTAATAAATCATCTGAACTTGTTAAATAGTCATCAGTCGATATTTTAGTGCTTTCGGTTACATTGAATTCCGTAGGATCTTCAGTAGTATTACTACCGTCTGTTGAACCTAGAGAATCAGTACTGTTTATAACAGTATCTGTACTATCAAAAGGTTTATTGGTACTACCTCCATAATCATCATTGTAAAAGTCATCTGGCGATTCCGTATTATCGCAACTTGGACAAGAACATTCACAGGTTCCTCCCCAACTAGCAACAGTATCCACTTCTTTAATGGTTTTTGTGACACCTTCTATAGTAACAGGCTTATTAAAGTTTGTAGGTTGAGTTGGTTCGGCTTCCATAGGAGTTATTTTGACCGTTGGAATTTCATTAGAATCACCAACTGTAGGAACTTTCACTGTTAACGAATAAAGTGGTTTGTATGAATTTTCCGTATTATCCGCAGATATTGTTAGATTTATCATCACATGTTTGGCGTTAGTAAAATCCGGTGTTTTGGATTCTGTAGTCATATTTACAGTAGCGTCTGAAGTCGGCGATGTAGTCGTTATATGTACAGGATTAGTATTAGTTTCACTCGGTGTTGGTGTAGTCAAAATGGCATGCTCGGTCGGTGCAACGAACTGGTGTGTACTAACGACTATCTCTTTTGTTGGTTTACTTGTAACAGGTGTTTCATTAGTTGTGACAGGAGATGTACTTCTTACAGTGGGTGAAGTACTTGTAGTTTCTGTAGCTGCAGTTTGACTGCCGCTATCGTAGTGAAGTTTTTCTCTTTCCTTTTGTTCAGTAGGTTCGTCTAAATCTACATGTAGTTCCTCACTCACTTCATTTAGTTTAGCTAGTAATTTCAGATACTGAAGCTTTTGAACACCATATGTGTAAATGGATGAGAATGAATCGCCTTGCATGGAATCAGGTTCATAAGCAATGCTTTCTTTTTTGTTTTCATTTTTAGGTATTAAGGATTTTTCTGTTATTAAGACTGCAGGTGGTTGATCTATGTTATTGTCATTTTTATTAACTGACTCACTATGTTCTGAATTGCTGTTGGAGTCACGATTAACAAAGTTGTTAATAGTTTCAACAATAGAAGTTGAAATAGAAGTTGTTGATGTAGACGTAGCGATACTAACAGTTTCGTAATTATTTTTTATAGTTTCGGTAGTTAAAGTTGATGAAGGAGTAGACACAGTGACAGTAAAATCTCTAACTGTATCAGTAATTATTTTCTCATTAGGTTCCACATTAACATCGCTCTCGTTATTACTCGATGGGCCATCAAGCTTAGTATTTGTTAAATCACCAGGATTAATCGAATGATAATCAACAGTGCTGGACATAAAAGCGATACTTCCCTCATTTTCTGTTGTTGCGGCATCATCAGCTCCCAAAGCAGTCTCCACACCATGCACTAAGCTAACAGTGTTCACAGAAGGCGTGATTTCATGCAAAGTATCTACATTGGAAGTATCCGTGAAAGAAACAGAAGAAGTTTGTACAGAAGCAAGTTCTACGCTTCTACGAGGGCGAGAGTGTCCATTACCTGAGCTCTGAGGTGAGCTTTGATGAGGTCGCGCTAAAGATTTGTTATTAGATTCCTGCGTCGTGACTTTTGACGCTGAAAAGTTATCAGTTGAATCGCCAACTACTACGTTACATGCTTTTGAGTTTTGATATGACCAGTTGACGAAGTATGATGCTGTGGGGAAAAAAATAAATTAGTTAATTAGACTATTAGATATTAAGTTAATTAAATACTAAGCAAAATATACATATTATCTTTGTTTCGAAAGTCTTACCTGATATATAGGAAGTGAAGGCTAAGAGAAGAACAAAGAGTATTATGAACACTATGGCAGTACATTTCCACGAACACCTAGAGGAAAGGTCTTTTCTGAAGTGGAATCGTGAGGCGCCCTGAGGGAAATGCGTTGCGCGGAGATTATTGCGGACTGGTAATACGGGGACCGGTGCTCCAAACGCTGGATGGGACCTGTCGTTCCTGTCCATTCTCTCTAAGGTACTTTTGTCTTGTTTTCCTGGACTACTACAGGATGAGTTCGACTTGTAGTCCATAGACGGATTCTTCTGTATGTCCCCTGAAATTGAGATTTATTACTTTTATTTTTCTGGTCGTTTAGGTGTAAGTCTCAAATCAGAATGTTTTCTAAGGGTTCCGTGTTTAATGTTGCATATACATACCTAACGTAATTACACAAGTTCTTATAAGGTGTGTCTTGTACCTAAGTGTATTGATCTTAATGGGATGATCTCAAAGTCGAAGATGCTTATCTAATAACTCCTTTAACAAGTTTAACTAAACTTCAAGTTTGTAATAAGATGGTATCGATCGAGTCATAGTGAACTTTGTAAGCCTTTGAAGTTTGAATGAAGTTTCAGTTTCATAGAGAAGATTAAAAGTCTAAGAGAATAGCATATTGTGGATTGCTCTAGTAAATTTTTCTCCAAATATTTCTCGAAAAAACTTTCAAGTGCTTTCTGAAAGATTGAAGAATTTATTATGAAAACTAACTCCCCAACGTTATTACTTCACGAAGTTATAAATTGCACCTGAAGGCATGTAGGGTTCCCTAAGGGTTTAGCGCCCGCGCTTACAGATTTCGAGGTTATATTCCACGGTGCTTACAAGTTACTGTTATGCTCGAGTGAGCTTGTAAGTTCCCAAGACCCAAATTCTCCTTAGACTTTGTTATCGCGTTCCGTATTCTGAGAAAACTACAATATTCCGACAAATTTCTGGAGCTGTTGTTACTTTTGTCTTCATAGAAATTCAGATACGCGTAAAGACTTATCCTGTTAGAGCTTGAAATAAAATTCAAAAGTGTTCAGGTAACAAGCAAACTAGATGCAAAGCTTTGAAGTTTCCCGATCGGAAAGTTTTCATAAAACCAACTGAACAGTTGGCGGGATCGAAATGTAGCGGAAAAACTGTTTAATACTTCATGTTCCGTCTTTGTCTTTTTGTTAACATAAGTTATGTCTAACAAATCACCAGGAACAAAATAATCTAAAATTCAGCCGCTAATAATGAGATTGTATTAGAATTTGATATAGTGTGTTAGTAATAAATGTAATATTAAGGTGTGGGGTCAATTAGTTGGTATGTTACTGATTTTATTGAAGCTGGTAAACTTATTTATAAATATTGATTTGTTTCGTCTGTTTTATGATATCCTACACTAGTTTATTATTACATTGCTTGCATAATGACGTGCATGAACATCGGAAAAAGAATGTTGACTGATCTTTGGTGGGATAAGAATATTGGTATAAAATAAGACGCAAAGGAAACTTCTAAAAAAGTCGATGAGATTTTATCCATGTGGAGTGTATAACCCAAATCTGCTCGATTACAGAAACTTCTTACCTGAAGGCACATAGAAATTGCCAGAAGGCGTGCGTACGAGACACGAGGGCTCAAAGTCACCCAGATCGGCTGGGTTACCGGTAATACGTCCGTTCAGACGTGACATGGTCGGGTTGCGCGGGGGCACATCGGGCGGAGGCCGCGTACCTTCCAGGAGACAACCTGAAGACAAAGAAAAAGGCTGTTAATTGAAAATGTTTATAGTAAAATTAGTGAGGTCCGTTGGTTTGTTCCGTGGCTCAGTTGACAAACCATGCCAGAACATCGTTTGCTAGGAGACGTTGGTTCGAATCCAGCCGGATCGAATTGAATTTTTTCTAAGTGTTCGATCTTTGTTTAATAATTGTAACAAACTAATCGAGTAATTTCACAAAAAATAATTGAATATCATGGTGGTGAAATATCAGGATGTCAGGATATTCAATAAAACTTAGAGCTGTTACACATGGCGACTTTTAGCAGCGATGCAAACGCGATACAAACGCGATGCAAACGCGATACAAACTATTACGATATAAACTACGATGCATGTTTCAAATTAATTAACTAATTTATTTATTCAATGTGTTTATTAATTTCACTTTTAAGTTTCCAATTAACAAAACGAAATAATGTGCGTAAACCTATACAGATTTTTCGTACATAATTAGTCAACATAAGCGACTGTATTGATGCAGTCGCGTGTTTGCATCGATGCAATCGCCTATAAATCGCAAGTGTAGCAAATTACATAACAAAAATACAAATAAAATTTGTTTATGTGTCTGATATTGCCTTTGTTTCGATTCTATTTGTACATAATTTTCGGTTAATGCATCATGCACAATTTTCCAATATAATATACTTTGCGGATTTATAGCAACGCGTGACATTTTTATGTGATTTTATAATCAAGCGTAGTTTTGTCGACCCACAACTTACAGAATTTTGGTAGGTGGTTTTATGAAGATATCATAGGGAACCATAACTTATAAAACTTAACATTATGGACGATTGTAAAGGTAGAGTAGGTAGGTACTTAAGAATAAAGTGTATCCATCAATTTGAGCTGAAGGTGAAAGCGCTAAAACGTCTTGAAACTTTCAATATACTTACGTCACTGTGAAAGCATGAGTAAATAGTGACCAAGCAAGATTTGTTTGCGTCATAGATGAATGACTTCACAGTATTTCGAGTCCATTTTGTTATAATTTTCTGTTACAATTGAGTGAGTGACAAAATAATTTTGTTCTACTAGACTAGAGTTCTACTTATATATTTAAGTTATTAACCACGGAAGAAAAAAAAAAACAGTGGAAGTGTTAAGCCTCGCTTACTATGAGAACCGATGGCGCCAAAACTCACAAATTCTTAATTTTAAATACGACAAAATCTTGATATTGGTCGTAGTTTCAAATTTAAAAAGAAATAACAAATTCTGGATTGTTAATATAATTGAAATTTTACCCTGTTGGCACATCGTTCAAAGTTCAATATCATCAATACTTAGTATTACAAGTTACGACGTTTTGATATTACGTTGAAATTTCAATCAATGTACTGCCATCTAGCGTTTAATTGCTGAACGACGGCGAATTAGAGTTATTAATTTAGTTCGTGTGTGTCCATATTGCAGCGGTATAAGTTACTTTCGATTCTTGTAACAAAAAAAAATATTTCGATGAACAGACAATTGAAATTTAAATTAATTTAAATTTAAAAAATTCATCTATGACTGAAACAAATCTTGCTTGGTGACTATTTACTCATGCTTTCACAGTAACGTAGGTATATTGAAAGTTTCAAGACGTTTTAGTGCTTTCATAAATTTATAATAAGACTTTCCGATGATATGAAATACCACCACGGGTTATTACGGGTTTTTGGTGCGGCTATCAGTTTGACACTCCAAATTTTAGAGCATTTGCACGAAAGAATGACACAACCATACCACACAAAGAGAAAATAGCGAACTGAGCTCAGAGAGGTCTTTCGAGACCTATAGTCCGCAAGCGTTTGACGCTAACTAACAACCTCTACTGTATTTATTGTTCTGTGTTATTAATTGTGACATATTTGTTTACATTTACGGTTATCTGGTGACAGCCTGAACACAAAGACGAAGGCTTTTACGTAGTTATGTACATTTTAATACGTGTTTGGTGGCTTGGACATCGGTGTATCGGCCATCTGAGCAAATTTTCTGGGTCCACCACTAAATATGACGAATATCATGCATCATACGCATATCTACATAAAGTTTCAGTTTTATTTGGTTTATAAATTCCATCACAAATCACAACGTGTCAGACGTTGACGAAATATTTTTTTCTTGACATTTTGTAATGGTTTATGTGAAGAGTTGGACTGCTGTTCATTATTTGTCTATGTATGACAAAAGCGGAATATTTAAGGAAGTTAAAATTACGCAACATTACGTTTTTGATGCAAATGGAAGCTTTTTGTACAAGAAAAAATAACTTAAGGTCACGTTAATATTGATTAAAGTGCTTAAGGCGGGGTATCTACTATAACACATTGTAAATGCATATACTTTACGCTCTTTCCCCACTAGAGCACAGCTTTAGGTTGTTTGAGTTTTAAATAATTTATCCCTTGTACCCGGTAATAAGAAAACACTTATTTCTTATTGCACATAAAGTATTTATTGATCTTATTTCTTTGTAAGTACCACGCCCGGGTATGACTCGCTATAAGTTAAATTTTACAGAGTATTTCCAGGAATATTTTCGTCTCAAAATGACCTAAGCCTAAAAGTTAATATAAAAGGGGTCATGGGATTTATAAGTCGTCAAAATTGTAGCAAGTGAGAACGCGGCGAAAGGCCACCTCGTTCGCGATGTTAAAAGCTTTAACCGAATTAATCGGCTCTCGGCAGCATTAGGAGCCGGAAAAATTTAATTAATTCCATCCACGAAAATTTACAAGTTGAAATTCAATTAGGGGCGAATATTGCCCGTCGTAATGGCTCGTAAACAAATAGAGCCGCGTGAATCGGCCCATGCAAATGGATCAAAGATCGCGTGTTTCGGTAGTTCGTTATAAAGGAAATATATTAGATCGGGAGCCATTCCTTAAACTGCGGGGCGCGGCGGCCTCTCCCAGCGCTAATATAAGCTAATGGAAAATCGAAGTATTATCTGCACCCCGCTCCCCGTGCAACGCCGAGTCTCCCAGGTTCTTCAGCCAACTTTTGATCCTCGACAAATTTTAAGGATTCCTTCGAGCGTTAATTAATTTATTGTACCGGCCGATGTAGCCGCAAGAAAACTCAATTAATTTTAAAAGGGTTTTTGTGTTGTTTTTTTTTTTTCACGATCGCCCCCTAATTTCATTGCCCAAAAGAAAATGGCGAAGTTCTCGATAATAACGCGTTTTGCGGTGATCGACTTTGGTGCGATTCTTTTGGTGGCGTTTGCAGTTTGATTGATTAATTTGACGCTTTTGAAACCTATCTCGCGGTCAGCGTTGAGAACTATTCACAGGACCTAGAACCTAGACTTCATTATCACGTGAACATAGAGGTTATACAGGTACTAGACAATACAAATATATTGCGTAGACCACAGATAACTAAACCTTTTGAGTGAGTATTTCCAAGTAAGCAGTTAAGTTGTAGTGAATAAAATAAATATTAGTGCCAGTGTCTTTCCATTAACTTAAAAGATACAACATAAGTTACGTTTATTTTTGGAAATTATGTTAAATTAAAATTGCTTATTAATCTTGTAAAATGGCTAGATTGTATTTAGTTATAAGGTTTTGTTTTGCTTTATACCAAAATAAAAAAAATATATAGAGTGCGGTTAAACGAGGGCTTCCATCAGTAGGATACGGGTATAAATGCTTGGCGCGACCGGACGCGGCGGTCCATCGCCTCCCACCGGCATTGCCAATGAAAAACTAAATCACCGGCTCCCTCACCTAATTTAAGAGGACAAGTAGAGTCATTAATACACACGTCACTCCTCTTGCTACTACAAAATGTGGCCCATTTATATCCCGGCGCCGGCCCTGGGAATTATGGTAATCGGGCGAGTCGTGTCTTTTGTCTGTAATGGCGGGTAATTACTGGGATACCTCCGGGGGACACTTCGTCTCCTATAGGGGGCCCCAGGGCTCGAGAATTCGACACTCGTTACGTGAATCGTCTCAACTTTAAAAAGGGAACGCGATTTTGAATGCCGCCGAGGGATTTGTCGCTGCCTACCGGAACAAACTCCTTTTTCTGTTTTACTTCAGCCCGAAATTGGCTTGCGCGGATCCGGCTCGCCGACGCCGTTCCTTTTTGGTTTGTTTACGCAACGAAAACATAGTTTTACAGCTCGGACGCGGACTTCTCGGCGCTGAGTTTTACTACCCATATCATTTATTGATCCATCTCCTTCCTCGGAACAGAATAACAATCGGACAGAGACCACTATCCATATTCCGGCTCATGTATTTTTATATTTTTCGAGCCATCTGGCAACCAGTCTCCTGTTCCCCGTTTAGAGTCCGTATTTTCCCGCAAGGAAAGCAAAGCTCAGTTACTTTTTGGAAGATAAAGGGGGTGTGTTTCGGCTCATTTGCGGGTGGTTGAAGCGGCGCGCCTCGGCCCTGCACCGCGCTTGATCAAACGTGATTTCTTATTGGAATCGGAAAAGAAGTAGACGGACGGCGCTCGTAATAGAGAAACTGCGCTTTGGCGTGGCGAATGTTCCATAAAAAGGATTAATTTCAACTCTATTTCTTTCCTTTAATAAGATTAATATCGGTTCAGTACTTTGTGCGAAGTGAGTTGGTAAAAGGCGGGGTAAAAGTTGCCGTTTATTGTGTTCGCGATAGGCCACAGGCGCGACTTTTATTTGAAAGAAGCATTTATACCGCAGATGGCAGAGTCAAGCACAAACTGTCAAACATATATCTCTTTCCAGGTAGTTTCATAACTCGAGACGTTGATGTATGAGCACGAGTAAGTCTGAGGCGCACGACACGCCGGTGCCACCGCCGCCGCAGTCGAGCCGTGCCAGCGTACATTTGGGCAATCTCAGCAGACGGTAACACGTGCCCACAATCTTAAACTCGTTAAGCGAAACATTCCCAGAGCAATTTTGAATTTACCCTATCTTCATACGAACTCAAACTCTAAACTGAGAACACATCCCTGATGTGTCGGTTTG